TGTTGTTGTTGTTGTTGTTGTTGTTGTTGTTGTTGTTGTTGTTGTTGTTGTTGTTAACAGATGACCTCAGGCGCTTGCGCAGCAGACGCATCTGCTGCAAGTCTCGCCTTGCTGGCTTACGGCCAGGTGTGGAAAGCATAGAAGTTCCAAGGCGTAGTGGGGGTGATTGTCTGTTCCCGGGAGCAACCGGTGATTCGGAGCGGACAGTCGAAGTGAGAGGTGCGTTTGGTGTGGCGGGTGAAAGTGAATGCTCTCCTTGGTGGGTGTCTGGGGTGTCATCATCGTCGATGAGGATTGCGGAAGCCTTGTCGTGTCCAAAGTCGCGAAGGTTGCTTGGCGGCAAACCCACATCATCATCCTCCTCCTCTTCCGTCTTGACAGGTGTTTCGATGTCATCGATTTCAATTGCTGTTTCCCTGGTCGCACCGGGGTCTGTGGGTCTGGGTGGCTGTATGAAAGCCTGGTCTTCTGGCTCGGCCTTCACCTGTGTCTCACTCATGGTGGTTGTGAGTGAGAGTACGCGGCTTCACTAGAGGTCCAGATGATCAAGTCCGTCAATGTCTTTGGCTGCGACAGTTTGTTGAGCTTCGAAGAGGATGTAGAAGAGATGGAGGAGGAGGGTGTGTGGAAGTTGTTATATACCTCGAGGAAGATCTGCTGGACCCTGAAGTCAGGGTCCTCACAAATTGGGAAGGTGGTGATAAAAAGAAAAGAGGTCCACCATTGTACTCTCAAATTCAAAGTCTAAATCCCGGTGTCCGCGCAAGGCAGAACTAGAATGCCAATTCGGGACGACCTTTTTCCTTCTACGGTTCAGATCTGGTAGAAATAGTTACCGGACTTTCCCGGAATAACATTGTCGAATTCTCTTCGAGAAGCTTGAAGTTGAAATTTTAATTTCAAAGAATCGGGGGTGAGAGGTTCAGCATTTAAGAACAAAGAGTTGAGGAAATCATTATGTACAGTTGAAGCATTTGTTGAGCCATGGGTCTCATCTGAAATGCAAGGTCAGTGACCAAACTACGCTAACTCCAAGACGTAGGCTCGGGGGGTGAAAAAGTGAGAATTGAAGTTAACCAAGTGACATGAAAACATAAAGCAAGAAGCAGATCTAATACTAGTACAGTTCTTGTATTAAAACAACAAAGCCCGGGGTTACGGGGTATCATCTTGCTTTTTGAACCCTAATTAAGTCCATTGAAGTCGTAATCCAAACACCAAACCCCGAAACGCTCAAATAGCACGTAATAAATCGACCGGTGGTCCAGATCTTTGGGTCCTGTGGAACATAAAGTTTCGTTGATCGCAAATCCGCTTAATCGGGGTAAACGAAGGCGGCGACGGCGATGATCGTATAGGTAGTCATCAGGAGCATGCCCTCCAACCAGTTGGACTTGCCGTCTCCAATCAGATAGTTAACCAGCAAGACGGACACGAAAAGGACCGCAACCTGGAATCCGTCGAAAGAAAGGTTCATCTCATCAATGCCAATCTGAACATGTTAGCAGCGGATAACACCAGCGTCGGGCTTCTAGAACTTACAATCCAGCCAATCAGAACAGTCAGAGGGAGGACGAGCAGAGCAATCTGCGTGCTGGAACCAACAGCCACACCAATAGACAAGTCCATCTTGTCCTTCATGGCAACGGTGACGGCAGTAGCGTGCTCGGCGGCGTTACCGACAATCGGGAGCAGGATCAAACCCAGGAAAGTCTCGGAAAGACCCTTGCCATCGCCAGCAACCGAGGAGATGTTGTCGACCATGAATTCGGAGCAGAAGGCAACCAGAACGGTAGAAATGGCAAGCGCAACCAAGGCACCAGTCACAGTCAAGACGGGGACCTCCTCATCATCATCGTCGTCGTCATCGTCCTGCTTGTTCAGGAGCTGGTCCTCGTGGATCTTGCCTCCAACAGCGCCCGCGGCAGCAGCGCCAATGCCCGCAAGTCCCATGTTGGTGGAACCAGCCTTGACTTCCTTGGTTCTCTTCTCGACCTTCTTGCTTGGCTCGTTGTACATGACAACATGGGTCTTGAGCTGGAAAAGCAGATAGCAGCCATAGACGAAGAGGAGGATGACGGAAGTGCCGCGGGAAAGCGCGTCGGTATCGACAAGATCGGCGACCTCGTCCTTGGGCTCAACCCACATGCGGAAAACGGTGGGAATGATCAGACTTGCGACAGCCAGAGCGAGCAAGCTGGCGCTGGTCTGAGCAACCGTGACGTTGAAGTGCTGCTCAACACGGCTAACGCCTCCGAGGAAGAAGCACATGCCCATGACGAGGAGCAAGTTGGAGAGCATACTGCCAATGAGGGACGTCTTGACGATCGTAAGCTCCCTCTTCACGAGCGCCTGAATACCGACGATAAGTTCGACGGCGTTACTGAAATTTCCTGCGTCAGCTGACTTGTATGTGGGGTGATGCGACTAAAAGATAAACTTACCCAAAAGACGCGTTCAACAGACCGCCCAAAGTCTCTCCAATGTGCAAGGCAAGCTCTTCGGTGGCATAGCTGAGCATACCAGCCAGCGGCACAATGGCAATGAAGTTGATGACGAAAACGATGATGCCGTTCAGGTGGGCATAGTTGACGGCAAAACCGGCGGGGACGGCGAGGAGCAGGATGTTAACCCAGGAACCAAAAACGACGTGCTTGAACTGGGTCCAGGGAGTGATGATGGGCTGCTTTTTCGTGCGCTTGGTGCTCGACCGGCGGTTCAAGCTCTCAGGCTTTTCCTCCTCGTCGCTGTCCGTCTTGTTCGTCTTTCTCCTGGTAAGTCCGTCGCTGGCTTCGCCATTTCCATTGGCGGTGACTCCAAAAGGCTCGGTGGAGCCGCGCGACGGAGGCGGCATGGTTGCGGCATGTACAGGGCCGGCTTGGCCGTCGGGGATCCTGTTCAATTCGACTTCGCCGGCGACACAAGCCTCGGAGTGGGCTCTCGAGTGGTGGGTGTCGTGCGACTCGCGCGGGTTCTCCTCATCGTAGAGCGAGTCGCCGGTGTGGGAAATCTTTCGGGCCCAAGGATTCCATTGGGTGGAGCCCTTTTTGGCCTTCCATGCCGTGTGCCGGGCTCGGGACTTGATGGTGTCTAAGCGGTACATGGTCAACGGTGGAGTCGCGGGTGACGAGGGTTGGGCAGAACTTACGCATGCTGTACTCCTGGGGCGCAGGCTCGGCTCGGTAAATTTATTGGGGGCAGGCAACGAGGCTGCCGGGCGGGTGCAGGCGGACCGACAGTGCGCGTTTGTTGTGGGCGTAGGTGGCCTGTGAGCGCAGGAATTCGGGAATCGGCCGGCTGCTGGGCGGGCTGGGATTTTGTACGACGAGGGCAGCGCTGCTTGGAGAGATTGCAGCGTCGCCAGGGAGGTGATCAGGGCAGGGTGTCTGTGGCGCGGCTCGGCGATCAGTGGGCCGGCGAGGGCGTAACGCCGATGGGTGAAGGGGGAGCGAGGCTAGCTGCGCACGACGCGTCCTCAATAATTTCCGTGCAAGGCGCGGCTGGATGGGCTGTGTTGTTGCTAACCGCCGCGAAGGCAGGGCGTCATCAGATGTACTTGTACTGGGTGCTGTTTTGACGCTGATGCCGCGCCAAAACAAGCTTCTCAGCATTGTTGACGTTCACTGGTGCCACGAAAGGAGCCACGGTTCCAAGCTTGCTTGACTGGAGGCCAAGTACTCTTGATCTAAGCTACCCCCCGCAAGCGCCACGCCTAAAGCGCGGCCCCGCCCCGGCCCATTCGTTCTTAGCCGGTTGGCTGTCGTCGGCGGCGGCTATCTCGCTCGCCGTTGCCCTGCGGTCCACCGGAGACGGTGAAGCAGTACGCGCCGGCCGTCATCGTCTGATCCGACATGCAGATGGGCAGGAGGATTCCCCATCAGCGCCGCCAGTCTGTGCGGATAATTCGTCGCGAAGGCCCGAGTGGCTGTAATAAAACGAACGCTATGAGCCGTAGATCTTCCACCATGGCCTTCGCGACCTCGGGCTAGCTTTTTTCCCTCAGCTAGCGACGTAGGTACCCACGTCGTCATGCGACCTGCCAAATGTCTCAACGTATGTGGCGGGGTGCGGGACGCCATTCATCACCACGCTGCACCGCCGCAGCTTCTGCGCCACAGTCGCCGGCTTCTCGATAGTTTCCAGAAGTTCTGGAATCATCCGTCCGCAGCATTGCACCAGCGATTTTGGGCAAACAACGCGAAGAACTCGCGCCGGTGGGGGCTGAGCTTAGTACTTAGCTTTTGTGCACCGCCTTCACGATGCTGCTGACCTGGTCAGCACCCCGCTCCGCATTCGTGTCGACACGCTATCGGCTGTGCTGCGTGTCCCCACTCCGGGCTCTTTAGAATGAGGCCATCTGTGAAAGGGGCCAAGGTGCGGTGAAGATGGTGTTTCACCTCGCGCGGGCCTGTGCTCCTCGTCGCTGTATGGCAGCTGGACAGTGTTGAGCGGAAACCCCCGCAGTCGGAGTAGTTGCATTGCCGGTGCTGATTGCAATACCTGGTGCTGTCGGATCTTGTGGGAAACGGGCTAGACGAGAGTAATGCCGCGGTCAGCGGCTGACGCAGATTTCACAGCTCACGTTGCGAGAGAGCGTTTGCTCGAGGTCTGACGTTTCGATGAGCTGTCGCAGCTGTCACGTTTGACCAAAGGGCTACCAATCAGTGACACAGGCTTCGTCCCTGTCAGAGAGGGTTGGACTGAGAGAATAAGGCCGCACAGTGCGAGGCTTAGACGGCTCTAGCCGAAGTCAAAATGAGTGCTGGTAAGCGAGAGCGCCATTACCACACAAGGCAGGTATAGCTGCCTGAGTACACCGCCCAGTGCGATAGTAGTAAGCGTAGAAAATCAAATTGATCAACTCGTGATTGCAGGATGCATCAGCCTGAAGCGTACTTCATATCCAATGCCAAGTCGGACAGGCAGCCGCCCAGGCCCTAGTGGCTTTGAATCTGTTGGACCAGTGTGGCTGCTGAATGGACATAACGACGAAATTTCAATTGTTGGATGCAGTTGTCGTCTGACGCCAAGTGATCCTTCGATTTGTATTCGGAACGCGTTCAACGCCACATAGACGAGGAATATGGCCCCCACGGTGCCATTAGGTCCCTTTTCTCAACCCTCAAATCTGGGGCGTTGGAACCCTTTTGCAACCGCCAGACCTTCGAAATGGCAGCGTCAATCATCTTGGATCCACAGCAGCCATTTTACTTATCCGGAGACACAGTGAAAGGCCGTGTTCGGTATCAATGCCTCAAACCCAGAGCCGTAGAACGCGTCGAGGTCAAGTTCTGGGGCCGAGTCAAGACTACCATCAGCGAAAAGAATAATCTTAGCGGATTGTACAACCAGTACCGAGACCGCGTCTGTCTCTTTGAGGACAACCTGATTTCTGACGTCAACACTACCCTCGCCACTGGCGTCCACAACTGGCCTTTCGCCTTCACCTTCCCGACAACGGCCGCCCCAAGAGAAGTCAAAAGCTGGGATTCGAAACGCACAGAAAAACAATTGCCTGAGACGGTCCTACCTCCTTCTTTCCAGCTCAACGCCCAAGGCCTGCTCACCGGCTACTACAGCTTTATAGCGTACTCGTTAGTAGCCTACGTCCACTTCAGCGACAGGAAGCTGAAGAAGAAGCCGGAAACCGCAGAGATATTGTTGGAGTTCATCCCATCCGCCGACGACAAGACTCCAGAATTGGAAGGGGATGCCCCGCACGACAAAGATTGCAGCATCCGCGGATTTGAGCTCGTCCCGGAAAGTGAACGCCCGAAGCTGAAGAGGTTTAGTTTCAGCAACCCTACCAAGCCCACCTTTCGGTTCCGCATCACTGCTTCAACACCAAAGTATGTGAGACCAACCGAGCCTTGGAGGCTTTTGGTCGCTCTGGAAGTCTTACCACCCGAGTCCAAGGATGTCACGGTCGCTACTCCGCCACAATTCGTGTTGAAGTCGATCAACATCAAAATGAACTCTAAGTTGGTGCTAAGGGTAGTACGAGGCATGGAGCATGTCCGCCAAATCCGCGAAGACGATGCCGGGGTTACTTTCCAGAACATGGGAGTCCTCACGCCAGGAAAGCCAAAGGAGATCGCCATGGGTCAACTGAAATACAAGCCAGCGACCACCAACTTGTCAAGCGTGAGCCGGCGATACAAGCTGCTGGTCGAGGCGGTGATTGAGACTGCGGACGGCGCACAATCGTTCAAGCTGAAGTGCAAGGAGCCGGTAACTGTCGGGGCGCTGCCAGTGGGAGCTCGAGGCGGGGGTGAGGCTCAAGCACAGTTGAGAGGCAACATTGAAATGGCGATTCTGAAGGATCTGGCGGCGACGGCGGCATTGGCGGGTCCTATCTTGGAAATGCTTGCAGGATGAGTCGAGATTTTAGACCACTGATACTCCTACCAGCAACGTCTTGGGGATTTTAATGAGAGCAACAAATCAGTTTTTCTGAGTGCGAGAGCCTGAACATGTGCATTACTGATTGCGATTCATCGAAAACGCTGTAGAAGTATATGGAACCGAGTACTGCCGAGGATCAGAGTGGCAAGGTCACCTGTCATTCTGGACCCTTTCAATCGCTCTGGAGCCTAGGAAGAATATGGGAGTGTGCACGTTAGGTGTACCTGGAGCCGTGTGGGTGGCGGGGGCGGCGGCGCTCACCGCCCGCGGAGGCTAGGCAGCCCTAGCGCGGATTTCTTGACTATCAACCCGTCGCCGCAAGCCAGCCGCGCAAATCGTCACGACAACGCGCGCGAGCTTTCCAGATATTCGCGCGCCCAACGCGCTCCCTCCCCTACGTCACCGCAACCGTCGCCTCCTCCTTGTCGAGCTGTGCTGTCGCAAACCACCCGCCATGGACGACCTCAGCTCGCTCGAGCTCCTGTCGCTCGTGTCGAAGGTGACCTCCGAGCTCGACAACCATATCCATGTCGCCGACAAAACCCTTGCGGAATTCATCATCGACCAGCACTTGCAATGCAAGTCGCTCGATGAATTCAAGGCGAAGCTCGTCGAAATCGGCGCCGAGGATTTCCCTCCGAGTCTCGTCGAAAGCATCGACCGGCTGGTCCTCACCATGCACCCCAAGTTCAAGAAGTCCAATGGTGCAGGAAGGACGGTACAACAAGAAGAAAAGCCCGAGGATGAGCGTGAAAGGAAGGCTAGGGTCTTCAAGGGCCTAGCGATCGCCGACCAGGAAGTTCCCAAGCCGTACGACGACTCCGCCTTACTGGATGAAGATGCAAAGGAGGGTGGTTTGGATGACACTTTTGCCATGTTGGAGAATCTCGCGGGCAAGGCAGGAAATGGAGGCAACTCATCCACTAGGAAGCGCAGCCCCAGTCCCTACAAAGACGAGAGCTACAGCAGGAGCAAGACGAAGAGATCCCGCAGATCGCGCTCACGGTCGCGCTCACCCTACAGGAGCCGCCACCAAAGCAACAACGACGACTACATGTTCGAAGATGAGTTTGGCAGGTCGCGCCCTGCCAAAGACTTGACCCGGACGCGCGAGCGTGACTATGACCGGCACGATGACCGCAGGGGCAGACACCGCCGCCGCCACGACTACGACGACGACTTTCGCGAAGCCCCTCTCCCTGAGGTGGACGATGCGCCAATTGTTCACAAAATATACAATGGTCGCGTTACGGGTCTGAAGCCCTACGGCGCTTTCGTAAGGCTGCATGGTGTCAAAGGCCGGGTTGATGGGCTGGTTCATGTGTCGCGTATGGCTGAGGGCCGTGTCAATGACCCCTCGGACCTTCTGTCGCGGGACCAGGAGGTCAAGGTGAAGGTCACGGAAATCAAGGACGGAAAGATCAGTCTTACCATGAAGGAGGTCGATCAAACGACAGGCGAAGATCTTGCACCCGAGCTGAGAGTAGCGTCGGGAGCCAATTCAGAAGGTCTAGGTGGCAGGTTGTCCAACGGCCGCTATGGCAACCTTGGGACCGAGGCCCCCATTGCCAGCAGCAATTTCAGTGGACCACCTCCCGCAAAGAAGAGATACGCCTCGCCTGAACGCTGGGAAATCCAGCAGATGATCTCCGCTGGCCAAGCACGTGCTTCAGACTACCCAGGAATCTACGACACGTTTGACAACGTTAACGAACATGGCATGCTCGAGGAGGAGTTGGACGTTGACATCGAAGTCAAGGAGGAGGAGCCTCCGTTCTTGGTTGGCCAGACTAAACAGTCGCTTGAGCTTTCGCCCATTCGTGTCGTTAAAGCTCCCGACGGTTCTCTCAATCGTGCTGCAATGTCGGGCGAGCAGCTTGCGAAGGAGCGGAAGGAGTTGCGGGCCCAGGAGGAGCAAGACAAGAAAGCCGCTGAGGCATCTCGCGTGGATCTCAGTGCTCAATGGAATGATCCCATGGCTGGTCCTGACGATCGCAAGTTTGCCAGCGACTACCGTGCCGCACCTTCTGGCCAGTCCAATGAGCCTCTTCCTGAGTGGAAGAAGATTACCCAAGGCAAGACGGAGACTGGAAAGCGGACGAACATGTCCATCAAGGACCAGAGGGAAGGCCTGCCTGTCTTCAAGTTCCGCAACCAGCTGCTTCAAGCCGTACGCGAACACCAGCTCCTTATTCTCGTAGGCGACACTGGTTCAGGAAAAACCACCCAACTTACACAATACCTTGCAGAGGATGGGTTTGCCAACAATGGCATGATCGGCTGCACGCAGCCGCGTCGTGTAGCGGCCATGTCTGTTGCTAAGCGTGTGGCAGAGGAGGTCGGGTGCAAGCTCGGTGCTGAGGTTGGCTATACCATTCGTTTCGAGGACTGTACTAGCCCGGACACCAAGATCAAGTACATGACGGATGGTATCATGCAGCGCGAGATCTTGTTGGACCCGATGCTGAACAAGTATTCCGTCATCATCCTCGACGAAGCGCACGAGCGTACCATTGCAACTGACGTCCTCTTCGGTCTCCTCAAGAAGACGCTCAAGAGGCGTCCCGACATGAAGGTCATTGTCACATCGGCAACTCTGGATGCCGACAAGTTCTCGGAGTACTTCAACAAATGCCCCATCTTCTCCATCCCGGGACGCACCTACCCAGTCGAGATCATGTATTCCAAGGAGCCTGAAAGCGATTACCTTGACGCAGCCCTGACGACAGTCATGCAGATCCACCTGACTGAACCCCCAGGTGATATCCTACTTTTCCTGACTGGCAAAGAAGAGATTGACACGAGTTGCGAAATCCTCTTTGAGAGGATGAAGGCGCTAGGGCCTGGTGTACCTGAGTTGGTCATCTTACCCATCTACGGTGCTTTGCCCAGCGAAGTCGCCAGCCGCATCTTCGAGCCACCTCCCCCGGGTGGCAGGAAGGTCGTCATCGCAACTAACATCGCCGAGACGTCCATCACAATCGACGGAATCTACTTCGTGGTTGATCCTGGTTTTGTCAAGCAGACAGCGTACGATCCGAAGCTGGGAATGGACCGCCTTCAGGTCACACCCATCTCGCAAGCTCAGGCCAAGCAACGTGCTGGCCGAGCTGGTCGTACTGGTCCTGGCAAGTGTTTCCGATTGTACACCGAGGCAGCATTCCAATCAGAAATGTTACCCACCACGATCCCCGAGATCCAGCGTCAAAACCTCTCCAACACCATTCTCATGCTGAAGGCCATGGGTATCAACGACCTTCTTGGGTTTGACTTTATGGATCCGCCGCCGACTAACACTATGCTGACTGCTCTGGAAGAGCTGTATGCACTTGGTGCGCTCGATGAGGAGGGTTTGCTCACCCAGCTTGGTCGACAGATGGCTGACTTCCCTATGGACCCGGCTTTGTCAAAATCACTCATCATGTCCGTCAAGTTGAAGTGTTCGGATGAGATGCTAACCATCGTCTCGATGATCTCCGCTACCCAGACAGTGTTCCATCGGCCAAGGGACAAGCAGCACCAGGCCGACAATAAGCGGTTGAAGTTCAACGATCCGCACGGCGATCACTTGACTCTCCTTAACGTCTACAACGCGTGGAAGCACTCAAAGTTCTCGGTGCAATGGTGCTACGAGAACTTCATCCAGCCAAAGGCCATGAAGCGTGTCGCCGACGTGCGCGACCAACTAACCACCATCATGAAGCGGTACAAGTCGCCGATTGTGTCGTGCGGCCGTGACACGCAGGCGGTACGCAAGGCTCTCTGCTCGGGCTTCTTCCGCAACGCGGCGCGCAAGGACGCCACGGAGGGCTACAAGACACTGGTCGAGGGCAACACGGTGTACATGCACCCGTCGTCGGCGCTGTTCCGCGCGCCGGCCGAGCACGTCATCTACAACAGCGTCGTCGAGACGCAGAAGGAGTACATGCACATCCTCACGGCCATCGAGCCCAAGTGGCTGGTCGAGGCCGCGCCCAGGTTCTTCCAGGTCGCCCCGACGGACCGGCTCAGCAAGAGAAAGAGGGCGGAGCGCATCCAGCCTTTGCAGTCGGGCAAGGATGCAGAGGGCGACGCTTGGCGTCTTTCGGCCCAGAGGAAGGGCGGACGTGGTGGTGGTGGTACGTGGGGCTAAGTCCAATATGCCCCCTCATTGTTTTCTTTTCTTTTTTTTTACTACTGCAAAAAGGGAGTTAGATAATTCGCGTCTCTGTTCTAGGCCAAAACTCTGAGAGCGCAGCAAATCTTCAGGCCATGACCGCCAATCCTGATCAACACCCCAATGTCCAGGATACCACTCATATACAGGATCAGTCGTAGATGACAAACGACATCAGTCGATACGGATGAGATCATCTACATCCGGATTCACTTTAAGTAGTACAGAAAATGTCGGCGAAAAGAATTCATCAAGGACAAAAAAAAAGTGGAAAGAATTGGCGTTAGTGATAGGTAGCTGTACAATAGCAACTCTTTTGACGTCATATGCTCGTTTTCAGGGTATTCTTTTGTGAAAGTTACACCAGGCTCGCGTGGGCACTCGAAAGTTTAAGTCCCACTTAGGAATGCTTAAATCGATAGCCGACACGTGCGTCCAGACGTGGACTTCAAATGCCCGTGCGGTTGAGGCTAACTCCTTAGGTGGAAGCGTCACATTTTCGTCGAAGGAAGACCACAAGGACGATTTAAGCCAGGACAGTATGTTCAGCAAACATTGGTATTTGGGTCTGGACGAATGCCTTTACTGCCCATCCATTTTTCCCTTCTGACTGTGAACATGCAAATAGGTATCATTTGTTGCTTCATACTACACTACGTTTAAAATCCAGGCCCGGCGGATAGAGCTGGGGAGAGAGAAGTGACGGCACAGAGATCACAGAAAAAGAGTAAAAGGATACAAAGAGAGAAGGTGGATTCTGGCCCTACGGTACCATACATGAATTCGATTGGGGGTGTTTGAATTGGTTTTCTTTTTCGTAGTTTACCACAGACGGAAAAACAAAAGGAGTGGCAAACTTTAAGGTAGGTGATACCAGGAATTGGATAAGAAGCCGGAAGGATAGCAATGGTGACGCGGATAGGTCTCGAGCTATTTCTTAATCCAGCCCTGTGAAAGCAAGCATGTCAGCAATGTCCGTCTTGTATCCGGGAAAAAAGAAGTTGCATGGTAGAAAACACGCATATGCCAATCTCCAAGCAATACCACCCCCAAATCGTCTCAAAATTCCCACCAAAAACAGAAGCAACACTCCGCTACTAAAAGCTTTCACTCACCTTCTCCTTCATCTTCTCCCAGTACCCCTTATCCCTCTCAGACCCGGTGCCGGTCAAGTGAGCATCACGGCTGCTCGGCGTCGAGTAGATGCTGCCGCTGCGTTTCTGGAACCGCGACGGCGGGACTTTGCTCGCATCCCACTCCTTGCTCTGACGACGGTCGCGCGTGGGCGACCCGCCGCCGCTGCCGCCGCCGCCTGCTGACGACGAGCCGCCGGGCATGTGCATGTCGTCGTCGTCGCCGGCGATCCGGTCCAGCTTGTCGCCGCCGAAGGGGTCGTGCATCTGCAGGCCGCCGTGGTGGTTGTCGCCGAGGTCGTCGTCGATGGCGCTGGTGTCGGCGCCGTTGGCGGCGGCTTTGAAGTCCGTGTTGACGGTGGGGTTGCTGCCGGCTGGGGTCGCGTCTATGCCTGGATTGTCCAGAAGAGGGAATTGGTTAGTATATTGAGGAATTAGGGTCGGAGGGAGCGGAGGGATGGATGTCAAAGAATGGGGATCAGTCATTGGATAGCTGAGACTTGATGGCCGGAATCCAGTGGAAGATGGCCTGAAAGAGTGAAGTGCTGAGTGAGGCGAGGGCAGCGGAAGGGCAATGGTGGGATTTCAATGGCCATGTGTCCTAGGACTTACCGCTGGCGGCGCTCGTCGTGTTTGTGTCCATGCCGGAGGCTGAGCGGGAGTCTGGCACAGGGCGGATGTCGATGTGAACGTTGTTGTACTCCAGCGTGGAATGAGGGCGACTTAGCAGCAAGGCAACTGCTAAGCTCCACTAGCTACGAGTCAAATAGTCCTCGGCGCAGTACTTGAGTGGTGAGCCGCTGTGGGGCAGCTTGGGAAGAAGAGGAAAGCTCGCTTTCTCGTTCGAGCAAGGACAAAGAGGTTAGAGGGTTCTCTTCCCGTGGCGGGTGGTCGCGCGTCTGCGGCCGGGGACAGGGTAGATAAAGGATTCCGGTGCCAACCTTCTCTGGGAAAGAAGCAATGACGCCCAGTAATTCTTACCCGCCGTCCAAGAAGCAAGCGTGCCTTCGCGAACGACCCCACCGACGTCAGGCCCAAGCCCGCATCACCCTTGGCTCGCAGCCAGTAAGCTTCTGCGCGCGCGCGGTGGTCCGCTGGGCGCTGCTCTTGGCGGCCAAGTCGTGGCTGGTGCCATTGGTGCGTGGCCGAAGGCAGTGGCAGGAGAGCAGGAAGAGTCGAGGGCGCGCCGAACAAAGAACGACGTCAACGGACAGAAAGTCGGTGCCACGTTCCGGGGTCTTTGCTGTGCCCGCGTGCAGCAGCTGACGCCGGCGGGAGCGAATGGGAAGCACTGGGCCAAGCGTTAGCTGGAGGCGCTAATTAGCCACAATGCTGCGCGGTGATGCGGGTGTGGTGCTGCGGCGTCCAGACAGAACGCAGGAGTGATGGACCCGCGCGTCATGCCGTAAACGCGGGGGCCCAGTGTGACGCTAGCCCTCGTCATCCTTGATGCACCGCCTACTGTTCGCCGTCAGAGGTTCGCCTAAACCTTATCTCGACTCTCAGCTGATCTGCCTAGATTCAGCCCTCCTACAGCTCAATATACCGTTAGCCTGGATGATACGGAACAATGGCCTTGGCGCTGAGTGATCTCTGGCTGCATACAAGTCAGCCCTCAGCTTCATGCATGGGCATTGAAAGCGGTTGCCAAACAATCCCAGTCGACCTCCTACCGTGTGATGTGAGCTAAGAGAGCACTTCCGCGCTAGGCTTCTGCTGGGGATAATAAGCACACGCGTGAGACACGGACGAAAGACATCGAAGAGGAGCGCTGGTTGTTGCAGAAGTCGCTTGCTTTCCAATCGTTTTCTGAAACTGCAGGTTACATGCTTGCTGACAATCGCTCGGAAAGCCCGAAGAAGAGACGGGCAGCACGCCAATGGAATCTTGCTTGACGCCACCGTCTGAATGAAACGCGGAAGGAAAGGCCGATAAGAGAATCGAAGGGCAAGGAGATCAGAAAGGAGGGGAATGTGCATGAAAAAGATGAGATCCAGAACAAGAGATCGATCCTCCGCCCAAGTCAATCATCCGGGGCCAATAGCCCACCCAGAACGCCGGTATAATGCAGCTAACGGAACTCAATGAGAGGTAAAAGGAAGGTTGCAAGCCTGAAGCTGAAAAAAAAAAGTGGAGAAAATCTTAATCGGCCAGTGTAGAACCGCTCACATCTGCAGAAAGGGAATCCATCAATCAAGCAGTGCCTGAACTACGTAGGGTATCTGCGCGCCTCGATGCCGCTTACAGATCGTCGTCAATATCTAGCGCATCCGGGTTTGCTGCAACAGCTTCTTCGGCCTGTGCCGTTGGTCTGTTGCCGCCTTCGACTCCGTTGCTGGCGGCGACGAAGCCTTCGGGTGCTCTGGCTTGGCGTTCGAGAGCAGCCATAGCATCCACCTTGTCTTGATCAACGCCATCAGCATCGTTAGGTTGTTGAGCACGAGCAAGCGCCTGAGAGGCGATAAAGTTGACGTCGGTGCTGGAAGAATGTCAGTAAGCTGCACGCATACATTGCCGGGGTCATAACATACTTGAACTGTGCCTGCACGCTTCTCTTGATGCGAAGCATTTCCTTGAACGTGTCCTCGTTGCCGTGCTGCACCTCGAAGCTCTCCCATTTCTGCCAGAATCCAGGTTCTGTCCTTGGGTCGCAGAACTGACTGGCGTGGCCGTAGATGGCTCTGGCGCGGTCGATCTCACCAAGCCGCCTCTCCATCTCCGCGAATTTGAGACACATTTCCTTGGCCTCCTTGTCCGGTAGCGCAGAGATGGCACGCTCGTAAATTGGACGCGTCGAAGTCAATCCAAAGTTCGATGCCGACTTCGTGATGTAGAATTCAAACATCTCCAGCCTGTCCTCATCCGCGACGAAGCGCGTAGCACGTTCGTAGATGCGCATCGCGTGACGGGCAAGCCCTCTTTCCTCCTCTAATGCGCCATACATCAAGTACAATACCTTGGCAAATTTCGGCGGGCAGTCCTCGAGAGCTTGTTCGAACAAGTCACGTAGTCTCTCCATGCCGACCTTGCGGTCTACAGCCTTGGTAAGGTAGAGGTTCCAAAGCTCGAAAGCCACCGGGTAGTTGAACAGGTCAAGACCGCGCTCGTACACCTTGAACGAGTCCTCGAAGTACTTGTTTTCCTCCAGCAGGTTTGCGTAGTTGACGACAGTCTGAGGAGTAGCAATCTTCAGCTCGAAAATGCGCTCGTAGACCTTCTTCGTCTCCTCAAGGGTGCTAACGCTCTCCACCAGATCAACATAGAAACTCCACAGCTTCCAGCTCTTGTGGACTCTTTGCTGGGGCGAGAGCGTCTCGTCAAAGTAGTCGACCGTCGATCTCTTCGGTGCTTGGGTCGCTTTGGCCATGATGTCCACCGCACGGTCGAAGTTCTCGTTCCTAAGCTCCATCTCTGCCCACTCGCACCACATTTCGGCTAGCTCGTTGACTGACTTGAACGGCACCTTGACAGCCTTCTCCATGATGATGCGGGCGTTCTGCATGTCTCCACCATTCTCGTAAAACTTCGCGTAATTGGCCCAAAGCTCGTGGAACTTGCCGACGGCCTTCTTCGGGTTGATGGTTGCGATGGCATCAGCGTACGTCTTGACAACCTCTGTCTTGTTATCACCCCAAAGACCGACACGCTTCTCCCACTCGTTGACGTTGTTCGGATTCTGGCGGAGGAGCACGTCGTTCACAAGGAAAGGCCGGCGGTCCATGAGCTGCTCAAAGCGGGCCATGCGGATGTCAAGGTCCAAATCGAGATCCTCGTCAACAATTCCCTTCTCTTGTCTTTTACCTGCCTCCTCCATCTTGATACCAATCAAGGCCTCCTCGGCTTCCGCATACGTGTCGAAGACAATGGAGAAATCACGAACAGTCATGACGGTAGTAATTCCCTCCTCGAAGATGTCGCGTGCACGCTCGTAGTCGCCCTTGTTGATCCAGTACCTTGCCAGGCCGACCCACAATATGCCCCTCTGGTCCGAAAACTTGGCGATTCCACTCCGGATGATCTTCTCTACATCGATGCCGACGTCGTCTCCCGTTTCAATTTCTTTGGCATGGTCGATGAGCAGCTCAACCATTTCCGTCCAGAACTGGAATGGACCCTTTGCCTCCTTGCTCTTGAACTTGGGGTTGTTGAGAATGTCCATGTACTTCTTGACGGCCTCGGTGTACTGGCGCATGTCGATCAAGAGAGCGATGAAGTCTTCGGCATGCTCCGGGTGGATTTGCATGTAGCGGCGCCAGATCTTGACAGCAGTCTCACCGGAGGCGGAGCTGGCAAAAGGGCGATACAGAGCCCAGATGCGGTTGTGCTGAGTGAGCGGCAGGGCGCGGAGGGCTCGGTCGAAGGTGCGGCGGGTGGTGGTGACGAGGGGCTGCTGCATCAAAAATTCCAAGTACATTTCCCAGATGCGCGGCATTTTGTTCAGCAGCACCAGTGCGCGCTCGAAGAGAGCATTGGTCTTGACGTAGTGGGCCTGGTACTTGGCCGGGTTCTTGCCCTTGATGTGCTGGACACGCAGGTCTAGGTACATCTTCCACAGCTTGTAGGAACGCGGCAGCGTGGTGCAGGCGCGCTCTAGCACGAAGGCTTGCTCGAGCAGGGAGCCATTCTGGCGCTTGAAGGCAGCGTAGTCGAGCCACGGCTTGATGCTGCCCGGGCTGCGGATGAGTTCCTGCTCGTAGATGACGTCGCTATCTTGGATCAGGTACAGGTCGGACGACTTGGTGGGTGAGGTGCGCTTCGTCCGCGGGACCTGTGCAGCAGGCTGCGGCGCGTCGCCGGCAGCGGGGCGAAGAAGCTCTCCAGGCATCGCTCGTGACGGGCGTTGCTGGCCTGGCTTGAGGCCGAGAGGCGCGGGAGACGGATGCTTTGGAGCGCGTCGTATGCGGGATTGGGCTGGAGGGGGAGGAGAGGAGTAGAGGGCGAATCGCCAGACGGCGCTTGGTCGAGAGTTTCGAGTTTCGCGCGCTGCTTCACGCCCGCCGCTAGCGCGTGATTGGCCGCCGGACGGTCGGGCACGACACACCTCACTCACTCAGTGCGCCCGCCGTCGAGAGCACGAGCTCCACTCAAGCCAACACCAAGCTATCGAGCTCAGCCACCATCTCTCCCTTTCTCTGTTCTCGGCCCGGGCCCGTGGTGCAGGCTGCTCCTCATTTCGCATCCCCCCTAATTATAATCGCCCGAAATGTCCTCGGGCGGCGCGGTACGATGACCCGCCTCCCGCTATTGCGCTATCCGCGGCGAGAGCTCACACCCAGATCCAGGCGCGTGAGGCCGTCTTCCCGACCCGCCAGGTGTTGGGACAGATGAAGAGCAAGCTCAAGGGAGCCCAGACTGGCCATGATCTGCTCAAGCGCAAGAGCGAGGCCCTGACAAAGTGCGCCATGCCCGCCATCACCGCCCCGCCAACTTCCCACTCTGTTTACTGACGTCCCTGCCCACACACAGACGCTTCCGAGGTACCTTCTCCCTTCCCGAGTTCGCTCCGTCCGAGCTTCGTCCCGCTGAGTGAGCGACAGAGATCACCCGCCGCATCGATGAAGCCAAGCGCAAGATGGGCCGCGTCATGCAGATCGCCGCCTTTTCGCTCGCCGAAGTGACCTACGCTGCTGGTGGAGACATCAGCTACCAGATCCAGGAGTCGGCGAAGAACGCCAAGTTCCGTGTTCGCACCAAGCAGGAGAACGTCTCTGGTGTCTTCCTGCCGCAGTTCGAGAGCTTTACCACCGAGGGTAACAACGACTTCGGTCTCACGGGTCTAGGCAAAGGTGGACAGCAGGTGCAAAGGTGCAGAGAGACGTATGCTCGTGCAGTGGAAACGCTGGTCGAACTGGCTAGTCTGCAGACCGCCTTCGTCATCCTAGACGAGGTCATCAAGGTCGTGAACCGCAGAGTTAACGCCATGTGGGTGATCCAGGAATACCTTCTAGCTATTAGATATACTGACCGTCATAACAGCGAGCACGTCATCATTCCCAGGACGGAGAACACGATCAAGTACATTAACTCGGAGCTGGATGAGCTCGACAGAGAGGAGTTCTACAGACTGAAGAAGGTTTCTGGCAAAAAGGAGCGCGACGCTGCCGAGGCAGAAAAGGAGAGAGATCTCAAGCAAGGACAAGGCGCGGCTGCGCAGGTTGAGGGTGAAACGGAAACGAAGGACCTCTTGGGCGATCAGGACAACGAGGATGTCATTTTCTAGGCCAGTATCATTTTGTGTTGTACATCTTGCATGATCATCATTAAATCGCGCCTGGAGTTGAGGACATCTCTGTACTAAAGCCGATGACCCAACCCCAGGCTTGTTTTGCGCGAACCGGTATCTCTTGCGTCTTGCTCCACCCAACCAGTATCACATGCTTCCTTACCTACTGGCGCTGGTACGTGACCTTCATGGGCTTGCCTTCGTCGCCAAGCGCCATTCCAGCCGTAGCCTCCTTCGCGCTGATGGCGCCAGCCTCGGCTTCATATTCAACGAAAGCAATGCCGCTGCGACCAGGCACCACACGAACTTCTCTGAAGCCCTCGAAACGACCAAAGATGGCCGAGAGAGCCTCGACATCGTATCCGTCGGGGAGATTCTGGACGAAAAGAATCTTGTTCGGCGGGAGGTACTCGTCGGGAATGACAGCAGCCGCACCACCGGTGGATTTGAGGCCAGCACCGCGAGCCTTCTGGGTCGGGCGGTTCGACTCTGCAGGAGCGCCGGCGGGGCGCTTCATCTTCTTCTGCGCTTCCTGCGCCTCGAGCGCTTGCTTCCTCTCTGTAAAACTGGTGAGTAAAAGGCCACTTACGTCAAATAGGCTGTGGAGGCTATGAGGACGATAATCCATCTGAGCCCGCTGTGCAATGGGAACATCATAGACGGAATACCTTTCTCAGCCAGGCGGTGGCGCTTGTGAGCCTCGAATTCCTCCTCGGTGCCTTCACGCTTGACGATGGCATCGCTGCGCGTGCGGGCGTAATCCAGCTTCATGGGCTTGTCGAAGACGTCAAAGTCCTGCAGTTCTTCGATAGCGCGCGTAGCCGACTCTACATTGTCGAAGACGACGAAGGCCTGACCCTTCGCCTTGAGGTTCTTGGCGGCGCGAATGTCGAGGATGGTGCCATATTCTTCGAAGATCTCGCGGAGGGTGTCCTTGAGGGAGTCGAGCTTGATGCGCTCCTCGAGGTTCTTGACCTGCGTCGCGTCAGATCAACTGCGTGGTAAGAGGACTTGCGCGTCATACGTAAACACTGTCGACCAGTTAGCGAATAACGCGCCATGATAAGAGCTATACATACGTGCAGTTTGGCGGGGTTGAGGTTGCCATCGTGGCGGCGTTTTGGTAGACGAAGCTGCTCTGTCGAGGAAGCTTTAGGTGCTAGGGTGAACTGGAAGGTTGAACCGATGACGCTAAATCAAGGTGCGCAGTCACGTGCACTAATCCAATGCCCGCATCATGCCAGGTTCTCTCTTCCATTTCCTCGTCCCGAATGTCTCAGGTCTAACCAAACTTGATCGCGCCGATGTTCTCGCGCACTTGCTTACAATGGTTTATGCGGAATGATCCGAGAGGCCGCGCGTTGTTAGAATGACGACGCCTAGAAGAAAATAATCCTTGCCGTCTCCCGGTTGTTACCGTTCAGAAGTCGCCAAACAGTCCAGCCGCAGTGTTGCTGCTTATTATTTCCGAAGAACCCGATTGATTACTGGCAAGCACTTTGCAAATTATGGGTTCTGTCTCGCGTTGACCTAAACCACAGATAACAGGTCACACGCATCACTTTAGAAGCGTTTTGCTGGGGCAGATTTGGAGAAAATAACATGCTGCAAGACTCAATTGAATTCAATTTCGAATTGATGCCATCCCAAGCTGCCCAGTGCTCTTACGACCCTCTGGTGTGAGATAGACGAACAAAAGGTAACCTCATAGTACGACAATAAGACTTTGAAAGGATAGGCTCACGCCAGTATCCATGCAGTGCAAGGAAGTCTCCGCTGGGTTTGGAAGGTGGGGGAACGGTCTTTGAGGGTCCAGAATTGTTGCGTAACACATGCATGGTCATTCTCGTTCCGCAGCAAAATCCGGCAAAAAGTCAGTGCGCCGCACGAGCAAAAAACAAAACGTACAACAGCCGGGATTCCCCAATGGTCACCCACTTGAGTACTAATCGGCCGGTTCGCAGCTTAAGTACGGCTGAGCGGACGGGAAGCCCTGCATTCTGCGACCTATGGTCGTACGTGGTGGTGAGGGTTGCGGAGAGTGTTCATGTATCGCAGTCAACAGACAGTCGCCTGGCTGTCGACTGAAGGACGAGGGCACACCCAGTCACTGTCCAATGGTAGTGTAGTTTCTATGGAGTTCTGGAGATGGTAGACACAGACTATTAAATTTTTCTTGAGATAAGCGAAATAAAGACTGAAAATCTTCGGAATACGGAAAGTATCAATGCTCGTGTTATATTTTGCTTTTCCAAATCGAGCTGACAAAAACTTGAGCTGCGACCATTGTGTGATCTCCTCCAACACGAACAGCGAAAATACTTCATCCGAGGGAAAATCATCAGCTAAGATGTATCATTGAGTATTCTTATGCTTTCAATCTATTAAGGCTGCGGGGATCAGCCAAAACTCTGCATTATCGCATTTAAAGGAGAAAAAGGGGTTGTAGTGCCCCGCTAAGAATTAAGAAAGATTTTTATGGGAGGCAATGTGAGAGGCCTGACCCAGACAAACGGCCCGTTCGAATATTCATCTATGTCATTGCTTGATCATCCTGGCCCCTAGAACTGCCACGGAAAAAAGTAAGGGGGCACTAGATTCGCTGTCTTCATGGAGTACCTTGCACCTTGAACGTGCAGTTGAATGCGCATCACGCAGACTTCTCAGTGGAACAGAGACTCGCTTATGAGAGCTGCCACATATATAAACGTCCATTCTACTTTTGTCACATAAGAAGTGTTGCATGACTTGACAAATTTCACCATTCTGAGAAACACTACTCGGCTTTCCTAAACAAGAATCAATCAAACAACTTGAGCCTTTATCCCGTCTGCTACACTTTTCAAGTTCTTGGATGGCTGTGACCAGTCATGTCCCTTGAGGTCCCCATTCGCCGAAACCACAAATAATGTCTCCGCCGCCGCGACACGGATCTGTCATCCAATAGAGTCAGTAGCGGTTTACGTTATCTTCATTGCCTTAACAAACCTTGGGGAAGGGGTGCAGCAGCATGCTTGCCAGCTTCGTTCGCACATCCTGACGAATGGCCGGGACATTTGCAAGCCCTCGGTATACATCGAGCGCGAGGTAGAGCTTTTGCATGTTGTTGGATTTGAAGTGGGCCTTTTGAACGAGCGAAAGGAAATTGCGCCATCTGAGACAGTCCAATAATAGATGAATGGTTAGCCAGTGTACTTTTGGTATGAAGGGGAAAGAAGTCGAGGCAGACAACATACTTGAAATTGCTTCCGACGAGCCGCTGTAAAACCTGAGCATCGAGCAGGAATGCCAAAACCTCGAGCAGGGGCAGAATGATGCGGTCGTTAGCGAGCTGAGCCTTGAAGACGTCCAGAATTGCATTCGCCACATGAAGGAGAGAGAAGCTTTCGCTTTCGGTGGGGAGTACTTCAAGACGCTCAACAAGCGCAAGCCTCGAGGCTTGAACGACGGACTCAGAGCCCATGCCGGCGGAACTGATGTACCCTTCCACAATAGCGAGGTTCGTACTCTGTGTTGTTCCGAAGTCGAAGTATTTAATCGCACGTGTGAAGTACTCGTGCGATGATATTCCAGAGGCGATGAGTTCAGCTTCCCTTTGCGGGATGTCAGCGACGTTCCTCATGAATGCGAAGTAGGCAACTTACGTATCAAAGTAGCCCCTGCCATTATGCTGCAGACACGAGGCGGCTCTCAGCCTCACTTTGTCCAGCTTCTCCAATGACAGTCTTGTCACATCGGCGATGATCTGTTGCTCTTGCTCAAGACCGGTGAGCAGACCGTACTTCCAAGCACTGTCCACAGCATTGAGAGCTTCCAAACGAACAAGCGAACCTACGTCGCCCCGCTCATTGATTGTGTAATCATTCAATGCTGTTATCAGCGCGACAGAGATCTTAGAGTTCAATGAGCTATCAGCAGTCACTGCCGCTGCTTCAAAGACGAACTGCAGGCTCTGTAGTGCAACCACCCGCGCCTCGATCCCGACTTTCTCTGTGCATCGAGAAGTCAAAAGCTCGATTATTCGTGCACGGTCCGCATCGTCTGAAGCTGATGGGTATATTGCTCCAACGGCAATAGCATATCCCGAATCGCGCGCAGCAGTCCTGACGTTCGCTGAGTTGAGGTGATCCAACCATGAGTGCGCCTCCTCCTTCCGATCATTGGGATCCAAGAGCAGCGAAATATTGGCGACAGCCGAAGGCACGGCACGAAGTACTGAGTCCTCTGTGCGACCGAGACAGAGCCTCAAGGGAGCCAGGGCAAGAGCCTTGGTAAAAGGAACGGGAGAGGAGACGTTGTCGCCCAAGCTATTGGTAAGACCAGCCAGGGCAGCAATGAAGGTGCAGACAGCAAATGCAGTTAGTTCTGGCCGAAGTGCAGGAGATGCGAATGCCCGCTCGGGAAGGTCGAGTTGGCCGTCGAGAAGACTCCAAAGCCCAGCGATTTCTGCAATTTCCTGTCCCTGCAGTGGAGTTGATTGGTCAATTGACTGTGTTGAATTTTCTGGAGCATACCGACGGCCGCTTTCCGTTACCAGAGATGCTAGCGATAGTATCAGGCCATGACGTTCCTCGACATCTCGGATATGTAGCTTGCAAAGCTGACTGCGGACACGTTCAATCATGGCTTTGACGGTGCTGAAAGGCTGAATACTGCTCAGGCGGCCTATAGCATTTGAGGTGGAGGCTCTGGAAGGCGCATCGAGAGATCCAACACCTCGCCATCCAAGCAACCCTGCAAAAAGAGAATCCCAATATATCTGGCCCAATTGTGCGGCCTTGAAGCCGACCTGGCTAATGGCACGATCGCGCAGCCCGACAGCATGGAAGTCGACGATCTGGACCAGAGGAATTCCTTCGAGTACTGTATTGGGGTGTCTGCCGATAAGTTCCTGGAGTGCGGCAGAAGACCCCCTTCGGATATTTCCAGCGGGATCCAAGCATGCGGCAACCAAAAGTTCAATGGCCAGGATCTGTGGAATAGACAGCGCCTGATCGTGTCCTCCTGCAGCACGGATCGAGGTAGTGCTCACCGAGAGTAGTTCGTCTGTCGTGTATCTCCTGGACAAGGCCCAAATACCGAAACAAGCGGCATCCCGGACATTTGTCCCGATAGAACCTCCGGTGGCAGAGCGCTGTTCGAAAGTGAGAGCGAGAAGCAAAGCGTTGAGAATATCTGGAAGTTGATCGGTGGATGGCGCTCTTCGATATAGTAGCTGAGAGAGTGCAAGCGTGAGACCATGCCAGCGCAGAGGGTTGACAGCACTTAGGTTCCTGGCAGAGCCTTCCCATAATACATCTTCATTGAGGCAGCCTAGAATGGCCTCGATAACCTCGGCGCCAAGTTCCGACTCGAGCTTCATGGTGACGACGCTGAGCGCCTTGCTTGCTGCGTATCTGACTGGGGAATCGCCGTCGCCCACGGTTTGCAGTAGGAAATCTATGACGTCCTCCAGCAACGCGGACGAGTCCTCCGGGGAGTCTGATTGCAAGTAATGAACGACGATATTGCGGAACGTTTTGATGACAAGCTTCCTGGCGACAGCGGACGATTTAACAAATTCGAGATTGCCTTGGTTGATGATGAAATCACAGGCTTTATAGATATCCCTAAGGAAAGCTCCCAATTCGTCTTTGTTTGCGGACGCAACAAGGCCACTGAGAAAAGTCAAGACTCCCAGACAGATGTGAATATCAGAGACGCTTTCAGTTGTGTTACTGAAGAACGATAATGCCCACTTGACGAGAGATTCCAGTAGGCCTACTTTGCGCATGTCGGGCCGCAAAGACAGCCGCACCAGAAGGCCTGCAGCGGCATCACGCTCTCGCGTTGCACACTTGAGATGGTCAATACATATCGGGATTATGCGGTTGACAACGCCGGGCAGATCATCTGGCAGACTGATGCCGGTGCGCTGGTGGGCGGTTTCAGCAGGTTGGAGGGAGGAGATTGAGGCCAGGTCGAAAGGAGCAAGCATGAGGTGAGAAAGCCAAAGCAAGGCTACGAATTTTTCTTCCCAAACGAGAGAATCATCACCCAGCCCTTTCTCGAAGTGATCAAGGATGGGCTCCAGATAGCGTGGCTCGTTGCTAAGGAAGCCTATAATAACCTTCTGGCCGCGAACCTTGCAGAGGGTATACAAGACTCGAGAAACGGCCTGAGTAAGAGTGGTGGTTTTGGGCTTGAGAGGCTTCCGCGATGATTGGAGCAAATACTCCAAATAGGCATCAACCAGCTGCGGCACGACATATTTCAAGTGCGTGTCGAGAAGCTGCGGCTCCTCTTGAAACGGCTCTATCTTCATGGGGAGTTAGCAGAAGCTTATCCAACGAGACATTGGAAAAGAGGCTGTACAAAAGACAGAAGGCGGTCCAGGTCTCGCTGCCGCACTAGACCATGGACTTGACGGCGGCCAGCGGATACAGGGGTAGATTTCCATAGAATCTTTCCCAAGGACGAGTGTAGGTCGGATAGTAGGCCAGCGGAGGCCCGCTGGAGCCTGATATCCTCGTCATCGATAGCATCCATGGAGATCCGAAGCGAGAGTAGCTGATGAAGGAAGGAGCAGTGAGGGCGCGGGGAGCTGGAGCGCTTGGCGTGACGTGGTGGGGCGCGACGCGGGCGCGCGACTGCTCCGGCGACGCGACTTCCGCGCCTGAACATTTCCCGCATCTTCACATTTCACTACCACTTTCCACCACCCACCTCGAGCTTTTGTGACTGGACTTTCCGCCATGGACCAGTACAAAGCGCACCTGGCAGCCCGGGTGCTCCAGGAATCGCGCCCTGTATGCTTCAACCCCATTTCCGCGATCTTGCTGCTGACTTCGGCTGCAGATCACCTACAAGCTGCTGAGCCGTGAGCTGAAGGTCCACGTTCACCAAGCAAAACAGTATGCACCACGACATTTCTATGGGTCTTGTTGCTAATCCTTTGATCTAGAATGCTCTACCATTTCCACGCAACCGAGAATCAAAAAAAGCCTGGTTCCGTCCACGCTACCTACATCATCACCGGCACGAAACACCCTGAGCCCGCGACCCAAGCCAATGGCCATGGCGATGAAGACGTACCGATGCCCAGCAGTCCAATTCCTAGCTCTTTACCCGACGCCCCTGCCGAAGATGAGGAAAGCCGTCTGAAGGTCACATCGATCAAGCTGGTGGGGGAGGAACATATGGACGAGGCCAGAGCAGAATTCGAAGAGATCACATCCATTCATGTCTACAGCCTGGAGCCAGGTCCTCTGAAGGACCTTCAGATTCTCTCTGACTGCACTCGCGAGATAGCTGAGAAGTGTGCCGATGAGGACCCGCTTCACGCATGGGAAACCTACGGCTCCATACACAATCCGCACTCAAAGAGGAGGACACCTGGAATTAAGCCTCAGGCTCCAGCACCTGTTGCTACATCTGCCCCGACGAAGACAGCCCCCCGCCCGAGTACTACGGCCGTATCCAGTAAGGAAGTGCCAGCCAAGGGTCGCGAATCGCAAGCTGCCCCTCGCCAATCCACCCCACAAGTCGATTCCGCGGCATTACCGAAGAAGAATGTTGATAAACAAAGCTTGAAGAAGAAGGAGGCCTCGAGTATCTTCGCATCGTTCGCAAAGGCACAGCCCAAGAAGAAAACAGCTGAGTCGGGAGCTTCAACGCCGGCCACGAAGTCAGCGGAGCAGAGTCAAGCGGAAGATGAGCCGATGAGGGATGCTTCAGAGGAAGAAGGAGAGGATGACGACGTAGTCATCACTGGCGCGAATCAGAAATCCAAGGAAGAGAATGCTGAGGCGATGAAGAAGGCCCGGGCCGAGCGAGAAGCGAGGGAAAAGAAGCTTCGAGATATGATGGACGAAGACGATGATGATGCAATTATGCAGGATGCGCCGGCTGCTGCATCCGAGGAGCTTGAGGAACCTGAGAAGTTGGACGCAGATGCACCTGCACCTGCGAAGCCCGAACCAGAACCAGAGAAGAAGGACGAAGTCACGGTATCCAATGGCCGCAGAAGGGGACGGAGGCGTGTCATGAAGAAGAAGACCTACAAGGACGATGAAGGATACTTTGGTAAGTTTCCAGCCCATTACTCTCGAAATGACGCTACTAACGACTCGTCCATGAAGTCACGAAAGAAGAGCCGGTCTGGGAGTCCTTCTCGGAGGATGAGCCCCAACCCAAGAAGCCCAAGCCTAACCCTACGACGACAACGAAGCCGAAGAAGGGCGGTGGAAAACAAGGACAGGGAAGCATCATGTCTTTCTTCGCGAAGAAGCCCTCTTAATAGACTATACTTTGTAGCAGAGTACTTTACCGGGACAACAGCTGAACGAGAAACATCTCGGGGGCAAGGTTAGCAAGTGCACCAGTGACATTGGAAGCCGACAGATCAAAATGGCCCACTTTGAGGCGTATGTAGAATAATACACATCAGATACCCTGGCATGGCCTATCTTCAAAAATTTGGACCATCCTTTAAGTCATCAGAATACAGTTCGTTCAGTAATGGAAACTGCGAGGCCACCGCAATTTGAGTGAAGAAATTGCAGAGTTGGATTAAAACTTGTAGATAGCTCTGTGGTTAAAGTATAAGTTTCCATCGTCTTATTAGGTGTTGAAGGATAGAACGTTCATATCTACTAGATTTGTAGGGGTGGAATATGAATAAAATATAAGCAAAAGTTAGTTGCCTGTTTACGAAAGATATCCGTGAATAAATTCAGAGTTGCAGCGTCCTTATAACCAGGATTTAATTATTTAGCGTGAAAGCCATGGAGACACAGCACAAAGTTATCACATCTACGTAGAGGTTTTTGGTAAAGCAACTCTGGCTCGGGTGAAGATTACTTTATGCATGTAGCAAAGTTTCTGGCAAAACTAGCTAATGTAATCTCGATATCATACTTTAGCCTTAACCAGCCACTTGGAACCAGATGATCCGGCATCCGCACAATAACTTGCCCATGAACTCGTTTTTTTTCTGGCTCCCTTACTTTGCAAGGACGGTTGAATTATATACGTCGTATCCGATAATTATTCTCGTACAACACCTGACGTCGTCAACTGTCGCATGAATAATTTCAGTCAACATCCATCCTTCCTGATCCACCCTGCTTCTCTTCATCTTCCACCGTCTTTTTTACGCCCTTCAGAAATGCCTCAACTGCATCACCACCGCCCAGGGGAACGCCACTGTGGCGCATGAATCCTCCATTCTCAACCTTGATTTTCAAGGCCTCGCTCACACTCGGGAGACCGCCATCCCTCAGAGCCACCGTCAAGCTAGACAAGCTCTGGTGTAGCTGCGGGGAGCGAAGAACCCGCTTGAGGATATCCTTCTTCTGTGATATGCTGAGTGCCTGGATGGCAGCCTGGACGGTCTCGGAGTTGGGGTCGGCATCGGAGAGGTCGGCCGCTTCTTGGGAGAGGAGGAGAATGGCTGGAGGAAGGTGCGAGAGGAGCGCGTCGATGAAGGCAGTGTCGCCCGCCTCGATGACGGGAATGGTGTTGGAGGAAGAAAGAAGATCGGCGAGCGTCGTGAACAGGCTGCCCTGGGCCTGCGCCTGGGATGCGCTGCCGCCGGCATTGAGAGAGTTGAGGAAGTTCTGAACGATTGCTGATGCATCGTTCTGCCTACCACTTGTGGGAAGTTAGCATCGCGTGCTATGATGGGATGGCGACGGATGACATGAGCGTTGCTTGGGCTTGAGGTGCGGGGCCGAGACAGGGTCACCACTTGAGCGTGACCATCCGTAATCGATTCACTCTCTACGTAACACGCGAGTCGGGCAATGGAAGCGCTGTCTTCGAGCAGCTTCTATTCCAACAACGAAGCACCAATCTTGTTATGCCCTCATAACGCCATGCCAGGACGCCTCATGAAATCGAGAAGTGACCTACGCTCGAGCTCCGTCAGCACCTCCCTCACGGGCCTCCTCGCCTTCTTCCCTGACGTCGCCACCAGTGGCGCCGGCACCAGCGCCGCCGCTGCCCTGCCTATGATGGTCGTTGCCGGGGGCATCTTCCATTGTCTCGTCGTCATCTCCACCGCGAGGAGGGTTCTGGACCTGGCGCATCTCGTCCTGAACATCAATCTCCTCTCCAGAGAGCAGCATGTCAACGATCTGGCCAATCTTCAAGTCTCTCGGGCTGAACCAGTTGGCCTCGCCGCTGGGGTGCTGGCTCTTGGACTGCAGCCAGAAGAGGTGGCGCTGCGAGCTGGAGGAGAACTTGAGGACAAAGATGCGACCATCGGTGGGGGATCTGAGGTTGTCCGAGTCGGGGTTGTCCTCCTTGCCGGTGTAGGGAACGAAGGAGCCGTCGCCGGGAATCATGAGCAGGTCGAGCTCAGGGTCGTTGACCGACGCCGACCGCGGGCGCCAGCAGAAGTGGCAGAGCTCTGCGAAGCTGTTAGAAGTGCGAGCTATCGACAACGAGAATGGCAGGGGCCGCACCATCGCCGACGTAGAGGTAGATGTAGCCAGGCGTCGACACGGCCTTGACCTTCCAAGGGTCGGAGCTGGTCTGCAGCAGGCATCAGTAATCGGGCTTGCGGGGAGAAATGGGGCAGGAAGCACTGACGTCGACTTCGCACTTGCCGGCCTTGAAGGTGATCAGCGGGGCTATCGACATGGTGGATGTGTGGAGTAGCGGAGGTGTTGGGGAGGAGAAGTGAGGCTGGAGCTGCTCGCACAAGCACAAGCAACCTTCGGTGGATCAGAGGCAACGTCAAGCTCCGCCGCTCCAGTCGCGTTGCGCTGCCGGGCTGCAGCTCGCGCACGGGCGCTGTGTTCTTGGCGGCATCATCGCGGGCCAATCACGCCCTGCTCGGCTCGGGCCCGGAAAAACGTGTCCGGAATCGCTCACCACACGATCAATTTGAACTTCGCTTGCGAGTATTGTGACGGGCTTGACGACGACGACTCAACCACCCACCGACCCCTACCCCGACCGGATTATCCAAACCACCATCCGAAATGTCGGCTCCCCAGGCTACGACCAAGAAGTTCGGCAAGGGCGAGAGGACCATCCCTCACCACACCGAGAAGGCCGCCAAGTACTACCCGGCTGAGGATGAGCAGCAGCCCCGCAAGGTACGCGCATTCGAACGACAGCACAGCGGGAAAGAGGGGGAATCGCAGGATATATTGGTTGGAGCTGCGGCGACGGGCGCCCGCGTTGCGCACTTAGCCCGAGCTCTTAGCAATTCCGAGTTGGCGATATGTGGAGCGCACAACAGCAACACCAAAAAGCTGACGCAGCAATTCTTCTGCAGGTTCGCAAGGCTATTCGTCCCGCCAAGACGCGTGCCTCGCTCCAGCCCGGCACCGTCCTGATCCTCCTCGCCGGCCGTTTCCGCGGCAAGCGCGTCGTCCTCCTCAAGCACCTGCCCCAGGGTGTCCTTCTCGTCACCGGTCCCTTCAAGGTCAACGGCGTCCCTCTCAGGAGAGTCAACGCCCGCTATGTCATCGCCACCTCCACCAAGGTCGACCTGAGCGGCATCGACTCCGCCATCGTCGACAAGGTCGGCGCCGACGGCTACTTCGTCAAGGACAAGAAGGAGAAGAAGGCCAGCGAGGAGGCTTTCTTCAAGCAGGGCGAGAAGCCCGAGGTCAGTAGCGCAGGATATCGCAGCGGAGGACGGACACTGACAGGACGATTAGGCTCGCAAGCCCGCCAGCACTCGTGTTGAGGACCAGAGGTCAGTCGACAAGGCCATCCTTGCCAACATCAAGAAGAGCGACCCCTACCTCCTGAGCTACCTCGGCTCTACCTTCAGCCTGCGCAAGGGTGACAAGCCCCACGCCATGGTTTTCTAAGCGATCCGTCGGAGGAGTCTGGGATGACGTGGATGAGTGGATGCGGATATCCAACAACCGGCTTGCTGCGGCCGTAATAGCAGGTTTTCATGGCACGGCGATGGTTACGGAGGGTTCGGTCTGCATTTCCAGAGATATTGTACTGCGAGGCTGAATTCCACAAAAAACATCCGAGATGCTACCTGGCGCTTCTGGTTCTCTATTTCAATGACACAAAAAGAATGGACATTGAAGGCCGTTAGAGCAAATATTACAAAACGAGACTCCCAACACCAAAAGGCGGCATTCGAACATGTCTCCAAACCGTCACAGCTGTCTCGCAGGTTTCACTTTGGTTTTCTTATTTCCGTCACTACTTTCCTTTTCCCTTACTCCGTCTGTTTTTAATCCTTGAACCCAGGTTGTCCACGGCGCCATTGGCACTGTCAAGCGCTTTGCTCGTCTTCTCCGGCACATGATGCTTCTCGAGCTCGTCCCGCATATCCTCCACGACGTCACCGCCGATCGTTGTTCCGTGAGCCCAATCTAGAAGACCCCACGGCGCGTAGTTGCCTTGGCCGCCCGTCAGAAGATGTGCATCAGCACGCCTTGCCATTCCGCTCAAGATGATCGTCGACGGCAGTACGGAGTATCCCGAGTATACCAGCAGCTCTTCCAGCGAGACTAGCGCCAGCAGCAATTGAAATGTCAAGATGTGGAAGCGGAAAATGACCGCGGGTAGGTAAACGGGCAGCCAGCGGTGCAGCAGCCATGCAACCGGATGGTCATAGTTTGCGACAAACGAGTACGGCGCGCGAATGCTCAATTGCCAGTTCCGATGCCATCGCGCGATGCGGGATCGTGGTGCGTGGAGAATGTGTCGATGAATGTAATATTGCAGGATCTGTGCCAAGCGTGAGCTGAGTGCACGGTTGGAATGATTTCCATTGGGCCGCAAGACAATGTTGGTAAGGAGATTGCAGCAAAGGAAGTTGCCGTACATAAACCATCTATTCGTTTGTGACCGGCCTTTCTCTGCTTTCTGACGTTGTTTCGAATAGAAAAGATACACTTACACCTCTAATGAGAAAGCCTTTACAAATGTCCTTGGCAAGTCCCCATGGGAGTGGCAGTCTCGTTACGATCTTGAGCGCGCTTTTCACGCGCAAGACTTTGGTCAACACCAAGTCAATGCTCACCTGGAGTGCAATGCCGAGTAAGATGTTGAAGATGCTCCATGCGGTGACTTTCAAGACGCCTTGCCGACCTTTGGTTCCCTTTGCGCCACTGCGACCCGGCAGTGCGATTTGGCCTTGCGCCTTGATGGCAACAGAGAGACTGGGCACTGTGACGTCGAAGAGGAGGAATAACGAAGATGGCAGGATGTAGAAGAGCAGACGTACGGCGAGTGTGCCGAAGCCTTCGACACGTAAAGGCGGGTGTGACAGGACCAGAGTCGACCATGTTAGGTAGAAAAAGAGAAGGTTAAGCGAGGTGCTGTAATTGGAGTAGATTGGGAGAAAGGCGGCGCTGAGCAGCGGGAGTCCAAGCAGCGTGTCGAGCATAGTGGCGAGCGCGAGCCGCAGCGGTAGGCCGGAAGCAACAGCAATGTATCCCGATACTAGGCGCTGCCGTTCGCGCGATGTCGTGATTGGCGGCGTTCAATTGAGGAGATCCGCGTTGTTGCACGACGGCTTGAGAACACGCAGTTGCAGCCGGAGACTTGGAAGCCGAGGAGAAGGGTTAAAGCTGCTATCCTGACGAAGTTGAGGGCTGATAGGAAGATGGGCGTAGGGATACATGGGACGGGAAGCGCAAGCTGCGGGGTCATGATAAGCAGCAAGGTTGGAAGCTTGGTGTTGCATCCCGCAGGGTCAAGCCGATGACGACAGTCAGGCCGCAGCATTGTGCCTGTGAGGCCCGCCCGACCGCGCGGAGCACGCGACGAATGGAGCTCTGGCGAGTCCGAGCGTTTGCCATGTGCGCCTCTTCTCTCGCTTCGTAGCATTAATTTGGCTGCTAAATGCATCCTCCTAGCCGTAACGGTCGTCCTTCTGCTGGAACTCCCGACGGCCGGGTTGACGACAGGGAAAGCCTCGGCAGTATTGCCCGAATCCTCCTTATTTTTTCCCAGCAGAGAAAAGTAAGGAACCGCGCAGCAGAAGCAGCTGACTGTCTCTCCGCGGCGGCATCCATGTCGCATTGAGCCCCGAGCTCAGACATTGAAACACTCGGCAAGGCGCTTCACCCGCCGTTGCAGAGCGGCCTGGGCGAGAAACCTCCATGCGGACTTGCTATGGGCGGCGGGTGCAATTTCAGGTAGCAGGTGTAGCGTACGCTGGCGCGCCCGCACCCCTGTATCGCTCCGTCGATCTAATGCTCGTGCGGGCTCACCCTGACTGCGAATAATAACCAACCGCAACGCCCCTCGTGGTGTGAATTGACCCGCTTGACCACCGCGCTGCTCGCTCCAGCACACTGCGGCGCCCGTGGCAGCGCGCCTCCGCACTCTCGTTTCTTGCGCGCTCTTTGCGACACAATCATGCAGCCAGCTCCCATCGCACCCGCAGCCGCCTTCCGTGGAAGCTACACCCCTACCGCAGTCCACCACGCCTGCTGATTCCATTCCGTCGTCCCTTGCGTCGCGCCCTCCGCCGTCCACCAACCATGGAAGACCCGCCGCCTGCGACCCCGCTGCAGAATGGGAGCGCCAATCCCAAGCGCCATACCCTGCCCGCGTCTACGTCCGCCCCCCGAGAGGGCCGCTCCCGGCGCTCGCCCAACCACATCCGCCCAAAACCCGCGTCGCCCGAGGTCATATCGTCGCTGATCGACTCCTTATCCGCTATTTCCCTGCCTGCACAAGACCACTTTGAGAATCTGCCGCGCATCGGCGGCGGGGATGGTGACAGCTACTCCGTCCCTGCCAGCCCTGTGGCATGGCAGTCTGGGTTTCAGAACGGCCACGGGGGGTTTGGGGTCGAATACGGCGTGCATAGGAACCAACGGTGGGAGGAGGAAAGGCAGAACGACCCGGACTTCGACGAGGCCGCCGAACCGCCGGTCATTAAAACCGCCCCACCGCCTTCAGGCTATTCACCGATCACCGCTCCGAAGGGGCACAAGCGAGACAGGGAAGGCAGCTCTCTCAAGAACTACATCCTCTCCACTTCCAAGAGCTGCAGCTCGCTAAACTCGAAGCACTCGAGCAACAAAGATGATGCGAGCAGCATCGCAAGCAGCATAACGCGCGGTCTGCGTCGCCACTCCACAAACAGCAGGGCTTCTTTGGAAAGCCGGCGCAGCGCAACCAAAACACGCAGCCTGGGCTATGCGAGCTCGCATGAGAGACTGCGGAGCCGCGACAGCGACTCGATCGGCCTGAGCAGCCCGCCGTCGGCTCTCTGGTCTCCCACAAAGAGCACCTCAGGCCCGCCGAGTCCGAGGAAACGGTCGCTGCAGTCCTTAAGGGGCTCCAGAATCGACGAAGTCCCCTACGAAGGGCCTTCGACGCCGCCGCGAAGGTCCAGGCCGAAGCCAGCACCTATCAACACCACCCCCGGTCCCGCCGAAGTTGAGGAGCGCGGCCCAAGATGGCCAGATGATTCCATTCCATCAAGGACTTCCAGTCTCCGTCACCAGTCTCAAAGTCCAGCCAAACACCGGCGGATAAGTTCGAGATCTCGGAGCAGGACACAGTCCAAAACAAGGACTGTCATTGAGGAAGACGAGCCAATGGAGCCGTCGTTTGAGCCCGAAGGAAAGGGCAAAGAAAAACTAGAAGAACCAGAGCACGAGGAGGACACGCAGGTCACTCGGCGAATCAAGGAGCTCAAGAGGCAGAAAGAACTCCGGGACAAAGAGGCAGGAAGCCTGCACCTCAACGTCAGCGGTGACGTTCAGGAGCCTCCCCGATCACCTAGTATGCGCACTCCGCTTTCCCCCATCACCCGTGCCCTAGAATTTGATGAGCAGCGGCCCATTGAAGAGTCTCTTGCAAAAGCTCATAGGATGCTTGGCCTTGCTCCAACCGAGATACGACGTTCGTTGACGAGCCCCTTACCCCTAGGGGATGTTGCAAATCCCGCTCAGCCTGAACAGAACGGCGGGTCGAAGAACGATGTTGAAGACGACCTCCCGATAGACTACAAGCTCGCGTTGCAGTCACTAGGTCGGAGTGAGAGCGAGAGAACCGCATCGAGTAATCCGAGTATCCGCCCGTCGCTCTCATCCATGGGACGCAGCCACACCATCGCGGGCCGTCCCTCGGCCGGTAGCAACAGCATGTCGGCCATGATGCAAGAGCACAATAAACGGTCTCTTGAAGAAGCGGCACACAAACTGGACCTGCACCTTAGCTTCGAAGCCCCATCGGATTCGCGAGCACCCTCTCGAGCGGCCAGCGCTGAGTCTACACCGTCGTCACGGCAGTCGCTCTTCGTGCCGCCGACAACAGGTTTGAAGCGATCCAACTCCAGCAGCAACGCCAAAAAGAAGCGATGGTCGCACCCGGACATCCCCTTGAAGGCTGAACAGAAACATAATGCAAAGGTTGATCAGATTAAGAGGGATTCGATGCAGGTCAAATCCCCACTCAAACCGCCACAAGTCCCGGAAGCCGTTTTAGAGGAGCCTCTTCGCCCTAACAGTGGGGATTCAATTGACGACGATGTCGACGCTTTCTTGTATTCGCCACGCCTGACGCAGAAGGTACGCGAACCGAATACCGGACGAACCATCTGCTTCTCTGAGGTTGGCGACCCGAATGGCTTCGCAATTTTTGTCTGCGTCGGAATGGGGTTGACTCGCTATGTCACTGCTTTCTACGATGAGTTGGCGACATCTCTCAAGCTGAGACTGATCACCCCGGATCGACCGGGAGTAGGGGAGTCCCAGTCAGACCCCCATGGAACGCCTCTCAGTTGGCCGGGTAAGTTCAATGAAGGACCCACAGTGTATGCACCACTGACGAATTCCATGTAGATGACGTTCTTTGTATTTGCCAAGCGCTCAAGATCACCAAGTTCTCGATCATGGCGCACTCGGCCGGCGCGATCTACGCCCTAGCAACAGCCTTGCGCATGCCGCAACACATTCGCGGCCGCGTGCATCTTCTCGCCCCATGGATTCCACCGTCACAGATGACTGCGGTTGGCCTCCCCGTCAATGCGCAGACGCCGGAGCGCCAGCTTCCAAGAGCGCAGCGTCTATTGCGCGTTCTCCCAACTCCGCTGTTGAAAGTGGCCAACTCTAGTTTCATGAGTGCAACCTCGGCTAGCATCACACGGAGCGTACCCAAGTCCCCTCAACGGGTCAAGCGCAAGAGTTACATTGCCGGCCAACAGAATCCGGCCGCCCGAGTATCAGTTGCAGCAAACAAAAATCGAGAGTCAATGATGTTGATGGACCGCGTGTTACCCAACGGTAGTGCCCTTGAGATAGCCGCCAATGACCCAGACGATCCGAATCACGAGGTGGCAGCGCAGGCGAAGGCGGCAATGACGCTGGCGGAGCAAGAGCGGCGCCGTGAGTATGACACGAGGCTCACTCTGTCGGTGTGGGACATGGCGACCACGAACGCAAACCCGGCTGTCGACTTGCTCGTATGTCTGGAACGCACCCAACAGATTGGATTCCGCTACGTGGACATCACTCGGGCTGTTGTGATACACCACGGCAGCAGAGACACGCGCGTACCGGTCGAGAACGTCAAGTGGCTGGGCCGCACAATGAAACGCTGCGAGGTGCGCATCCTTGAAGGCGAGAACCACGGCCTCATGGCCAGCGCAGTAGTCATGGGCAATGTGCTCACCGAAATGGCGAGGGAGTGGGAGGACTGGACGGCGGTGGTGAAGGAAAGCCGCAGCCGTGACAATCTGCGCGCGCAATTCAATAACGGTTCATGAGGAGTTCAACCTCGATTTCATCCCTTATCTGCATGTGGCCGACCGACCAAATGAGGCCATTTTTCCCTTCAATACTGTCCGGCTGTCCAGCAAATTTCATTTGTCGGGAATTTTGTCGACTTGGATTTCCTTGCGATTTTTGGTTTGTTGTTGTTGTTGTTGTTGGATTCTGGACTGTATACCCCTGAGATACCATTTCTTCGTGCGTTGAGTGGTGTTGTGAACAAGATCAGAAGCTGTCACTTGCCTTCACATCTGACCCTGCTTTCGTGACGTTCGCTAGTAATTCGTTGACCCGCTCACGAAATGGTTACCTACGAGAGACGGCTAAAAAGACCGAGAAATAGTAGATAGGATAGCTTCTAATGGAGTAATAGGTGGACGCGCCCACTGGACAAATTGCGCGGAGACTTGCCGTTACACGTGGCCGGGTTTACTAGGTACGCGCCGCCGGAGATGTGGATGTGTGCGTCAACTTGCAGCGTTGTTGATGCAAGGGGAGGTGGCAGATCACAGAGCCGAAGGCTAGCGTAACTTTGTTTGTCGCTCATGTCACAGGCAGTTGAAGCTGCCGTCTGGACGAGATGTGGAATTAAGAATTCTAGATACACGTTCGGACGCTAACTTAAACTATCTAATGTTATTTTTTTTTTAAAAAAAAAAGAGCAGCTGAGGTACAGTCACCCTGGATTCGAGGATTATGCTAGCCCTCGGCTGCAATACACCTCCGTAAATGAAGCTGCATGCGACGCACAGGCTGCGGCGTCGGTGTGGGTTGCTAGGCAGCGTGTTGGTGCAGCTGACGAGACAAACACGACGGCGAAGTCGGGCACACACACAAATTGCCCATGTGCACTGCCGTCACAGCGCACAGTCCGAATATTTTGAGTCGGCGGTATTGCTGTTAGTGCCGCGGAAGCGGCGTATTCGAAACTTTCAGCCTCGCGATTTTCCTCAAGCAAGCTGGGGAGAGCGTGGGCCACGCCGCGCGAGGTGGTTGGGAGGAGGCTGGCAAGCTCGATAAACCCACCCGCCCTGCATCACTTCCCGCCCAGCTCTAAGCCCGCATTCCTCTTCCCTCCCACGCACTCACTTCACTCTCCGTCTTAGTTGCGAACGCCTCAGTCGCTCGTTCAGCGCCGGATTTTCCGTCCTACCTGCATTCCACCTTTGGGCGCGGAGACAAGCTCGACGCTGCGGGTAGATCACAGATCACGCCGACCCCACCCGGCTGCCGACGAGGAACCCTCCCGCCTGCCTTCGACTGCATTCCGCGTCGCCAGCAGCCCGCCCCGCTCGCTCGTCCGTCTTTCTCGCGAGCTGAGCGTCCGACGGCATTCCACCAGCTGCGGCTGTTCCACCAGGTCTTCGACAGCGTCGCAATCGTCGCCCAACATGCTCGCTCCAAGCTCGCTTGTCTCCACATTCCTGGTCGCGCTATCGCTATCCCCGCAATGGTCGAGCGCCAACCCCATTCTAACCGCCGATGACGTCGTCGTTGAAGAGTACCACAACGTCACTCTCGTCGAGCGCGCCTGCCAGTACCCATGCGGCTGGTCGGGCCAGCTCTGCTGCGAGAGCAGCGGCGCGTGCTACACCGACTCGTCCAACCAGGCTCAGTGCAGCGCGACGGCTGGCAGCGGAGGCTACTGGCAGTACTACACGAGCACCTGGGTCGAGACCGACAAGGTGACCAGAACTGAGGTTCACAGTAGCTACGTCGGCGGCGCGACTGTATCAGCACAAGCGACCGGAACCGCCATCTCGTGCAACACGGTCAACGGCGAGACTGCTTGCGGCAGCATTTGCTGTACCTCGAAGCAGTACTGTCAACTCGACGGGCAATGCGCCGCAATCGGCGTGTCCGAATCACCTGGAGCATCCCCAACGGGTACGGGAGCCTCATACTCTGCGCCGGTGCGTCCGACGTCGGGAACGCTGATCACCATCACAGCTACCGCCGCCGCAACCACAACTGTCCCATTCGAGACGCCTGTTGCTACTGGCGCCACCGCGCCCGTGACTGCCGGTGAGAGCAGCGGCGGCGGTCTCAGCGGAGGTGCCATTGCCGGCATCGTCATCGGCACTTTGGCCGGTATTCTGCTGCTTGCGCTTCTCTGCCTCTTCTGCTGCGCGAAAGCCGCTTTTGACGGCATCCTCGCGATCTTCGGCTTCGGCAAGAAGAAGCGTCGTACCGAGTACGTCGAGGAGTACCACCGTCACAGCCACGGCAGTGGAAGCCGTCACTCTGGCTGGTACGGCGCCGGCGACCGCCCCTCCAGACCTCCGCCGCCGAAGAAGAGTGGATTGGGCATGGGTGGCCTTCTCGCCGGCCTCGCAGGCGCAGGAGCTCTTTTTGGTCTCAGCAAGAAGAGGCACGAGTCTCGCTACGACGATGACAAGACGACGACGACCGACTACAGCAGCTATTATTACAGTGACTACACAAGTTCAAGTGAGTGATCGCTCCTTTCTTCTTCTGTGAGAAAACCAGATTGCTAACTGACCTTTAGGCAGCGCCAGCTCAGACGACAGGAGGACGAGAACCACCCGTTACACCCACTCGCGTCGCTAGAGCCAATTGCATCCTCAGCATCTTCAACCTGTACAAATTCCACGGGCGGAACCAAAATTGCGGGGCATACGCATGCCCTTTCTAGCGCACCCGGACGTTGCAGTTTGCTTGCGTCGCTTTTCTCCGGTTCCTTAGGGTTTTCCTCTGCATTTGGATCGCCCCGTTTCTTACGGAGGCCTTGGCGTTTGCGGCATATATTCCCCTTCGGTTGCTCCCAGCGACGAGTCGTCGAGTCGCTTTCGAGGGATGTTCTTCGTTTTATTTGTTTTGTTTTCTAAGCCACGCGTAATATAGCGGGTGAATGACTTTAGACGAAATGTGGCTCTACGACATTTGAGGATAGGGAAAGCATGGAAATGATGGAGATGGGACGACGAGATGACAGCAGTAAGGGTTTAATGAGCATGATTAGATGGGAAACGGCATCGTTACGAAGGATGTACGTAGTTATGAGACATGGCAGCGCCGGCCTAAAGGGGGTGGCATTCTTCGCCAAGGCAAGGCATGGCAACGGAATGGGGGTGGCAGAGCAATTCGAAAGAGACAAAGAGCAACTAATACATGGCCTGCTTCTTTCGACATGTTGCCAACTACGAAGGAGGAGCGGTGTGCAGTGGCAAGACACTCCATTAGCCCGATTCGTTCGGCGCGATGGAAGTGACAGCAATTGAAACGTGACAGACCAGTCGTAATGTTCGGAGTTCAACCGATTGTCGGCGGCCGTAGGGAGAGAACTGCCATGACTCACCGCCTTCCTCGTGACACTGCCTCTGTCCTGCGGAGCACAGACTGGCCCGCGGCAGACGACGACGCACGCACCGCCGGCAACCTCAACTTCCAACCTCACCCGCGCGGCCACTTTGACCTCATCCCCATCCATCCCCCCTCATCGCTTTCAGCGCCAACACCGGACCCGACCGCCGCACCTCGGGTCTCGCCAAAACCTTCGCATCAATCGGACCCTCTCCACTCCGCCTTTTTCATTCTCGTGGCTGCGCCATGTCGTCCTCGATCCGCAACACAACGGCCGCCGTCCGCCGCATAGCTGCGACCAGCACCAGCACCGTCGGCCGCAGGAACCTGTCGTCGACGCCCCGCCGCCTCGGCGGCGACGCGCACGCGCACGGCGACCACTACGACCCGCCCAGCGGCTGGCTGTTCGGCGTCCAGCCCGGCAAGTACCAGCAGGAGGGCTGGGAGAAGGTCTGGTTCTGGGGCTTTTTCGGAAGCCTCGGCATGGCGGGTCTGGCGTACTGCTACAAGCCCGACACGAGGTACGTTTCTCCGAGTCGCTGCCCGCTTATTCGAGAGTGAATTGGCCAGGATGGGAGAGTGGGTTCTTTTTGGTGGGGTCGGAGGGGCTGGAGATCGATGCGTGCGGGGGTGGATGGAAGGGCGAGGGGCCAATGAACGAAGGGATATTGATGGAGTTGGGTTGGTTGCGACGATGCTAATACGGTGTGCTTTTTCCTTGCAGCATACAAACCTGGGCTCTTGAGGAGGCCCGGAGACGGCTCGAGGCCGAGGGTATCCTGGAGGACAAGAACTAAAGGGACGCCAATTTTCCGATTTCCATCTGTACCGTTCACGTGGACGAGGAAGCCAATCAATTTCGACCCTTTTTCTTCCGCCCTTTTTTCTCCCCATGACGGACTTTTTGGGAAACTAGAAACAGACTCGGGTGGTAATCTCATTTCGGGCTGAGAATCGGTTGGGTCGTGCATCACCACGGTCGTGTTCCACCAGGTTTTATTTCTTCCAGAAACGGATGCGAATACAGAACATCTTGTTGCGACTCCTGGAGGCAACAAGAAACATACAACGTTGTACATACACGGCTTCGAGTGGGGGGAAAGGGACACTGCAAGCAGAAACTTTTCTTTTGTTTTGATCACGGTAATAGACAAGACCGGATGCCGGTGAACGAGAACCTTCAGCTTCGACCGCCCTTCTTGTCTCATGTTTTAAAGGTTACATGTGGGGACGCGGACAGGGACTACCTGGTACAGGGCACCACTTGACCAAGTTTCGGGTATCAAGTCCATCAAGGTTTTCGGGAGATTTCTGATGTGCAGCTGAATCAGGAAACGGGAGCTAACCTAAATGTCTGGGAAAGTGGAGCCCCACCCCTCAGCCGACCAGTTTTCCGACAAGTGATCTGCAAAAAATGATGCTTTGCTCGCTCACGAGGATAGCAAGAGTCGGGACCGCTATCAACACCACGTCTCGCAAAATGCTTTTTGCGAGAGGTGAGCAAGACCCACCGTCGCTCTTTTTCTCTTTCTCTCCTTTTTTTCCCTCTTGTTTTTGCATCCGTTTCATGATTCGCGGATGACCATTATTATCGTACGAGGGCTTCTGTTATTGATTTTGTGTGACGCGGACCTAGACCTCATGACTCGGCAATTTTTCACGGCTGAAGACCGTTTTATTCTGCGACGCCCGTTTCCGGCCAGCGTTCGGGAAAAATCGCTACGACAGTGTACCTTCATATATACTTCACAGAGCAAGCTGCTAATCGCAGAGATCTCATCATCGCTTGCATTATTGAACACAGTCTTGTACACTTTCCTCTTTCGGATAGACGTGGGAAACGCCCTCTCATACCCCTCCAAATCTCCAACCACAGAACGATGCTATTAGAAGAATCGACATGCCCGGCGCATTCCTCGAAGCACGCCGACTGCAGAGACAAGTACTGGACGTGCCACAGCTGTGGGTTGAGAACACATCGGGAGCGGACGAGGCAGTGCTTGCAGTGCGGGCACACGTGGTGCTGGAATTGCGAAAAGGCCTCGGCAGGTGGCGGGAGCTTGATCTTTCACAGCTAGCGTGCCGACGCTTGGACAACGAGCGTCATCTGGCGACCCACGCTTAGAGAGCATCTCCGTTGCATTCTCGTGGGGGCTTTGACAGCTCCGGCATTTCCACCACTCTTTCACTTCCTACCAGCCGATTTCAAGGGCTCGTCGCGCTCACGGATCAAGAGTCCAGATGAGTACTGCATCCATTTTGGCCGCTGGATGAGTATTGAAGATCTACAGATTTCCAGGACCTGGAATTCTGGTTTCCGAGCCTCATGAAATGCATGTGGTGGCTGTCTACCTATCCATATCTCCTTTGGAATATCCTCGGCCGGTAAATCATTTGGCTACACCGATAGAGACCCCATAGTGGGATAATCACAGGAAGCACCTACCCGAAAAGCGACTAGACCGTGCGGATTCGACCTGCAGGGCTACTGCCTGCAGTGGACGGCTTCATATCTGGTTCCCGTCACCAGCTGCGGAGTTTTCGGACAACTGGGCCATACTTTGTCTCCAGAAACTCGGCGATTTCCAAGCATCTGCTGCCACGGGCTCGGTCACATCTGACTTCCCGCTCATGCAATAGACATCTCCTACAACGCTCGCCCTCACTGTCAGAACTCCGTTCATGTCTATTTCTATTCATTGGTGCCGCACCCTGTCTCATTTAACTCACACCCCCAAAAATCAGTTCATCACCTCTATGTCTCTCCACCAGCTGTAAATTTTCATCCGCGAAAAGCTCACCAGCAGACCCTGATCCTTGTTTTCTTGTCTACTCCTATTGACGGAACTGGAAAAGGTGTGTAGAGTTGTCCTCGATGCTGTTTGTAAATACTGAGCGTCCAGTTGGGGTACAAGAAGAGCCTGCTAGTGAATGTTTAATTGAGGAAAATTCAGAATCAGATGTTTATCTAGCACAAGGTACGCAGTCTTTCCACGTCTTTTTTTTTTTTTTTTTGGCTTTGCCATATCCTTTTAGTCTCTTTTTCAAAAAGGACTTGGACGGTTATGATCAAGCATTCTATCCCACTACATTGGAAGGACAAGATTGAGCCACATCGGGGTTCCTTGTTGATAGAACATGGCGAGTTGACCGGTCAGGCGATACAATGGCCTGAGGGCCCTTCTGTGAGTCTCCATAGCTCTATGTAGATCCTCATTTTATTCAAGAACTCCTCTCATCCAGTCAGTTGGCCATTTGCCGTCAAGACTCGGCAGATGTAGACTGGTCTTTCTCTTAGCGGCCGCGTAGCTCGCATGCGGATCTGCGTCGCGTGGTCGATGCCTGACGGTTCGGATATTTTGGCCGTCGAACATGTGTTCCACTGCTACCTCATCAAGGCACAACAGCGGGAAGGGACACGATCGATCGGCGGCGGGGAAGCTAAAAATCGCGCCATACGGGGCGGAGTGGGGTTGGTTCCAGATAAGCGAGAGGTTGGTGTTGCGGTCTCCCGTCGCGTGCGGCATCCGCAAAGGCCCATGACGCACGTCATCGACTTCCCGGCGAGTTCTGTACGTCGACCTTTCCTCTCAACTAGATGCTCCGACGCGTCAAGAAATCACCAGGTCTCAACGCGAAAAAAACTCCAGTATTTATCAGTGACATGAAGGAGGAAAACACGGACGGAGGATGCTTTTATATCCTCAGAGCACAAGGTTCATCAGGCGCAACGCTCCTGCACGGGTGCCACCCCCCAATACGCCAGCCGCTAGCTCATTTCCGCATCGCGTTTAGCCCGACGCTGATGCCATGGAACTACGCGTTACACAGCAGAGACCACGCGGGATGCATCAAGCTTACTCGCAGCTGTTGACGTCGACTTGACTCCCATTCATTCAAAAACAGCACTCGATCCCCCGCGCGCCCCGCCAAAAAAAGATTATGTCCGAGAGCTCGTACCATGACGAGCGGGAAGACGAAGCACAACAGCCCCTTGTCGTCACCCGCAGCCCGGCAATAAATGAACCCCTTGATCCCGACGAAGCCTCGATCCCCTCGATGTATCTGCACACTACCGACGACAAAGACCCCTCGCTCCAGCCTCTCATGGCAGACTTCGACTACAAGAGCGCCGGGGGCTTTCAGCCCGAACGCCTAAGCGGCGACGCAGTTGATGTGGAGCGTTCGACCTCGCTGACCGAGGCCCTGCATGCCGAGGGCCTTTCGCTGTTCGAGAAAAAGTGCGTCCTCATCAACCGGGAGATCGACGCCATGGGCATGGGCAAGTACCAGTGGTACGTCTGGTGCATGTGCGGCTTCGGTTACTTCTTGGATCTGCTGTGGGCCAACGCGTTTGGCCTGGTCCTCGGTCCTGTGCAGCAGGAGTTTGGCTTTGGAAGTGAGTTCCTGCTAATCAATGTCGTCATTTCTGCTGACTTTTTCTTTTGTTTGTGTCCAGATGACCAATCGGGAAATATCTCGACGTCATTTTCCGCGGGGTTGACCGCAGGTACTTTTGATACTTGTGAAAATCCTCGCAGCAACTAACCAGTAGACAGGCGCGTTTGTATGGGGAGTGCTGGCGGATATCGTTGGTTGGTGACCCGACTTCAAAATTCTTTGGCATAGGAGAAGCTGACCATATTTTCCAGGTCGGCAATGGGCTTTCAACCTTACAGTCTTGATTGCTTCGATTTTCGGAATCTGCCTGGGGGCGCCAAACTCGTACAGCCCTTTCCTGGTTCTCACGGCCTTCACAGGATTCGGTATTGGGGGAAACATCCCCATCGATACCACCATTACGCTAGAATTCATCCCTCAAGTAAGTCACTTGCTTGTAAAATAAAGTTAGCGCTAATTATTCTAGAACAAACGATTCCTCCTGGCTTTGCTGTCGATCTTCCAGCCGCTCGGAGTACTCATATGCTCAGCACTCGCGTACGCATACATTCCAGCGCACTCGTGCACCCCGAACTTCGCCGATTCTAATCCGCTCCCATCATGCCGAAATTCTGCCCCCGGCGCTGAATGCTGTTCCAAGTCAAACAATATGGGATGGCGATATCTGATGTATACGCTCGGTGCCATGACGATTTCACTGTTCTTCATCCGCACCATCATATTTAGGATGAAAGAATCGCCAAAGTACCTTGTGTATAGGGGACGAGATGAAAAAGCCGTGCAAGTCATCCATCACATTGCAAAGATTAACGGGCACAACTCGAGGTTAAGACTTGAGTCATTCGAGCAGTTGGAAAGCGAACATGACCAATTCTCAGGAACGACTGGACTTGGAGCAGGCAAATCCCAGAGGGATCTCTCGTTGGGCAAGAAGGTGGGCTTGGAGCTTGAAAGGTACAAGCTGCTATTCAGTAGCTGGGAGATGACGCGTCTGACTATCTTGGTGTGGCTGACGTACATCATGGATTACTGGGGCTTTACCGTAGCCGGTGAGATTTTCAACCCCGCCTGCCCGTCAGTTCCTATGCACTAACATTCCATCAAACAGGCACTTATCTCCCCAAGATCATCGCCATCAAGAACGGCTCGCTCAACCTCTCTCTCGACTTCACTTACCGCTCCTACCTCCTCATCTACTTCCCGGGCGTCTTCGGCGTGGCACTCGGGGCTCTGCTCTACAACGTGCCGCACATAGGGCGTAAGTGGACGATGGCGGTGTCGGCGGGCCTGATGGGCGCCTCCATCTTCATCTTCGCCTCGGTCAACTCCGAGGCATCGAACATCGGTCTCAACGCCATGGAGTACTTCTTCCAGAGCATGTTCAACGCCGTCCTGTACGGCTGGACTCCGGAGGCCTTCCCAGCGCCCGTCAGGGGCACGGCTTGCGGCATCGCGAGCTTCTGGGGCCGCTTGTTCAGCATCATCAGCCCGCTGATCGCGCAGAGCCTGTACGCGAAGGGCGAGAGCGGTGATGGCGATATCAACGCCGTGTTGTACTTGGCTGGCGGCGTGACACTGGGATGCGTGCTTTCGGTTGCGCTGCTGCCGAATAGGAAGCTGGGGACGCAGAGTATGTGAGATTGTGGATAATGCATGGCAAATGGGTAATTGGGATAGAGGAAAGAGGATAAGACCTGGTGTTGAAGGCTTTCAGTAAGCGGTGCTCTGCTCGCTCTATTATGTTACCTTTCTTCTTGAAGCTTGCGTCACTTTTGACGTTGTTCGGTACAGTTTTTCCCAGGATCGTTTATAGGGACGTGTCAACAATCCGACGTGGCTGTTTTCTTTCACTCTGCTGTTCGACTTCAAACGCTTGGAAGAATATTATCCCAATGGCACTCCTCAAATACGGCCTGCTGCCAGCCACTTCCTATGTTCTGTTTTAGACTCTTTGTCAAAGTCTCACTGATGTTCCAACACAAAGCATCACCCAACGCAGGCAAAATCTCCGCCGCAAGAGGTATAAAAACATAACGAAGCTGCGCAGATACCTTCATAAGCATCGCCCCCAAAGCATTTCACCAACGGGAGACGCTGCATCGCCAGAGACGCAGCTCAAGTCCACCAGCGCTACGAGAGGTCACCTAGACTACAAAACAACCACGCTTCTCCCGCAACACCGCAACCCCCAAGATGTCATCTACCACACAACCACTACCCAAACCACCTCCATCCCATTCCAGCCACCATATAGTGTGCTTCCGCAACCACAGCCACCGCCCTGCCGTCATCATCGTCGCCCGCAGTCATCATCCCTGGCGCTGCTGCCACTGCCGCACGCTCAACGACGCCGGCCTGTTCTTCTGCGCCGGGCCGTTGCGCGGGCGCCACCGCTTTTGCGATCACATGCGGTGCGCGCGGTGCGTGGAGTGTGTGTTTGAAGACGGTGGTAGTGTGGACGGCAATGTTGACGAGGAGGAGAAGTGCGGAGTGAGGACGGCGGTGGGGATGCTACCGCTGCCGCCGGCGAGGTTGGGAAATAGTGGAGGAATGTGGTGAGGTGGGGAAGGTGTTGGAGGAGGGATGGTGGGATGTTGGTGTTCTGGGGGCCGGTTTGTGGGTTGGTTGTGTTGGAGCGTGAGGTTGCGGATTTCTCTGCGACATGTGACAGAGAGACATTTGCCTCGTTTGTCCCTTGCGTTGGTCGTAGGCGAGGCAACGGTGACTTGTCATGCATCATGGGGGCCTGGCACGTTCGGATTGGATCGTGCAGTTGGGGACTTTTTCCGTGGTCGTTTGTAAATGTAAAGCACATCCATGTCGACCACCAAGCACCGTGCGTCTCCTTTATGTCACAGGAATCGGGTTGAAAAAGGGTGTACCTGAGAAAAATTATTACTTAATTACCTTGTATCCACCTTGTAAGCAAGAGATCCGCTTTTCAGTTGCTGCGAGGCAGAACTTACAGCCGTTGATGGTTTCAATGCAAAGGCAAAATGACGAATGTGAAAAGTCCATGCTGCCGAAGATTGCGTGTAATTGCGTGCAAGTGAGCGCAAGGATCTATTTTACATATGCATGTAGGGACGTACCTTGCTTGCCCTGCCGTTACGTGCGTCTGCGGGCAACGAAGTCGATGCTCGATCCATGGGGTTTGAAGTTTAAGTAAAAAATTTCAAACTCAATATTAATTACATTAAATCAACGCCAATAAAATTACACCACCTTTCTATAAGTGTCCTTGAGAACTACAGGAAGAGAAGAACGTATGTACAATCTTGGAAGGGCAGTGACTTGGTAGAAATGAGGAAATGAGAAAAATGATATTCGGCGAACATGGTTAAGTCATCGGGGGGAAGGGGAAACACCGTTGAATTTCCTTGTTTCACCTTGATAGCGTGATTTGCATAGAACGGCCATGGTTGGGGATGGAGTTGTCTCGATAAGAACTGCTGTTTTAGTGAAGAACCGGGAGTGCCTTCTGTCTTTTAACGAAGCACAAAAGAAAAAAAGAAAGTAGTGATTTGTTCGCGGTCCAATCTCAAGCAACATCCAATCGAAATCAATGATCTTCCATATATTCCTGTTTACCTGCATAAATTCTGCATTCACGCATTCTCGGGACTTCCTATTGCGAAGAGCCGGGACGAATGTCTCTTTCGTGAATCTGCAGGTATGACATCTATGGCGTCAGAGCCAAAATCACGGAATGCGCCATGTGAAAAACATATCAAGAGCTTCTATAGCAGAAGAAGATGCGGTTACACGGCAGCACAAGATCATAAGACAAACAGCCAAAGAATGGCACAAAGCAAGGTGCGGGGTCATGGGGGCCAAAAAGCAACCAGGTATACGGTGGTTCCCGGTTAGTTGCATCGCAACCGCTCCCTCGGGTATGTAGGGCCCACGCCGCCGCATCGACGTCATCTACCGAAGCCGCGCGGCTACAAGTGTTGTTAATCAGTGAGCTGTGAGCGAACCGCGCAGCTTGTTCAAGACGTCTTCCAAACTAATTATTTAAAGGTTTTGTTTGGAGTTGTTTCGAAAGGCGACAGTGTTGGGGTGCCTTGCCTTTATTTATAGTAATGAATCTCGTTTGTGCTTCAACTGTTGCCTGGTTTGAATAACTGTAGCTATAGCATCGGGCTACACCTGTGCCGCAGTTTTGTGTATCTAGGCCTGCTGCCTGAGGGTGCAGCTGATCTCTGTATGATGAACGCATGTTGCAGGCGAGATGGGGAGGACGTTTTGGCCGATCAGCCGTGAATGGGGTCTGGAAGGCTGGCAACGGACCCCAACCGCCATAACGCGAAGAGGGTGCCATGCTCACCTCAGCCCAGCTTCTCTGTGCCGCAAGTGTCTGGATCGACGGATCGAAGGCTATCCGCCAGCTAAGCGCGGGGACCGGAAGGCAAGGGCTCCGTGTCACGAGAGGACCCAGCCTTGTTTCCAACAAAATCAGCTCCGTACAAGAAATAACGCCCCCCCCCCCACTGCTTGCTACTGTGCCGCTGAGGCTCAGCCATAAACTTTCCCAGGGTCCTGCCCCATCTGCCCATCCAAACCAAGGACTTTCCAGATTCTCCGAGGTAGAGAGTCAACTGGCCACGATACGGAAACACTTCCACAGCGTCAATCCACATCATGTCGCATCAAGGTTCCTTGAGCACCGCTCAAGCCTGGCTGTCATCATTTTACCATCGGCCTTGGAATGAGATTAAACAAAACCCCCAAGAGAAAATGACCACGGAGCCATCCGACGGCATGAGAGATTTTTGCCCAGAGGACCCTGAAATCCAATTTGCTCAACGCCGGGACCAGGAAAGAGATTCAAGTCAATACGGACGTTTTGATAAGGAACTCAGCGATAGCACGAACTTCATGGAAATCACTGTTCACAGGCCATCCCACGATCCACTGCCTGAGTCGGTAGAAGTTCGCTCTCCTACAAACCAGCCTGTGCTCGGAGATCTGACAGACACTGAGGCACCAGATAAGGATACGGAAGCTGGTCTTCCCTCCAAGCTGCCGGAAGAGAGCCGCGCGGAAAGGCTTGATGCCATGCCGTTGGACTTCAGCTCGCGATCCCGGGCCACGACTGTCTCGGTGCGCGAGCTCGAGGCGGATATTTCGCCGACCGACACGGACCACGGAAACTTCTGCGCAATGATCGAATGCATGGCACCAGAAGTTGAGGAGATACTCCGGCAGTGTGCGAAAAACTCGAGGCACAAACTGTCGCCGTCGACACTCGAAGTTCCAAAGGAAGTGGCGCATCGTGCAAGTCCAGACCAAACGATTGAATTCGATGCCGTGGTATGGAGCCGAGAACAGTACGAGGACGATCATTACCAGGATCCGATGCAAAACTATGGAAGCATGACGTATGGGCTACCGGAAAGCAGCCCTGATGGGCTTCTCGTCGTCGGGGCCGGTGTGCAGATTTTGGAGGATTCGATCGGGAGCGCTTACGGCGTTCCGGTAACCAAAGCTTCAGTGGAGGTGGCACGGCGGGACTCGGGCATCAAGTTCACGTTGACGTGTGTCGAGGATGGCTATGAGGATGCTGAAGTGTTGTTCGATGATGACTTTTTATATGAGGAAGAGATGATGGATCCAGATTATTTCCGCAAAAAGGATGGCTGCACGAAACCAATCTCTCGGCCAGCTCTGATACGTATAAGCACTTATTAATGTATGTATTCCTTTCGTTCCTATGTTCCTTGGAGCAGAATTCCCGTATGTAAGCGAGTAATTTGATCACTGGGTTGAGTATATGTAGTTCATTGCAAGGTCGTAAACATCTACATGTCGAGGACAGCAGGTCCTCTGCTGGCTTATACAGTCCTCAGGTGGTAAACATTTCCTTACCGACCTTCCTCTCAAGCTCTTCCAGCAGGCCGATCAAAGCTTCTCTCCGACCTCTGCCAGGTTCATGCTTGACGCCAGGCACTCCCGGGCCCTTCAACAAAAGCTTGTAGCGACTCGTCTTGGACTCCTCATTCTTCGGGCCAAGCACAACGGCATGGCAGAGAAGGCCAGAAGGAGCGAGGGCAGTGGTGACTCTCAGACGCGGGGATGCCGGGAAAAGGACCGAAGCATTCTCTGAGCTGAGATCAGTGATGCTCATCCGCCATTGACGGAGCGCGGCAGAGAAATACCTTGAATTCGCTCGACCAGGTCCGTCATGGTCGTGATCTGGACGGTTTCGGGCACCTCAATTTTGTTCTCCACCTTCGGAACTGGTAGTGGAGCGGGTGGCTCGGGTGGCGCTTGGTACGCGGGGACATAGCCGTTGATGGCCTTGTTCGCGGGGGCTTTCGACTTGTTGCTGGCACTCATGATGGACGACGGATGGAATTGATGAAGAATTCAGCGAGACGGGAGATGAAGGGCGATGGCGAGGACATTATGGCGAGTGGCGTTGGGACTGAGTCGAGCTTCTTCTGAGCCTGCAGCGCTTGCAGCGCTTGCTGAGTCTGCTGAGTTGGCGGAGCTTGCAGAGCTTGCTGACAGGGTAGCGGATTGGATCTTTGGCGCTCGAAGAGGGGCATGCCGGGGTAGTGGACTGGATCTTTGCCGCTTGAAGAGTGGCAAGCCAGGAAGCTGGCAAGATGATTGTTGGCAGAGTGGTAAAGTGTGACGTCGACGGAGGGTCTGGCCCCAGGCTGGGTGGCTGGTTGGCCGCATGTGACAACGCGGGGACGCGACGCGTTCCTTGTTGGCTGACTCATCTGTCTCTTCACCATTAGGAGGCCTTCTATTCTGGGCAAATACTATGTGCGGCTCTTGGTGCTTCAACACACTCCCGCTTTGCATCACTTCCCGATGCAGCCATCACTCCGCTGACGTCTCCACATCTCGACAGCCACCCTTATCGCCCCAACCTTCACTGCCCTTCGCTGCAGACGTGGCTTTAACGGCTCTGTGCTCGATATATTGACGTACGTCCTTGCCAGTACAATAGTAGGTAGACGCGTTGACTCCACCTTTCGTACTCACTTGATCGGCCAATGCTAGTGCATGAATTCTTTGACTCGGTCTTGCGCTGACCGCCAATTCAGCTATTTCTTGCAGCGGAGCGGCATTGGCAAGATCAAGCACTCATGCCGACAAGAAATATCGAAATCATTTTCGGTTGCATTGATCTCACCTGAGAAACAGCGAGTCCAAGCGTTGCTCACCGATAATGCATCTTGATTTTCGCTGGTCAATGCTAGATCGCCTCCGTCCAAGGGGCTATCCGCTGATTCGCCAGCAAAGCCGATCAAACGGCATCCCCACAGGGCAGAAAATCACGCGCTGCACCACGGGGAAACAATCTCCGGCACCCTACGCTGCCTTGGACGGGCAGATCTAGAGCTTGTTTCTCCATCTGTCAGAGCGTGTTGACGGGGCGGTCCAGTATTCATCAAACCAGCACAACGCAGCGCGCGGCGGACCGACGACAATCATGGAGATTACGAGCGCCACGTCCAAACAAGCATGGCGTCGTCCCGCGGACTGATGCCATGGAGACCCAAGCGCACGCTTGCCAGCCCCACACCCTCCCCGACGCGTCAACCCCAGTTCCCCCTGAGCCCCAACGACGCAACCAACCAGGGCAAATCAAACGCAAGCCGTCGCTCTTTTATCAAACAACAAAACCCCAAGCCTTTACCAAGCCTTCCGTTTCCTCACCCGGCTTCGCCTTCGTTCCGTGTTCCGTCTCCTCGCCGACCCGCACATCGCTCATTTCCCGGAACAATGCGTTCTTTCACCCTCGCTACCTTCCTCCTGGCCGGCGCTGCCACTCTCTCCACCGCCGCCCCCATCAACCCCAACGGCGTGGCTGCCCGCGACCCCGTCAACTCGGGCCACATCCTCTCGTTCCTGGCCGAGGCCGGCAACGGCGACGAGAAGGGCGACATCAGCAAGGCCGCCGTCACCTCGGTCAGGGTTGGCAAGCGTGACCCCGTCAACTCGAGCCACATCCTCTCGTTCTTGGCCGAGGCCGGCAACGGTGATGAGAAGGGCGACATTTCCAAGGCTGCCGTTACGTCTGTGAGGGTTGGCAAGCGTGAGGCCGAGGCCGTCAACTCCGACCACATCCTTTCGTTCCTGGCCGAAGCCGGCAATGGCGACGAGAAGGGCGATATTAGCAAGGCTGCCGTCACCTCCGTGAGGGTCAGCAAGCGTGAGCCGGTCAACGCTGGCCACATCCTGTCGTTCCTCTCCGCCGAGGGCAACGGTGACGAGAAGGCCAGCGGTAGCCTCGTCGACGCCAAGGTGAACGTTGGCAAGAACTAAGTCAGGAGAGCAGTGAGGTTGGTGGGATGATGATGTGACGGGGCTCCTCTCTTTTGTTAATTTTCATTCTTGTCGATGTTCATATATACCATTAGATTCGCATAAACGTGAGTACTTTCTCGAATAAAGTTTTTGTGGAAAATCCTGTGAAGAAACTCTTGGCTGACGCAACATTACCCTTTTAGTACTAAATTAAGAGATCAATCATTTTTATTTCTACGGTCAAACCGAACGCGGCTCTGTGCTGCGATGATGTCGATCGATATTAGTACTGTGGGCTTCAGGGTGTGGAAGCATAGCATCAATTCATATTTTTAGCCTGTGGATCTTCCGCAGCATTCGAATGCAACGTCCCTTTTCTATCTTTGTCTTTCTCCGCAGTTGATCACACAGTTAATTAGGGATCTCATCACACCGCTTATTAGCAATATCCCATGTGGCTTTTATGGCACATACGAACGTCTCCATGCAGAAGTGTCGGAACAAGGTAATTAACTTCACTCATCCGAGGGCTCCGGATGAAAGCGTCGGCTTTGTGTAACGGTCCGGCCGATCACCGATCGACAGATTGTAAGGCGGGAAGTAACGCTTCCGCTCGCCTTAATTGTAATCTCCGTTGGTGTTGAAGGATTTAGGGAGGCAATGCAGCAGGCTTAAATTTCGCCGAGGCGCTAGTTCAGGCAGTTGTACCTGAACCATTGTACCGGAAAGCTGTAGTACTAGTTGTTGAAAGGGCAGCTGCACGCGATGACAAACGGTAGACGGGAGGATGCGCGGACCGCAAGTTTAGGCTTGCAGGATTAGACGTGAAAGCTCGCCGTGCTAATCCCCAGGCGCCACACCGTCGGCACCAAGCCGCCGAACCCTGCATGCTCTAGCCAGACGTGAGACGGGTAAGCCATCTCAGGGCGATAAACTTTAACGCCAGGCTAAAGAGACGGTGCACAGGCGTTGAACGGCGCGCTTGCCGGATCCAGCCAGCATCATCGTATTCTCTTTCGCTTGTGCAGATGGTAGGAAAGGGTCCAGTGGCGGTGCGAAAGGCGCATGGGAAAGAGGAATACGAGCAGCGACAGCATGAGCAACGGGTGCCTGAGAAAACGGCGGCGAGGCGGCTGGAGGTGGTGAGGCTAGAAGACTTCTGCCGCTTCTTGCCACAAGCGAGGCGTTGCTGTCCCGTCTGCACCCAAACGGCAGGTACAGCACGTGCTCGCTTATTTGGTACATCTCGACCGGGCCAAAACCTACCACGACGACCGCCAAACCAAGTTTCTCGATCACGTCTCACGCTACGCATCCCTCAACCATGGCCGACCAGCTCAGCGCAGCAGACGTCAATGCCATTGCCGCCTTCCTCAGCGCTGAGGACGTGCCTGATGTCCTCGCCGCCGAGCCGGTAGACTGCCTAGTCTTGTGCGTGTCGGCCGTGCTGCACAGCGCCGACGTTGTCTTCTCAGCGCTTGAAGCGCGCCCCCGCCTGACCAAGACGTTGGTCATCTGCGGAGGCATTGGCCACTCAACGCCATTCCTCTACCACGCAATTTCGCGCCATCCCCGCTACCAGGAACTTTACCCGGCGATTCGCGGCCTGCCAGAGTCGCGCGTCCTGGCCCAAGTCTTCGACCGCTTTTACGATTCAGATGCCATTCGCCAAGCGGGTGTGACGGTGCTCGTCGAGGACCGCTCCACCAACTGCGGAGCCAATGCCATGGAAACGCGCGCCTTGCTGGAACGACATGGCGTTGCACCACCGCGCACGCTCCTGGTCGTCCAGGATCCCACAATGGCGTGCCGCACCGTGGCCTCGTTCGAGAAGGCCTTTGACGACGTCAGGCCCCGCGTGCTGAGCTGCCCGACATTCGTGCCGCAGGTGGAGAGCGCGGGCTCCGGCATTGTCTACTGCACTCCAGCCGTTGAGCCGGCGGGCTTGTGGGAGGTTGCTCGCTTCCTCGACCTGCTCCTAGGCGAGATCCCTCGGCTGCGCGACGACGCCAATGGCTATGGCCCGCGCGGCAAAGGATTCATCGCCCATGTCGACGTGCCGGACGCGGTCGAGCAGGCGTGGGCGCGCGCGTGTGAGAGGGTTGCGCGCGGCAGATGAGCGACGACTCGCGGTCGCATGGGGATGCCTGCACTTCCGGGCTCCGAGGCTGGCCGAGCAAACGGTTGCTCAACGGCGCATCCACGGCGGCCAGTGGGCGGGCGGCGGCAGGTACCGGGGGGTGGGGCTCTTCGGGAGCCCGTGGCTCGACACGTGAGCGGCTTTGTCTTCAGCGTAGGTTTTGACCGCTGCCAGTGGCGCTTCTCATGCACGCGGATCCTCCACGGATGCTGATCGAGCGGCATTTGTGCCTAGCGGCGCAGGGCGGACTGACGCTGCCGCAGGGTCGCGCGTCCGGCGGCTGGTTCTGGCGGGAGGGGGCCTGACGACTCGGCGGCGGCCACGAGCCACAGCTTTATACCGCCGCCTGGCGGGGGCCATGGGCCACACATGGCACCCGCTTATCGTGCGAAATTCTCCTGCCCGGCCGGGGTCCGTCGCATGGCGCTGGGCTAGACTTGCCCGCTGCGCTGCTTAGCCCTGGCGGAGAGCCGTCCGCGTCGCAACGCCTGCCCCACGCCCGCCCTGGTCGACTTCTTCACGTCCCGCACCCTTCAGAATAATAAAGGGGAACCGCCCGCAGATCAGCTACGCTCCGTATACATTTGTAGGCTCTCCACTGGCCCACTGCTGTCGCGGGCCCGTCTCAATCCAACAAGCCGCCAGCCAATGCAAGTGCTGCGGGGATCATCACTGCACCTCGTCCCAGAGCTCCCACACGCTCAAAATTCATCAGAGGTCCATTCTTGCTGAACGCCAACATGCCCATAATTGTTCCCACCGAAAGTGTGGGTTCCCTGCCGCGTCCCATGCGTAAGTCGCCCGTCTTGACTGCCCGTCCGTCCCGCGTTTCGACAGCCGTTTGCTGTGCCTCACACCTGCAGCCCAGCCTGACGTCATCCCAGAGCTCCAGCAGACCTACGCCGATTACGATGCTGGTCGCTGTACCAAGCAGGATCTGCTCGATGCCCAGGACCTGGCCGTCCAGGATACCATTGAGCGCCTGGAGCGCAGTGGCCAGGACTTTACCACCGACGGCGAGCAGCGCTGCAGCTCCTTTGCGACGTACCCTGTCACAGAGTAAGCCAATTGTAGACCACGTGAGGCCGGACTGGACTGATTCGTTGTTACAGCACCCTCAATGGAACAGGCCTCAGCCCAAACCTCACCGTCGACGACCAATGTTTTACAATCACCTTCCAGGATGGCCACACGCGTACACTACCCCGTCTCCTTTCCGGGCCCTTCCGCTACCAGACATACGCATACGACAACTTCAGGGCATCTCTTAAGTATGCCACGAAAAAGCGCATGAAGGTTGCTGTCATCGCACCGTCGATGATGTACCTCCTTTACGTCGGCGAAGTGCCCGGATACTCCAAGGAACAGTTTATGCAGGACATTGTCGACGAGTGCGTCAAGGATATTCGCGGTTGCTTCGAGGCCGGTGCGGTGCGTGTGTCGATTGACTTCACCGAGGGTCGGCTCGCGTGCCAGGAAGGATCCCCGCCCAATTTGATCGACGTTTTCATCAAGCTGCTGGACGACGTATTATCGCACTTTACCCCTGAGGAACGCGTCGACATTGGCCTGCACACGTGTCCTGGTGGCGACTGCGACACTCGCCACTCGGACTTCCAGTCATACTACTCGCTGATGCCGAAGCTGTTAAAGGTCCGAGTGGGCTACTTCCTGATGCAGATGCGGTCGGAGCCGGAGAAGGAGACGCTCTACAAGCTGATAGGGAAGCACCTGGAACCCAAGCTGGACGGCGTCAAGCAGATTGTCTTCATCGGCTGCGTCGACCCGCTGACGCCGCACGTCGAGAAGCCCGAGTCGATCGCCGACCAGCTGCTCGAAGCCAGCTTCTACATCCCGCGCGACCAGCTGGGCGCCACGGACGACTGCGGCTTCTCGCCCTTCAACAACGACCTCAAGCCCAAGAGCTGGAGCCCGAATTTCGGACGCGACATCGCCTTCAGGAAGATCAAGGCGCGGGTCGAGGGAGCCAAGCTGGCGAGCGAGGAGTTTGAGCGGTTGGAGAGGCAGTCGATAATATTAAAGGCCAGGGCGAAGTCGAAATCTCCGCCGCCGAGATGAAAGAATGAGCAGAAAGGAATCGGCCTTGGTTTGCTCTGATGCTGGAAATCTGAAAACGAGAATATATCCTCTTGGAAATGTTTTATGAGCCTTGTTTTTTCTTTTTCTCGCGTTGCATATTTGGCGGTTTGAAATTCAGTAATCGCTTCTTGAGCGCATTGCTTTTCCTATTTTTTTTCTTCTTCTCTACAGGGGCAGTAAAAGTCCGCGGATTTTTCATAATCCTTTTTTCCTCTGCTTTGGAGTTTTCCAATCTGGAGTGGTCGTCTGAATATCTCTGTTTTGTTGTCCGAAGGATTTCAAAGAGCGTAGCATTTGTATCTACAAGATCGACCTTTCTTGTAGTCATGGCGGCTGTATTGTACTTGCTCGTGTTGAAGGCTGAGATATCATGGCGTTTGGAACAATATTAAACCTCTTAAAGCAATCGGTGCTACTTGCTGAATATCTTGAGGCGTTTGCAAGATCACTTTTCTGTTGCTTTGAATACAACAGCTCGGCTGGGGCCATTGAGTTTTCTTTCTATTTGTCCGAAGCTCAATATCAGCGGGGATCATGATCGGATTTTGATTTACGACGAAGCCTAGACTATGCACCGGGCCCGGCGGTTCAACAAAAATAGTCACACGATCCCCAAAGGAAAGTCAGGAGCAAGGAGCATAAGTGGGGATCCGGAATGTGGAATAGACTGCCTCGCCGAAGTTGGAGTGTTGGAGTTTGGAATGACTTTGGCTTCTATAACGTGTTTTGGGATACGATAGCACAATCTGAAAGTTTACAGGGATAGATGATTGCCTGCTCAGAGCATATTCTTCGGGGTTGGTCAAAGTATATTCGTGAAGAGTATACTCGACGCAGATCAATGGCCAACGACTCAACCATATGTTCCCCGCACCATTGGCGACCAGTGGCATGGGATTGGAGGAGTCATGGACGATCACTGTTCCTTTTTCGGATGGCGATGCTGTGGGGTATTGTGGCTAGTTGTTTCCCCATTGGCCAGGACTCTCTTGATTCATCTATTAGACATATAAGTAGCGTTACTTTAGGGTGTTGCATACCGTAACAAGTTAATCCTGACGCTAAATCGGGGGCTGGCGGCAGGGATTTCGGGATTTCTTTCCTGTTGATCATGTCGTTCCCACGATCGCCGTGGTTTAGCGATGCCTGTGTTTCCTTGCTTGTGCATCGATCATCTCTGTTCGACAATCATCCCGGTTTTTCCAGAATGTTCATCATGGTCTGTGAGATCAAATGCTATCTAATCAATCATCATGGGTTGATGCCAAGTAAAGACGCAATGTCCGGCCCGCTCCGCCCTCCCGAGCATTGCGCTATTTTACCTTCCCCACTTTCCCCATCAGAGAAGCTCCGCGTAAAACGACAGTGTTCCGTCCAGCTAACAAAGCACTGCATGCGCCTGGATATCTCAATGGAGATTCTCCGATGTATTGGCGGGGTCATTACGTTCTGGCCAATTAAGTTGCAGAGCTTGAAACGGATATTCCTGGTGCTCGTTACGGCCCAGTAGCACGCCATCCCGACCGCCAATGGCACGTTCTGACTCTACGTGAATTTTATTGGTAGACTTTTGTCACGTATCTGACGACAAAGAGCTCGAATGGAGCTACCCCGCCTTGCGATCACGTCAAGAAGTGTCTATGCCGAAGGTGAAGAGAAAGGTTCACTGCTCCCGAGCGAGCATCACATTCTTGCTCTCACCCCAAAGTTTCTTCTACCTTCATCCGTGTAATTCTGAACAGCCGGTTCTTGTTTCTATAAGTAGATTCTTTATATCTCCTGAAACGTTATGGCGCCGGCCAAAACAACAACCGATCTTCCCGACTATGAGTATCCCCCAGAGACGCAAGAACAACGTAACGGGAATATATTCTTGGTATCCATATACTTCAGTTCTGATTCTGTCTAGTGGACTGGGCAGACCTCGAGGCTCTGGACATCTCCAAGATCAACGACCCCAATGGAATACAAGAGCTGGCAGAACAGGTCCTTGGCTTCATCAACAAGAACGGTAGGCCTCCTCAGAGCGATGCACAACTTCGACCAACCAGACGCATAGGTTTCTTCTACGTCACCGGCCATGGATTCACCGACGAGGAGATCCGACGCCAATACGCCATAGCGAAGGCAGTATTCGAACTGCCTTTGGAAGAAAAGTTGAAGTATATCTGCGACACGGCCAAAGGCGACTTCCGCGGCTACAAGCCTCAATCCACCGGCAAGCTGGCGGCGCGCGACAACGACGAGCGCTACAACATTCCCAAATTCACACCAGAGCACGAGCGGCCGCATCCGAAAATCATCAACGACCACATCGAAGAGATCAAGGACTTCTCTCTGGTATAAATCCTCCCCACCAACTAGCCAATGCCACACCCACACTAACACCGCCACCAACCCCCACAGAAAATCCACAACACCCTCCTCCTCCCGCTCCTCCGCCTCTTCGCCCACGCCCTCGAGCTGCCCGACCGCGACCACTTCGTCCGCCAGCACCGCTACGCCGCACGGGGCCTCGAGTACCTGCGCTACATGCAGTACCACCCGCGCACGGCATCCGCGGACGCCGCGGGCGGCAACATCTGGGCGCGCGGCCACACCGACTACAACACTCTGACGTTCCTGTTCCACCAGCCCGTCGCGGGGCTGCAGGTGCAGACACCAGGTGGTCAGTGGAAGCACGTGCGCTCGCCGCGTGACGCTGTTATCGTGAATATCGCTGATGCGCTGGAGTTTCTGAGTGGGGGGTATCTGAAGTCGACGGTGCACCGCGTCGTAAGGCCGCCGGAGGATCAGGCGGGGGATAAGAGGTTGAGTTTGATTTATTTTGCGAGGCCGGAGGCGGATGTGGTGTTGCGGCCGGTGGAGAGCCCGTTGTTGAGGAGGTTGGGGGTGCAGCAGAGTGGTGGTGGGGGCAGGAGTGGGGAGGGGGTGTTTGAGGAGGATGTTACGGCTGAAGGTACGTTTCTTTCTTCTTTCTCCTATTCTGTCTTTTCTTTTCCTTTTTCACTCGGGCGGAATGAATGCCGCACGTATAAGGCAGGACTGGCGCGCCGAGTTTCGGCGGGTTAGAGGAAGCGGGCGAGATGATGAATGCGGATTGCTGATCAGTTACGTTTTGACAGAATGGGCGAGGGCGAGGATCGCAAAGGACCACAGGTTCCGGGTGGGGCTGGTGGACCAGCGCGAGAAGGAAATTATTGCTGGTGTTAACGAGAAGTATTATGATTGATGAGGTGCTGCGAGTCATAGGTAGTTCGATTTGACCGGGGGCAGGGGTGTAGGCGTAATTAGGCAAGAAAAAAGATCAAGTTTTACCTATATACATGGGGTATCGATCTTCCACTGTAGTGGATTTTTGTTTACTTAGTACAAGCCTATTGGCTGAAGACCTTCTCGAAATAGCCGCGCACGTCATTGCCCGCGTAGCCAGTGTACATGTCGGGCCTCACTACGACGAAGTCGGCCTCTCCGATCTCTACGGGCTTGTCGTTGGTGACGCCGACGTTGGTCATCTTCGAAAACTTCTGCGCAACCTCCGGCTTCGGCTCCGCACTGCCAGACACATCCCAAGTCTCCACCCAGTCCGCCCACGGCGCCGAAGGAGGGCTCCAGGAGGCACCCCGTAGCGAGAGGACGAGGAACTTGCCGTACGAGCGTGCTGCGTACAGGCGCTGACCCTCGTCGTTCTCGCTTGCGTGCAGGAAGATGTCGGGAGTGCGGTGGCCAGGGATGAAAATGCCTGCCGGCTCGCCCTGGATGACTGACGTGTTGCTTTCGTAGGTGACGCCCATTCCTGAAACCTCACAATTAGCTTCCTTTTTCACTCATTCATATCGTCAAACTTACCGGTGATGTAGTTTGCGTTCTTTTCAATCAACTCGACATACTCGGTCGCCGTCTTGACCGTGCTCCTCACCAACTTGGCCGCAACATCGATGACTCCCCGCGCCGTAGCCAGCCGCTCGTCTTCGTAGCTCTGCAGCACGCCGTGGTAGCCCTCCTTGACGGCGAGGGCGAGCCTCCATGCAAGCGCAAAGGCGTCGGCCTGGCCCGTGTTCAGGCCCTGGCCGCCGTTTACTGCGTGGATGTGTGCGGCGTCGCCCGCCAGGATGACGCGCTGCTTGGGAGAGAAGTAGGTGCGTGCGACGCGCTCCTTGATCTCGAAGATGCTGAACCACTCGGTCGCCTTGAAGTCGACGCGGTGCGGCGCCAGGAACTTGCGGATCTCGGCCTCGATGCGGGCCTGGTCCGCGCGCGAGTTGTCCTCCAGCAGCGTGTAGAAGCGGGCCATGCCACGTTCTCTGAGGAGATGTTAACATGGTCCCGGAAATTTGTTCATCAGGAGTCTTACCTCGGGATCCACGAAATGCGTGCCTGGCCGTTCACCTGGAAGGTGATGATCTCCGGGCAGCAGGGGAAGTCGGTGTCGATGAAGGTGTCGAGGACGTGCCAGTTCATGTTGGGCTTGTCGCCCTCGAAGGGGATCTGCAGCTGGTTGCGCACCATGGACCGCGCGCCGTCCGCACCTACCGCATACTTGCTGACGACGACCTTGTCCTTGAACGTCGTCCGCACAAAGTCCTCACCGTTGGCATCGGTGAATTCCTCAATGCTGAGGGCCTCGTGGTCGTGGTAGCAGGGGATGTCCAGCATCTCGTGCATGGCGGCTTCGACGTCGGCTTGGCCGATCATGAGGAAGTTGGGCCGGAAGCAGTTGTGCAGCGAGACCCACCATTTGTTCTGCCGCGAGATGAAATTGCCGTCCGAGAAGGTCGAGCTGGCTGCTTGTCGTTAGAGGCTGTGTTTTGTTAACTGGATGTATCTGCTCACTGTTGCACTTCAGACCCTTGGGCTCCAGTTTGTCGAGCACGCCGACGACTTCCAACGTTTGCTGACTTCTTGCATTGAGGGCATCGGCACGGCCAACCGGAAGCGAGGTTGGTGCTTTGTCTGAGGCGAGGTCTGAGTACTGGTCCTGCTATCTTGCTGGCTCTTGGGTCTTACCTGCAATGAAAACATTGAGTCCCAGCTTGCGAGCCAGCAAAGCTATGGTAAGGCCGGTAGGACCAGCTGTGCCGTACTCGTAAGCTACGAAACCGATTCCCCTGCATGAAGCTCCACTTACCTCCAATAATGGTCAAATCGGTGTAGATCTCCTTTACGGCCATGGTTGTTGTCGTTGTGTGAGCTGTTCAATTGATGGAGGCGGAGCTCAAAGATAAAAGAAAGCGGGATGCATATAGCAGAAAGGTGGGGCACACTATCAGTTGGGATACCGAGGAGAACTCCGCGCGAAAGCACACCATTATTAGACGTCGCACTAGTTTTCGTCTGATCCAAATGCCACCCTGATCAGATCACTTCTCATCGGACGCGGCCGATGCAGACGCAAGCCAAGCCCGATGCCTTCTCCCGAAGAGTGGCAAAGCGAAAAAATGAGACAGGAAGTCGCCTGGGGTACAGCACGTCCCTCGTAGCCACGAGGCGTATGAAACAGGCTCGTGTTCGCTTGGCCATGCCTGGGACAGTGGTGATTCTCCGCGTCTTCTGCTGCACAGCACGGCGCAAGTTCGGAGCTGTGTGCTTTCGAACGTCCTTCTTCTGTGTGGCCTGCCAAAATCTAGCGCGGAATCCTCCCGCACGACATTTCTCAGCCTCTCAGACGTCAATCTTCGTTACGGCACGACCCGATAGCTGCCGCTGCTGGGGATCGCCAAGCGGCCGAAAGAGCCCCATCAAGCCTCAGGAGATGGGGCGATCAGCCGATCCAGATGGCGACTGCTCAACTGCCGTCCCGGTTCCCGCACTACAAGCTTTTCCTGCCTCTTGTCCAGGCGTTGAATCGCAGTCCACGTGGGAGCAGTAAACTTTCGAGCAGCCCTACCGCTGGTAGAGTGGCGCAGGGCTGCTCTGCATAAGGTGCCGCAGTAAGCATAAAATTCCTCTGCGGCTAATTTGCCGCTTCGGGAAATCAAACGACCTTCTCCTTCGGGTTGCGACCTGCCAACTTTTCTTGCCACCCTTTCCTCTTCATCGGGCGCTATCGTAAAATTCGTTTTCATGCCGAGGTTATCAAGGGGTTGCGTGTCGCGATCTAGTCCTTGCTCGCTTTTTTTTTCTCTTCCTTGCAAGTGCTGCTACTGGAACTGAGGCCCGCTGCCACAGCCTCGATCTTGGCCCGACTGCCGAAATCATGCGGGACGGGATCCACAACGCGGCTTTTCAAATAGCTGCCAGGGGCACATTCGCGATAACTCCGGTCAGGCCAGAACCAATAGCAGCCGGGATCCCCCGTGAATCTAGAAGATTTGCGCTGCAGCCATGGTGTCATTGGTCCAATGGTGGTGTGGGGATTCACGGCCTGATGCAACCTCTGTACAGCATTGCGGACGTAAACACTCGGTTAGCACGGCTGTTCCGAGACATGTTCCCCGAGACTAGAAGAGAAATCATATCTGATCCGTCCTCCAAGGAAAGCCGTCGCGGGACCAAGCCGCGGAAGACGCTCGAGCTGACACAGCCTTGCCTAATTTCTGATTAGAAGGCCCTTGGATCATTCGAGCTGCCGATTACGGGAACCTCACGCGGGATGGGTAGGCACACGCGTGAGCCACCCCAGTGCTTCAGACGGCGAGTGCCGATGAGACCGAGGTCGAATGTTGTTGGCAAGAGCTGTAGTAAGAGATTGCGTACGAGGAGGGATCATCATCGTTGAAGGAAGATATATATGGTGGTGTTGAAGTGCAGCTGCAGGTCGCAAGAGCTTTTAATGCGCTCGCTTCCACCATTGATCCCAACACTCCCCGCTTCTCCAAGACCCTCTTTTGCCCTAGGATACCCATAAAGCAGGGGCTGCCCCATCTCGCCTTCTCACAGCGGACATAATCGCACGCGAACATGTCTGTCCACACCGTAGCCGCTTCCAAGCGCTCGCCCGCCCAGATCGCCGACGATGTCCTCTCTGTCATCGAGTCGTACCGGCTAAAGGCCTCCCCATTTGACCCCAAGATCATTCCGCAGGCTCGGAATACTTTTCTCCCGTTGATCCAGAAGGCTGTTGAAAAACAGACGCCCATCTCGCTCACACTTCCCGCCTTTCCCTTCAAATCGCCCAACACCGAGGACAAGGTCCTGGGAACATTGCCGGACAAGGCAGAGGAAGTTGCGCTGAAGCATCTCCAAGGCTTCTGCGATAACATCAAAGATGCGTATGCGCCTGGCGCCGAGCTCACCATCGTCTCTGATGGAATTGTCTACAGCGGTCAGCAAATTTTACAGTTCTATTCTCGCTTTCAGTCACTGACGGATCTTAGATCTTCTCGACGTCCCAGACTCTACTGTGTGGGAGTATGGGGAGCTCCTTCGCCAGATGGCGATTGAGCTTGACTGCAACTCTATTCACTTCGCTCGTCTTTCCATGATGCCTGCTCTGAAGGACAAGCTCCCGGCGGAGCTCCTCCACTACACTGACACGGCCAGCTACGAAAAGGCCGCCCCCTTGGTCCGTGAGCTTCTTATGGAGACGTACGGTGAGAGGGGTTATGACGTCAACAAGCACATCGCCGCCGACGAGAGTGTCAAAGCCACATATATGGGCTACCTCAAGTATCTCTCTCGCGATCTCCGCAAGGCCGGAGAGGCTTCGGGAGAGCAGTCGGATTCTTCAGGCGTCTCCTCGTCGGGCGGATCGGACAGTGATGCGTCTACTGGAAGCCGCAAGGCCTTCAAGAGGAAGGTGTCCAGAGTGTCCAAGCAGATGATCGCCCGCGGAAAGGTAAGGAGCCCCCTCAACCTGGGATAATCCTATACTCACCCTTTTCTCCAGTGCTACGCAGCGTGCGTCAAGGAGGCCTTCCCCGACTCGGTGCGCCTCTCGATCCATGCAGCCAACTCGACGACCAAGATCCCCATTACCGTCATGCCCAACGTGCAGAACCGGCCCATCACGCCATGGCACTCGGTCATGACCTGCCGGCTGGACGGCTCCTTCATCCCGATGACGCGCCGTGAAGTCAAGGAGGCGAAGGACCTCGAGCCCGTGTACAAGGCCGACGGCCAGCTGTGGTGCTACCGCGAGAAGTCTGCCCTCTATGACCTCCCTAGCGCCGTGTCCATCGAGCACACGTACCCGATGGGCCTGCTGATCCGCTACGCGCCCAACACGCCCTTCGCCGCAGCCGACATGCACAAGGTGCGCAAGCTCTCGGAGCACAACTCGCCCGTCGTCCTCCGCGGGCTGGCGGGCACGACGGACCGCGAGGCCTTCCTCTCCAAGGGCCGCGAGATGGGCACCATCATGAAGTGGAAGTTCGGCGAGCTGCTCGAGGTCAAGGACGGCGGCGAGGAGGCGCAGGGGCTCAACAACGTGCTGTCGGCCGAGCCCATGCCGTTCCACTACGACGGCCTGTTCAAGGTCGTCAACGGCGTGTCAACGCCGCCACTGTTCCAGATGTTCGTCGCCGTGACGGCCAGCCCCAAGGGCCACGGCCACACGCTGTTCGCCACCAGCCCGCTGCTGTTCCAGCACCTGACCGGCGGCTACACCGCCGACGACCTGCGCAAGCACAAGTGGTGCGTCATCACCGACGCCTTCGACCACAGCCGCTTCGGCGACCTGCCGCTCGTCGTCGACCACCCCCAGACCCGCACCCCGTGCATCCGCTACCACGAGTTCTGGCCCCAGGAGCGTACTCGCTTCACGCCTACTCACGTGCACATTCAGGATGTTGATGAGGCTGAGGACGAGCGCATCCGCACTGCTATTGAGCGCGCACTGTTCGACCGCCGCGTTTGTCTGTATCAGGGCTGGGAGAAGGGCGACGTGCTCATCAACGACAACGTCCTCACCATGCACACGCGTGAGGGCTACACGTCGAGCTTCGGCCGGGAGCTTTGGCGGCTGCATATTGACTAAGGAGGCGGCGCAATGCAACTGTCTCTCGCTCTCTGAGTAAAGGTCTAATTTCTCACTTCTTGGCTGGATCAAAAAGGGAATACTGTATATAGGGTTACATGTATAATTTTGGCGTTCAAAAAAGGATCTCCTGTTTCGAATCAATTCGAGCCCGGGCTCAAGTCAAGGATTAATTGTGATGCAAACGCATGATGACGACGCCTGCGCGGTATGATTCCGTGGCCAGCGGACATGCTTCCGGAACGCACTTCGATCCTTCTCCACAAAAAAAAAGTGCCATGAAGCGAGAATCTCGGGTGGTCTTAACATCATGCGTTCCTGGCGTCTGTGGCGCTGCTGTTCGGCATTTGGACCCCGAGCCTTGACCACAATCGGTCCGATGCATCGGCCCTGTTGCCGATACGGAATAATAGAGGAGACTCGCCCTATCTGTGATCTACTCCCGACACTATTACTGTATTGTATAAGATCTTGTGCTCGTAATAGAGGCGGCTGAGTATCCCTGCAAAATACCTGCTTACCCATCTTTGTTCCGATCCGATGCCGAGAAGGACTGCAGTGGAGAAAGAAGGGATATAACCAACACGATGGGGATGCTCTCGGGTTAATCCAACATGGAAGTACTCCAATCTAAGCTTCCCACTGCGGTTCATGCGACACACAGACCTAATCAACCACCATCTTGGCATTATCAATCCAAGTTCTTCGATAGGCTTGGGACGCCGTGTTCGCCTAAATGATTATATATATCGCAGGGTATAATTGAGGGGACCTTTTCTTGTGCATACTACTGTATGACAACCGCAATTGCTGTATGGCAACGGCAACTGCTCCGTTCTATTTTTCTTTTTCTTTTCTTAAGAACTGTTGCGAAATGTGAGTCCCCATGTGCTCCTCTTGAGACCTCGACGTAGAACACCACTATGAAACTGTCGCATTCTTGCCTCTATTCTGGACTTGGGGCTCATCCATTAAGAATTTCTTTCATAAAACTCCTAAACTTTCGTTTAAGCTCAAGGACACTGCATTCTCCGAGGTCTTCAGGACGGCCGTCGTCGTTTTAAGCAGCGGAGCAAGCACAAGGTTATTTTGGCTGTAGGGCAGAAGAGTCTGGAGAAAGCCCCGGTTTTCCACCAAATCAGAGAGCGGCGATGACCCACCGTTGTAGGGCGTCGGACCCGCCTGATGGTCATAATCTGCTCAAAGGCGAAGGGTCGGGCATCTTATCTCCGAGCTCTGCCAACAACCCCGAGCTCCGCATTGAAACATGGCGGAATCCTCTCCGTCTTTTGGCCTCGTCCCGAAGATGATGGCATCCCGTCTCCACCGTTTGAAGTCGTACAAAACTTGGAGTAAATATAGTGTCTGGCCAATCATCGCGTCCGCTGTACGAGGGGTAGCCTTCCTAAAGTGTCCTGGGGCATGAACAGGATGAGCGAATCCAGCATGGCTAAGTACGAGCAGTCAATAGTGCCGCGAATTCGTGAAACCTTGGCTTCTTAGCTTTTTCTCAACTTTAATGAACTACGGTCGTAGTGTGTTGCTGTTGTTGCCTATTCGGGGTTAGTGTTATCTGCGAGGTCCTGTAGGAGACCATACAACCCTAGCGGTATTCCTTCATTTGAACCAACGCTACCTTTCTTTTAGGATGTTAGCTTGTTACGGACGAAACTTAGTCTGGCCTCGACCAAATCTGCCGAGGATTCTGTGATTTCGCCTGACGACTCTAACCCGAGAGGGGTCCCGAGCACGAGATGCACACCTTTCTGATCGTCAAGGTTTCCGAAATCCATGGACTGCAAAATAGTACGTCGCTCGGTCCCTGAGCTAAAGGAGAAGACAGTTGGCAATTCCACGGCGAGGCAGACGGGGGATTTTAACCCTTTTTCGCTCTTGGAATCCGAATACGACGAACGGATACGACACTTGACTCCTCGCCTCGCAATGTAACAGTACATAAGAAAAGCGGAGGGGCGGGCTGCTTCTCTGCCGAGCCTAGGGTCGCAATTGCACAAGGAACGAAAGGGGACCGCGGAATACCAAGTTGCCGGCTTGCCTCTCGTACTCTGCAAGAACTAGAAAGCCATCCGAATCGCGCCAGCCACTTCCGCAGCACGAATTATCCACCAGTGTTTCTTTCGATACGATCGCCAAAAGGGTCCCGTCGACGACGATCGCAGGGGTTTCCCCACAGCAGCAGCCAGCCATGCTCGCAGCCCTCATCGCGAGCGTCATCCCGCTCTACCTGGCCTGGTCCGCGCTGTCGCTCTACAACAATGTCCGCCTCGCGAAAGCGTCGGGCTTGCGGGTGCACGTCAGCCCGATCAGCACGCGCAACCCACTGTGGATGCTGTTCCAGCCCGCGCTCGTTGCCATCCTGGAGCGGCTGGGCGTCGACACGGACGAGTGGCTCAAGCTGACCAAGCGCAGCTGGAACTTCCACGACCGCTACCGCATGCACCAGCGCTACGGCAAGGTCTTCGCCCACGCCACGCCGTCTGATATCGAGGTGTTCGTGGCCGATGCGGCGGCGAGCGACGAGCTGCTGGCGCGGAAGAGGGATTTCCTCAAGCCCATGCACATGGTCCGTACGTTTGCTCTCTCTCTCTTCCCCATGCCCAATTAGGAAAGAGGAAAAGAGACTACCTTTTCGTACCGTGTCAGTTAACCCGCCATTCGTTAGAAATAATCGACGTTTACGGCCCTAGCGTCGCGTCGACGGACGGCGCGGATTGGTCGCGCCACCGCCGCATCACGGCCACGCCCTTCAACGAGCGCAACAATCGCATCGTCTGGGGAGAGTCCCTCCGGCAGACGGCGCAGCTGCTGGCCTACTTTGAGCGCGGCGTCGGCACCGACGATGGATCCACTGGCATGCTGGCTGAGGACTCGATGACGCTGACGCTGAACATCCTGACTGCCGCCGGATTGGGCTTCTCGTGTGACTTCCGCGGAGCCGAGAAGAAGGTAAAGAAGGATGTATCAGAAGATGAGGAAAAAGCTGAACGAGATGCCGTCTCACCTGGCTACCGCGACTGCCTGGCGGCGGTGCTCGAGGACTTTCTTCCCATGGGACTACTTCCAAAAATGGTCTGGTCCCTCCCTCAGTGGCTGATGCCGAAGGTGCTGCAAGAGTACGATCTGCACAAGCAGACGCTGAAGCGCTTCATGGTCGAGATGGTCGAGAAGACGCGGTACGAGGGCTCCGAGCATGCGAACTTGCTCAGCGTCCTGGTGCAGAAGAACGAAGAGGCCCGCCAACAAAAAGAGGCTTTATCCGGTAGCACCAAGGGCCTTTCGGACGACGAGCTGTACGGCAACGTCTTCATCTACAGCTTCGCCGGCCACGAGACGACCGCCCACGCCGTCTGCTACGCCATGTACCTGCTGGCCGCGTACCCGGAGGTGCAGGACTGGGTTGCTGAGGAGGCGCAATCCGTGCTCGGCACCGCTGAGCTTGAGCATCTGTCTTACGATGAGATATTCCCCCGGCTGAAGCGCGCCCTCGGCGTCATGGTAAGCAATATCACTTGCCCATACCTCCTCACATTCCGTACAACTGACCAAATCCACTCCAGTACGAAACCCTCCGCCTCTACCCCCCGGTCCTCTCCATCCCCAAAACCACCGGCCCCACCCCACAGCTCCTCACCGTCCCTTCTGCCAACAACCTCACCGCCACCATCCCCGCCCACGCCTGCGTCTTCCCCAACGTCGTCGCCCTGCAATCCGACCCGGACTACTGGGGCCCCGATTCGCTCCTGTGGAATCCTGCGCGCTGGATCGAGAAGAAGCGCAATAGCGACCACGAGCAGCAAGGAGAAGAGGAAGACGAGGAGTCAGTCAAGCCACCCCCCGTCAAGGGCAGCTTCATCCCCTGGGCCGACGGCCCGCGCGTGTGCCCGGGCAAGAAGTTCTCGCAGGTCGAGTTCGTGGCCGTCGTCGCCGCCGTGCTGCGCGCGCACCGCGTCGAGGTGGTGCCGCAGCCGGGGGGAGAGAGTTGCGAGGAGGCGAGGAAGCGGATTCTCGAGGTGGTGGAGGATACGTCGTACGGGGCGACGCTGTTTATGAGGAATCCGGAGAAGGTTAGGGTGAGGATTGTGAGGAGGTGAGGGTGAGAATAGCGAGGAAGTTTAAGTAGTATATGTTTGAGTTTTACGGTGGATATCTGTTAAAGGAGTTGAGAATGGGTTAATTTTGTAGAGGATATCAGCAAATGAAGGATTTGACAAGCCTCAGTGAAAGTTCATTCGTACTTGGGATACCCCAGAAAAAATTCAGGGGTATCTTTTTAAGTGTCGGCTTTACTAACTATCCCATACTGGTTAACGCAGGCCTCTTTGAGGGCAAAAGAGTAGTGGAATGAACCTAATTCCTGAGGTTCAATGTGTCATGGTCAGAGAGTATACCGGTCTGTGACAGTCTTCACCGAAATTGTAAAATGGTACTGCTGAGGACACAAGTGTTGGATCGTGTAAAATCTTGCTATTCAAACATTAATGATGTCGACTCTACTTTTGTATGATAACGGCAAGGAAAAAAAGGAATACGCTGGTATCATGCTTCTCAAGGATACTCGGCCAAAAAAAAAAATCAAAACTCCCTCCTCGACCTCGGACTATTCCTGATCCGCTCTCCATAAAAGTAAAACAACCACATAGCCGGCGCCAACAGCAACGCCAGGAAACCCAACAGGGTATTCCCCCACCCCAGCCCCAGCGCATCGTACATATCCAACCCACACAGCGGCAGCAGCGCGCCGAGCAAGCTCCTCAGCACGGCATTCGCCGCATTTACGCTGGCCGCGTGCTGCGTAAACGCGTCAACGAGGTACGTCTGCACGCAAATCAGCGCGCAAATCATGCCGAACCCCGTGATTCCCGTCCCGATCATCGGCGCTATCCAATGCACGCGCTTGTCGGCGGTCCAGCCGTACAGGAAGAGGCCAGCCGGCAGCGCCAGCCCCGCGGGGACAGTCAGGAACAGCGGCAGGCGGTCCTCCGGGCGAATGCGGCCGCCGGCGGCCAGCTTGCGCTGCAGGACGCGGTCCGTCATGCTGCCGACGGCGAAGAGGCCGAGCAGCGAGCCGACGCCCGACCCGATGTAGGTGAGGCCGGCGGCGGACGTGTTGAAGCCGTACTGGTCTTCGAAGACGAAGGTGAAGGTCGTGAAGAGGATGTAGAGGATGCCGTAGGCGATGGCGATGTACAGGCACATGAGCGTGACGATGGGCGAGAAGAGGAGGAGCTTGAGGGGCCGGGCGAGCGCGTGCTTGAAGATTTGGGTGGTTGTTTCGTCCGTGGCGAACTTGGAGCGGTACGCGGGGTTGCCTGTCTCGGCGCGTAGGCGCGCGGCTTTGCGCTCGAGGAGGACGGGGTGGTAGGTTTCCGTGAGCGTGAACCAGGCGACGATGGTGATGAGGCCGGACTTGGGGAGGAAGGTCAGCGGTTTGGAAGTGAAGGGGGTGAGAGAGCGTGGCTTACTGCGATGGTGATGACCCAGAATACCCAGCGCCAGCCCTCCGCTTCAGTGAGGTATCCGCCGGCGATGGGACCAATGATGGGACCGAGCAGTGGGCCCATGGACCAGATGGCCATGGCACCTCCTCTCTGCTCTGGTGGCAACATGTCGGAGATGGTGCCGCTGCCGCACGTAACCACTGATACTCCAGCCAGCCCCGCGAAGAAACGGAAGACGATGAGCATGCCCATGTTCTGCGAGACGGCGCAGCAGACGGTGAAGATGGTGAAGAAGACGTTGCACACGTGGTAGACGGGGTTGCGGCCGTAGATTTCGCTCAGCGGTGCCAGGAACAACGGGCCCAGTGCGAATCCGAGAACGTAGACTGATACAACGAACGTGGCGAGCATCTGCGAGCCCGTCTCGAAATCGCGCATGACCAGCGGCACTCCGGGCGCAAACATGGAGGATGCTAGCGGGCTGCAGCATGTTAGCACAAGTCGAAAATATGACGGGGGTTCCCTACGTCATGAACGTTATGAACGAGAGGACGCCGATCGTGGTCCATTTGCGTTTGGCTGGCCATTTCGTGGGGTTGATAGCGTCGTCTGTAGGCTCCCAGTCGACGATGAAGGGGTCGGCGGGCTCTTCAGCCGACGTTTCTTTCTCGTTCACGCTACCATTCTCCTGAGCGTGGTGCATTGAGGCTGAACTGTTGGTTCGAGTCTGCTCGTCGGTCCCGGCTTCCAGGTCCCTGGGCGATTTGAGAGACTGGGGTGTCTCAGGCGGAGTGGGAGAGGCCATTTGTGTCAGATCGTTCCTTGAAGCTGTGTGACGGCGATCGTTGCAAACTGCAGCGAGCGTGCCTGGGGATGCTGAGACGCAAGTGACGGGTTAGGGGGTTAACGTTAATGGATCTAGCTACAGGTAGCCACGCAGCCTTTTAAACATAGATCGATTATCAGCTGTCATCACCAAACAAAGTCTTCGCCCGACCATGTTGCACAATTCGGATGGGGTTGAGACCGAGCTCCTACCAAACGATTCGTATTCGCACAGGGGCTTTTCGGATTGCCCGTTGTGCTTTCGGATTCGGTCTCATTCCTCGGATTGTGCTAGCCATATGGATCGAGCTCGGCACGCACCGTAGCCGTCCTTGCAGCCGTTGTACTTGGCAGTGAGAGCTGCGAATCTTCAGAATACGGAGCTTAAATTACTTTTCCAGTCCACAAACGCGAAGATTTAGCTTTCCGAAAGATCTTGTAGGAAGCATGAAGTCCCAGTCTAAGCTTTATGGAAGCCACCTCATTCGCTCGTTCTTATAGATTCGCTGCGCCTATTCCGAGAAGTTGCATTCTTTCTGCTCTTGCATGCTTTCTTATGTTGTGTTGATGAAAGTGAAGATCAGGTTAACAGTACCGTCCAACGTTGCAGCGTTTCTTCAGCCACCCCTCAAAATTTTTTTTTCACATTTTGCTACAGTTCTTGCTCAGAAGAAGCGCATGCATTTTCAGGTGTTCTCAAAACTTCCCCAGGGAAATGGTATGTTGCCGAAACATTAACAGCAAAATTGTGCATGCGGAAGCAGTTTTGATTGGTTGATCTTAATCAGCCGTGCATTTCATTCGGGAGGAGAACATTTCAAGATTTGCAGCCCGCTTTAGCCTCATCCAACTTACCCCGCATTGAAGGCAGCCTAGTGTCGGCGTCGTCCTTAGATATCCTAGTAACGGATATAACTAGATGAAAAATAGTCCAGGGCCAATGGTAGGGCATGAAACCTTATCTTGGCGTCCGGGGTCCGCGAAGAAAATAGAATAGCTTGCATGTGTAGTGCCGCGAGGCTGACGTGTACGACTCTGCTGCCTAATTACTGAACTTCTATCAAAATCAGAACAAAAGGTTGCCAGGGTTGCAGACAACGAATCATCCTTTCCGACATCGTCATTACGCAGCTCGCGACTACGGGAGAGATTAATTGCATCGACAAACTTCATCAGCAGACATGGACAGCAAAAGTAAACGGGCCAGAGAAAAGGTAAAGGCTATCACTTCATATGTAGACCTGTGCTGCGTTGCAACGACTGTTGCTAATATGTGGCGTGACTTGACAGGAGAAAAAATGGCTTCGGAAAGTGAAAAATGGCGATGAGATGAATCTCTTCGAAAAGAACCATGGCATCAATGGATCCTTTCCGTCCGGCAAAACATACCTGACAGAGCTGGTCAGACGTGCACCGGGGAGTCAAGTCAAACTCATTTTCGAAAAGGAAGGTGTTAATCTGAACCTTGAAGATAGCAAGGGACGGACTCCTTTATCGTGTGCTGCCAAGCGCGGAACCGCGGACATTGTCGAGTTTCTGCTCAAGAAGGAAGAAATCGAGATTAATCATCAAACTCACCGTGGACGAACACCCCTATCTTTGGCTGCCGAACACGGGAATGAGACTATCCTTCAACTTCTACTCAACGAGGAAGGAATCAAGCCAGACCTTGCAGACGAAGATGGCCGAACACCGTTGTTATGGGCTTCGGCCCAGTATCCAGGAAAGCGAGGCAACTGGTGGAAAGAGTATAGTGATACTGAGGCGATCGTAAAATTACTGCTACAGAGAAAGGATGTGAATCCAAACGCAACTGACGAATGGGGGTGGACGCCGTTGACTTGGGCAGCAAAGACTGGACGAGAGTGGCTAGCAGGTTTGCTTTTGCAACCTGAAGTACATGTCGATCCGAACTGCAAAGACAGGGATGGCAAGACACCACTGTGGTGGGCGGCAACAGAGGGGCACGAGAAAATAGTGAGGTCACTATTGAACAGTGTGATTGAGATCGATCTCAACTCTGTGGACGATTCGGGAAAGACGCCACTGATCTCTGCCATTTCCGGTAAGAAAGTGGAAATAGTGAGGGAGCTTCTCCTGGACGAAAGAGTTGATCCCTTGTGCACGGGAAGGGGGCACACACCATTGTGGCTGGCATTAGAGCAGGCATGCAAGAGTCCGCCTGATAAGAAGTCAGTAGAGATTTTCAAACTCCTGATTGATCTGGGAAAAGAGGTGGATCCGGACACATTAGGCAATGACAGCCGAACACCGTTATCTCGAGCCTCAGAAACCGGGAATGAAGCCCTAGTACAGTATCTTCTCTCGAAGGAAGGCGTCAACGAAAACCTGAAGGATGCTTCCGGGCGATCTCCGCTGTCTTGGGCCACCGAGGGAGGACATAAGGAAGTGGTTTTCTTCCTCCTGGAAAAATTGCGAGAAAAGGCCTATAATGGAATAGACCTGCATGACAACAATGGTTTCACGGCCCTGATATGGGCAGCACAGAAAGGCCATGAGGATACAGTCAAGATCCTACTTGAAACTAATGCCGTCAATCCAAATGCTCAAGACAAACAAGGTCGGACGGCCTTGATGTGGGCAGCGGGAAATCACCACGAGAGTGTAGTGAAAATCCTTCTCGCGGAAACACATATCGATCCAAATTTGCAAGACAAGGACGGCCATACACCGCTTTCATGGACCATACAGAAAGTTCCTCCGACCTCATGGTACACATCCGAGGAACATTTTCAACACATTGACTCGATAGTGGAGCTTCTTCTTCAGAACGGCGCTCATCCGGATCTCGTGGACAATGAAAACCGGACACCGCTTTCGTGGGCTGTCGAATTTCGAGAAATGGAGTACACCAACATGTGGAACATCTTTCTCGCCCAAACACCACAAAACCGTACATCATTGTCATGGGCTGCGGAAATTGGAGATTTTATCACTGCGAGTGATCTTATAAGAGTTCGCTCGAAGCCAGGCAAAAAGAGGCATATACCCGATCTATATTATCGAGATGGAGATGGCCGAACTCCACTGTGGCGAGCAGCAAAGAATCGTCACGAACGGCTGGTGAAATTATTCACTCCCATGGATGATACTACTTTGCTCACGCTCATAGAAGAAGATGATCGCGAGTCGGCGGAGCTACTTCTCAGGGATGAGAGTTGTGCTGTCAATACGAAAGATGGCTTGGGCCGAAGTCCGTTACACATTGCGCTCCTGCGTGAGAACCTTGAAATCGCAGAAGACCTCATCCGATCAAGAGCGGATGTCAATGCACGGGACCAGGACGGCACAACACCGCTACGCTTGTCAATTGATCGCAGACTGGGCCAGGAGATAATTACACTACTCCTTGAGAAAGGTGCAGATACTGGAAAGATAAAGGCGTGTAAGTGGTATAAAGCGTGTGGAAGAGATACTCCAGACGTCCTTAATCTCTTGGAGGCCGGAGAAGAGGAGACAACTTTACGATTCATCTCTCCAGGACAGCTGGCAACCATATTGAATGACATTCAAGTCAATAAGACAGAACAGCGAGAGATTCTGTAAGTTACTGCTATTTGGCTTCAGGAGACTGACTGACCTCTGAAGGGTATTCACGGATAGCTCGTCATGGGAAGACTGTTTGATCCCCGGAATACAGGAACCAATTGAGAACGAGCCACTGGTGGTTCGTGAAACACCAAAGACACATGAGCCCTGGAAAACCTTCTCTTTAATTGCCTCTGTACCCCCGGGGGTCAACAGTGAACCATTCGCCAGCGGAAATTGGTGCAAGCATGCTATCACGTGGACAATGACATATCAAAGTGGCGAAAAGACCAACTCAATGTGGAAATCCGTAAAATATTTCAGCACCTTGCCAAACGGGTGGATTCCAGAAAATCATGTGGTTTTCTTCACCCAGTTCATGTCCAGCTTGGGTGAAAAATGGCTTCACGTCTGCAACCAAGCCGACGATCATCTCTCTCAACGCGTAAGCTACAAGAAATATTCTGTTCAAGGGAGCGTCATGCTGACTTTAATGTATGCGTAATTCAGCGCCACAACCAACTCATCCAGAAAGGAGAAAATCCCGACACCATCTCCTACTTGGCCGATGATGCATGCACATGGATAGACTTTCGCGCTGCGTTACGAAACCAAGTTCGCGTTGCTAAAGACTTTGCCGAAGAACACCATCCGCAATATATCAATGACCAGGAGCTTCAGTGTATGCAAGATGCAATCGGAAAGTTATCTGATGACGTAGAGAGCCGGTTAAATGCCTTGGATCAAACAGTGAGGGATCTCCTGCAATTTGTCAGTATAGCTGCTACTCATAATTTTGGGGAAAGGTTTGGTCGAGACTGACATCGGACAGGAATTCGCATGGGTCTCTGTTATGGAAGCCCACAAGTCAACAAGTCTGTCAGTGAGCTTGAAACGCCTCAGCTGGATTACAGTAAGCACACACTCCCTTGCCTGGTAGAGTTCCAAATGTTGACATCTCTAGTTCATCTTCCTGCCACCAATGTTTGCTGCAGTAGGTTGATCCACCTCCTACCCGAACCCAACAGCTAATTGAGTCAGACCCTTTTTGGCATGAATGTGGACGTGCTAGCGAACAATCCTGATTGGCGCTGGTACCCCCTCTTCGGAGGATCATTCTTGCTCCTTACATTGGCGATATGGCTTTTTTTCTTCAGCTCAGTAAGCTCTTTTGCCTCAGCATTTAATGTGCTTTTGTCTAGTGGATAAGCTAACGCTTGAGCAAGATTAATTTCAGAGCCAGGGAGAACATGACCCAAATATGGAACAAACTTCAACCCTCAGTAAGACCGGACTGGGCGGTTCAGTGGGCCAGAAATCCCGGTGAGCTGCCAAGATGATATTTGGAGGAAACCACGATGGGATGTTGGGACTAATGGAACCACCAAAAAAATACTGCTTTAGATTTAGTAAAGTAAGCGTCAGGGTTGGTCGGAACCCGTGGTTCTTCAATGCAAAAGGCTATTCATTGTAAACTTGATGATTCTATGCATCTCGAAGGTCGTAATTACAAAGGAGTGAAAAAACGGTACTGCAGGTACTGAAATTTGATGTCTTTGAGCATGAGAATCAACGATCTAATATTCAGAAGAAAAGCGTTGTGATATGAACTACAATGGTATCTGTGGTGTTTATCGGTTACAGGGTCTTCCCCAACGTTAGTGCAACCACGGGCCGACCCACCTCAACTTTTCCATAGTGCACAACAACCAAGAGAATATGGACAACTTTGTCCGTTTACCAATCATTCAGAATAGAATTTACAGTCGATTAGATGTAGGAGCGGACAAATCTTTGCGAATGCGAAAGTATTTCAATGTTGCGTTGCACTTGACAGCGGGAGGACACGGATTTGTATATGATCATACAACATCACAGTCTACTATGATTTTCTTTGATTGAATTTAGATTTCCAGGTCCTGCAGACGTTCTATCTCAATGTTCCTTTGAGAGTGTAAAGGCACGCTAATTGTTTCGACCGGTTTGTTGAGAGAAGGGATGTAGACAAAGTATCCGGTCCTCGGATCTACGGCAGATCTTTTGTTGGCAAAGAGAATTTCCAAGAATACATTGGAGTAAGTTAAGTAGTGTTGAGTTCTATTTTCAAGTCAAGCCCAGGAGAGAAGCTTGCGGGACATCAAGGGTTAGAGCTAGTGCCAACTGTATGAAAGTCATTGCTGTTACATCTTGGGACGCCGTCAAAGAAATCCATATGGTAGTCTCTGTAGAACCAATCACTGTTCATTCAAAACTTGCTCGTGGGTGGTTCTTGGTCAAGGGGCTGTCTCCCTTTTCTGTGCACTGTACGGACTCGATCCTCGATGCTCCGGCAAGTTTCCACACTTTACTCAACAACTATCCACACTATGGTTCATTTCATAAATTCTCTTCGTGTCATGTATCCTCCTTGCTCATCGCTTTTCTCACAACATTCAGAGTGAGCCGCCAAGATGAGGTCTCGTTCCGTATTGCTCGCGTTGCTCAGCCACTGTGCCGTTGTTGTTCTTTCTGCTCCAGTCCCGCAATGGAACGGACCTGGTGGTGGCACAAACGATGTGGATCCTTGGAACAACTCCTTTGACCCTTCAGGAGGGTAAGCAACAAGAAGCTCTACAAATTCAAGTATTTGAACTCATTCAGGGATAGATGCCCTCCGGACTGGCAGATGGATCCGTATCCAGAGGATTATTGCCAGCAGAGCTGCCCCGAACCTTGTGCCCAGCCGGCCATGTTCCAACCGGCCATGCCCCAACCGGCCATGTCCCGGCCAGCCACATGCCGACCAGCCACGTCCCGACCAGCCATGTGCCGACCGGCCACGTCCCGACCTACGGTCATGTCCGCTCATCCACCGATATCGCGCCCCACCACCCACGTAATGACCGTTACATCAAGCTCTTTGAGGACAGTTACTAAAACGGTACCGGCGGCTGCTTCCACTATAACCACAACGAAGAGTTCGTTGGGCACATCTACGGCAACGGTTACTAAAGTTCGAACTGCCGATGCTTCTACGATGACCGTCACGAAGACGAACAAGGTGGTCGGATTCAAGACCACACGTACGCTTAACAAGATGTCCACAAAGACCACTACCACTAACATTATGGTGACTACCACCTTCACTGCCACCTCAAAGAGGAGAGGCAAGGCCACTACTACCCTTGATGCCGTCATTGTGACCACTACCTCCTTCACCGCACCAAAGGCGACAACGATCACGACAACAATGGCCCCAACAGAATAGATGGATAGCACACCTACCTCTTTCATCTCACCGACTGGTGATGTAGACAGCTCTGAGCCTACACCGACTGATGATGTAGACGACTCTGGCCCTACACCGACTGATGATACAGACGACTCTGGCCCACCGACTGATGATACAGACGACTCTGACCCACCGACTGATGATACAGATGACTCTGACCCTACACCGACTGATGGTACAGACAACTGACCCGACACCACCACCAGCCGCTGTCCGCATTCTTGCTTAAAGCGTAATTCGAGATAACGGCAACTGATGACATGCGCAAGGCTCTCGAACCATCTCCTTGGTTTCAGCCCAACATATCACGCTCTTCCAAGCCCAGAAACTGTTGATTAGTCACATTTGTATGCTTGCGATTCTGTCTCCTGTGTGGGCGCTTGGGATATTGGAACAAAGAAAATGTGGATGAGCAAGCTGAAAATGACGTTGAATTTTTTCTTGAATTGGAACAGCAATGTCAACTTTTTTTTGTATTCATTTGCTCGGCTAAACAGTTCCAAATTGAAATTGAGAACATATTACTCCATTTGTGTCATGTGATTGAGGTATCGGTGACAGGGTTCAGTGGGAAGAGGGACGAATTCCAGCTACCGAGTTCTCATCAACAAGAGAGACTAAATCGTGTGTCGGTAAGCATCGAGACACGGAAAAGCATGGCGGCTGGATGCTCAATAGTTCAGAGCCAAGAAAGTACGATTCGAATCATTAACAGCATCTTGCAAGGCCAAGCACAAGGTAGAGTCATGTTGCAACTGAATGAATCCTACGCCCAGACGGAATTGCCGTATTGTGACCGGCGATAAGTGCTCACCGCGTCGAACCATGTGTACTCATATATGGGTTCTTCTATTACAAGTTCTTGGCTGCCTTGATCCTATTGGTGTAGTTATTGCTGATCCTCGTAGCGCCGGAAGAATTACCTATGCTGCGCCCGACAGCCCGTCTGCTCATGGGTGGGATGCACAGCCTCGCACCACTCGCTGGTAATTAATTCCTCACCGTTGGATGATCTGTCCCGGGATTCTTCTTTGAATGTAGTTGTAAAGGGGGTTCGCATGCGTGCGAGAGGTGGGTTTAATCAAACACGCCTATCAATTATCAGCTGCAAGTGTATACTTCTGAAGCTTATTAAGCTGCTATATATCCCCATATTCGCTATTTTTCAAAGCTGTGAGCCTCGCTTTGTGTCTCCACCCCCGCGTTCTTCCCCGCAACCGCCAAGACAATCCCCCGCAACGACGACAACGCTTTTCCGTCCGGCGGTGATCATTACTTTCCGGAGATTTCTTTGTTCATGTTTCAACATCGGAAAAGCAGCCAGAGACCATGATGTGGATTGTCTTGGGGCCGATCTTGGCCAAAAATCAATAAACTGCAATGCATCAGCTTCTTGGTAACACCCTCGGGTAGCTTCTGAGCAGGTACATAAAGGCTGGATGAAGTTGTCGAGATGTCCCATTCTCTGGTCTCGATTTCCAAGTCTCGCCGGTGACAGGTAGAGGTGATCAAATTTTCCCATCATGAAGTCTTTCATACTGGCGGCTACAGCCCTGGCCAGTGCAACCCTGGCTTCGGCAAAGGTATCCCTACCCAATGGATGGTTCAAGATCTCTCCGGATGACAAGATCAAACATGAAGAATTCCACGGCAAGCCAAGGTACCTGACATGGATGGCCGACTCCCAAATCAAGCACGGCGTCGAGCCCACGTTCGCCTACACCGTCTCGGCCTACCTCTCGGGCGTCCTGCGTGCCTACGACCGGACCGGGGACGAGAAGTACTACGACTACGTCAAGCGGCACGCCGACATGGTTCTCTACCCAGCCTGGAACGGCGACATCCTGCTCTACAACAACAGCAACTCGATCGACGACATCCGCTTCGGCCACACCTTCCTGGACGTCTACAACCTCACCGGCGGCGAGCCCATCTACAAAGCAGCCGCACAAACGCTGCGCGACCAGATCTCGCGCACGGGACGCAATCCGGACGGGGGGTTCTACCATCGTTACCCGGTGTACATCGACCAGATGTGGCTGGACGGCATCTACATGCTGGACGTCTTCTACGCGCGGTGGACGCACGAGTTCGAGCCCGACAACACGACGGCCTGGGACGACATCGCGCTGCAGTTCGACCTGATCGACGCCGGCACCACCGTCGACCGCGACCGCACCAACGGCCTGCCGCTGCACGGCTACGACTACGCCAAGACCACCGTCTGGGCGGATCCGGACACCGGTGCTGCACCTCACGTCTGGGGCCGCGCCGTCGGCTGGTACATCATGGCTCTCGTCGATACGCTGGACTACTTCCCGGAGAAGCACGAGGGCCGCGAGCGCTTGCTCGGTTACCTACAGTCCCTGGCGGACGCCCTCGTCGAAGCTCAGGATCCCGAGTACAGGGGCTGGTACAACATCATGGACCCCGGCCTCGAGAAGCGGTCCGGCAACTACATCGAGAGCTCCGGCTCCAACATGTTCGTGTACGGCCTGCTGAAGGCGCTGCGCCTGGGATACATCGAGGGCGAGAAGTACCTCAACGCTGCATTGGACGGGTACGAGCTGATGACTGAGACTTTCGCCGAGGAGCGGAAGGAGGATGGCACGTTGGATCTAGAGTGGACGGCGCAGACGGGAAGTCTGAGCTCGAATGGCACCTTTGAGGTAAGCAGCATCTTTGCACTGTTTCGTTTTGGACGTTTTGCTGATTACTTGCCCGCAGTACTATGCCAGCATTCCAGTGTACGAGAATGACTTGAAAGGGGTTGCTCCTTTCCTCTTCGCCAGCTATGAGTATGAGCTCTACCTCGAGGGAAAGAACTGAAAAGTAAGAGTAAATGTTGTGGCGCCGTTGGGCAGTGGATGGGGGTGTGAGCACAACAAGGAAACTTGGTGATAATGAGCCAGTAAAGATAGGTGGCTTGAATCATAGACGAGTAAAACTAAATGCAAACATACATATATTGAGATCCATCGTTGTCGTTGAAAGACAAATGATGACGAACGAATTACCCACATGAATCCATCGCAGCGCGTTGTGTGTAAGTTTGAATGAACAGAGTTTGGATTGGAACAGATGGTCACTGCTCAGTAGTTTCGTCCGGAAGACGTCCGTACTCGTACAAGCGACCGCGCTTTTTTAGGCCGTGTGTCTCTAATTGCTTGATTGTAAACCAAAGAATATGATAGGCCCGCTTTCTCCCGATGACTCCCGCGAACCGAAGCACCAACGGGCCGGGGGCTCAAGGCACCATTTGTAGCAATGACTCGCCCTACTGATTCACGAAAGAGTCAGAATGGTTGAGCGGAGAAATCCTTGAGCTAATAACCGACGACGTTCTGCCGGTTTGCCGTGCAGGGGTATCCGGGGTCAGATCGCACGTCAAATGTGCGTAAATCTGGAGAATGGTCATGAACGCTGTATGCTTGAGCTGGATTCAGTTAATTCATAATCCGTCCACGGCAAAACATCTTGACATGTGAAACTGTGTTGCGCGCATTAACTGAGCTGAGCGGTGATACGGATTACATGTGAGACCCGTTCATCTCAACACCTTTACGATCCTTCGATTCTAACCAGAATTGAAGAAGAAGAGGTAGTGAAGTCCGCTTGACACTGACTCGGAGACGCTTTATGATTGGGGGAAGCGCCTAGGCAAACGAGAAGTGCGGGGCGGACCGATTGAAAAGCACCGTGCGTCTCAACGCGAGATTCTTCGATAAGGATGCGAAAGAACTTGGCAACGGTCTTGGTACATCCGCGCCTTACTTTCAACCAATGCAAACACGAATCTTTTCTTGTCACGAGCGGTTCGATCGAGCGGGCGGGAATCTTGAGACGGGGGTTCTATCCGAGACATCGCTCGGCGAAATACACGGTCAGATCAACTCGATGGCTTCTGATTTGGAATTGATTGAAGATCTCATCCGAGCATGAGGAGCCTTGCGTGATACCCCTAAAGTGTCGTCACCGCCTGGATTGCTATGCAACGCGTGGCATCATCGAAACTCCACTTCACGTTGAATTAGTAAAAGTGGCACCTGGTAAGGCCCGCGATGACTAAATGAATGATCTGCGATGCTTTTGCTTGGAAAGATGGAAACTGAAAGCGTTGTCACAACGCTAGGAGCCAAGGTGAGACGGGATCAGGGCCGACACGAGATCAGAGACGGATCTCATGTGATTCACCAGCCTCCTGAATTTAATTTGCGCTTGTGATAAGCACGTTGTCTGCAAGATCGCAGCAACATGATACGCCAACGAACTTCATGCGTATCTAGCTGACTTGCGGACTTGGGCGAAGAGCGAAGCCTAACCAATCTCGGAATGTATCCTAAAGTAAAGCAGCCTACGCCATCATCTTAGCCGTCATGCTATTTTTAGCCGGGTTTCGGAAACTAATAGAACAGTCCCCCGTCTAACATTGTTGAAATAGTGAGCCAGGACCACTAATTTCTCCAGAGAATGAGCTACATACGCCACGAGGAATAAACTCCACGTGGTTTACAGATTTTCTTGGCGAGAATTGGCGCCCACGCCCCTTCCTCTTGGACTCGCTTAAACCCTTCTTTTGATGGAGATAAACGGCATTAATTTTCTTACGACGTACCACAGGAGCACCTGGAGCCACGAGTAATCTCACCGTCACATGCTGATGCGCAGGCCGACGCGTTACGTATGCCGAGGCCAAAATTCCCTCCCGAAGCTCACCTTGAACACAGAAGTTCACAGCATATCTAACATTGACAGTCCCGCACTTTTGGACCTCTGTGTATCTGGTAGTGAGTGGCACTATGCATCGAAAGACTGGTTGCTCTGGAATGGAGAAGTCATCAAGTGGTGCTGGAACTTCGTATTGATCGCATCAAGACCGAATATTCACTCCAGCTTTGATCGAAAGGTGAATCGTGTGCGGCAGTTCAAGCATTGGCGAGGGCGGGTATCTCCGCATTACGAAGTTTGTGGCGTATATCAGGCATGATCTACAACGGTAGTTTGGGGGGCTTGTCCCAGGGTATTAGCGATGCCAAATCTGTATCAGATCCTTTTTGAACCTTGATGGCTGTGTATTGGACAGTCGATTCGGCCCGCTGATCTCGGGTTCGGGTCTAAGTTGACCGGTGGCCCGTGGCGATGATGCTGGTCGAACTCCACTGTCATGGATGCCGTTGCGGCGTCACTGGCATCATGCAACCCCCCAAGTAGCTCATGAGTCGCAATTTCGATCACTGGTACATAAGCAAGATGGCGAGAAACCTGCAGTTGAAACATCAACCCACACACTTCTCACTTCAAGATGGATACACAGGGCTGGTTTGTGCCACCTTTGCCTTTGGTACCAGATGCCTCAATAACAGTCGACTCACTTGATGTTCATACATGGTCGAATGAATTGAATGTGCGCGCGGTGATCCAATCTTTTCTACCCCCGTTATAGAACATGGTCACCTATAGTGTAGGCTTGATTTGTTGCTTATATCGGTTTTCAGGGCTCAGCAACGCTCGACGGCGCGGGTGAATACGACGGCACCGTCTATTCATCAACCTACTACGAGAATTCTTCACCGCACTACTTGGAGCCCCTTGGCAACGTCACCCACAATCACTTTACTGGATTCGGGGCGCATTCAATACCGAACCAATCGATCTTCTTTACGGCCGAAGCACAGTCGAGCTCGGCTCAACTAACAACAACAACTACCTCGGGTCGGCTGCCATTTTCGGCATCCACAAGTCCACGATTCTCTTCACCACTACAACCAGCCGCATCACACCACCCACCATTTCCATACTCCCACACCCCGGGACAACAAACACTCCACGGCGCACCACCACCTCCTCCTCCTCCGGCACCATCCGCCTCCCAGCCTTCTCCACCGGCAGCCTCGACACCAGCAACAACGACAACAACAACAACAACAACAACAACAACAACAACCGCTCCCTTGTCCTCCTCCTTCTCCTCCTCCTCATCCTCGACCTCCTCTCCACCAACATGCACGCACACGCCTACGCCCCCGCCCTCCCGGTCTCCCCACCCGTCGTCGTCGTCGTTGTCGCAAGCAGCCTCACCGCCGCCCTCGTCATCCGGCAAAGCCCCCATGAGCGAGCGCCGCCGCGCCCAAAACCGACGCGCGCAGCAGGCCCACCGCGACCGCCGCGCGCAGCACCAGCAAGCCCTCGAAGCGCGCGTGGTCGAACTGCAGGCCCTCGAGCGGGCGCTGCGCGAGGAGAACGGCGGGTTGCGCTGGGAGCTGCTGCAGGTGAACAACATACTGGCGGTGGAGAGGGCGGCACGGAAGCAGCGGGATTGCGAGGATCAGAGGAGGAGGGAGGAGGAGGTGGTGGTGGTGGGGAGGGTTGGTGGTGGAGGAGGGGTAGGGGCAGGAGCAGGAGGAAGAGGACCAGGAGGAGGAGGGGGGGAAGAGAGCGGGTGGGGGTGGAAGGGCGTTGTGGAGGTGTGGGATAGGGTGTTGAGGCATCCGGTGGTGGAGAGTGGTGGGGTGAGTGTGGCGGATGTGGTGGAGGAGTTGAGGGGCGGAAAGGGAGCTGAGGGGCGGAGGCTGTTGGTTGATGAGAAGAGGATTGATGAGGTTGTGGAGAAGTGTCGCCGTCGTGGTGACTTGTATTGAAGACTTGACGTAGAGTTCAGTGTCCGTTCAGCCCGGATACATGGTAATTTATGTGGAATTCATGACTAGAGTGAAATTGTAGAGTTGAAAAGTGGAAAAGGTAATCATTCCATCAGTCGATTGTTGTGTATCCACTGCAAGTCCAGAAAGCTTCTCCACTCTGTCTCTCTCAGCCTCATAATGCTATCGAAGGACGATTATGTGTTTTCCGATACCACATCTTATTCAATTCTCATCCTCTGATTACAAAAGCTTACCACCTCCTTTTGTATCATTCATCACTAGAAATCGTGCAGGACATTCTGACCCAAAGGGTATTTGTCTGGCACAAAGCTGACGGCATTCGGTCCACTTGGGGCAGGATCATTCTCTCTCCCAGCATACTGGTGGCCTATATCATTGCACCCGTCCATGACTTCATCCCACAGATCCTCCAACTGAATCCTATCTGGTGGGGAAAAGGTCATGCACTGGTACACCAGTTCCACCAGCCGTCCCGAATACGCCGGCCGGAGAGGCAGATGAAATCGCGGGTCCTGATGGTGAAAATTCTCCCGCGGAGGCAGGTCCGCGCCGCCGGGAGCCTGGGAGTAGTCGACGACGATGTCATTTGGCTGCGTGGGGTCGTAATTGGAACCGCTTTCGCCCCAGGTGGCAAGCATGCACCAGATGGCCATGCCGATCTCCCAGACCATCGCCCACGAGTGGATGCCCGAGTTGTCGGGCGGGACGTTTGTGGGCCACGGATTGGGCCATGGGAGCGGTGTGTGCGGCAGGTCAGCGTTGAGGCGGTCAATGGTCGGTCTCACGCGAGCTGGGTGGTACCCGTTGTTTTGCAGTCTCCAAACGACGCGGCTAAGACTCTCCGGGGCCATGTGGCTAGGCGTTCCGTAACGCTGGAAGTCTGGAGGATTCACCCTCCGCCTGTATCCTCTCGCATTCCTCCGGTCATCCAGCCCGTGGTGAGTTGTCCACGCCATGCCAAAATCGCCGACTTTGGGCTTCGGGTAGTGGCGGGCCCATACCAGTGGCTCTTCAGGATCAGGGGGGTCCAGCCAGATGTTGGTGGGCTTGAGATCGGTGTTGACCATATGCTCCCAGCCCGGCCTCAGACCCCTACCTGCATGTCCATTCCAGCAGACGAGCGAAACTTCGGTCAAGACTTTGAAGCAGTACCAGATAAAGGGCTCTGGTATCAAATGCCCGCTGTGACGGTAGCCGTTCTCAATCAATGACCACAGTGTGTCGTGCGGTACCCAGTCGGTCATGATACGCTTGGTCCTACAGATGTCGTCTCCTCTCTCATTCTTGACCGACTGATGTATGAAGCCAACTACGTATTGAGGACAAGCAGCGTAGACTAATTTGTGGGCATCACCTTCCTCTTTGGACAGGCGGTGTTGGCCTGGATTAAAGCGGCTGTACTTCGAACGCCGCTCTCTTTTGAGTACAATCGTCTGGCCACTGGTTAGCAGGGATGCCACCCTCATGGATTTGATAAACCCACGCTCAATGTACGATCAGCTCCATCCGCCAGCCTGTATAAAGAAACCAGAACGCGGAAGTTGCCCAAGTTTTCATCTGGCCTCGTATATAAGACCTTGTGAAACGTCCAACGCCCGGGCGCCGACCCGAGCATACGATCTCGAACATCCTTTCGTGCCTCCGTTCGGGCCAATGCATGCTCCTGGGCCGTCACCGAGGGGTCAGGGTAATTGTTGGGAACTACAGGTGCTGCGGGCGTTTTAGGCTCCCGGCGGCCTCGCGCTTGCCTGATTGCCTGTATGCATTCCATATGGAACGTCTTTAGTTCATCACCGGAAGGAATATTGCGTTTTTTAGCTATGAACTGATCTGTAACCGGTAAGTAATATGCCACCGGGAACTAATGACGTGTCATACTTCGCTTAGGGTCGTATGTCTTATCTTTGGTGAAGTGATCGAGATCGAACTGAACGACAAGTTCAGGATCCGGCCAGACGTCGCGGGGGGAGACATCGTGGTTGCAATGTTCGAACCTTAATGGCCATTTCTTTTCCGCAAGGTACTGGTATCGTCGCTTCTCGTTCTCGGAAAGCCTTGCAAATTGATGGGAAAGGTAGTTCACAATTCTTTTCCCTTCATGGCACATCAACGACTGCCCGGGGGAAATGTTGCACACTCAAAACTTACGCCTTTCGTTTTTCTTGGGCTTTTGCAGCAGAGCGTTTACGTCATAATTCCTCCGTCGGGCCTCTTGTGCGAACTTCTCCTCGATGTAGGCAGTGCGAGCATTTTCTCCGGCGCGCGTGCGTAGCGGCATTTTCAAGGCTTGGGAAACGCAGCAAAATGTGTTGCTACAGGGAGCTAAATAAATGACGTTGAACAAGTGGTTGACAACAAAGAATGGGATTCTTTGCCGCATATTCCGCAAAAGGAAGCGTCGGGCACAACCTCCGAAACACAAAGAATACGGGATGATTTTCTTTGATTAGTTTTCTTTGGGACAAATTGAACGAGAGCATTGCAATTCTTCTGGCATTCCTTTTCATTCATGGAAAACGCGCTGCATTTCCCTTGGTTATTTCGTCTGATCTCCCAGCAATACGGCTCCGCTTCCAAGCGTTATTTACCGAACAACGTTATCAACGGATCTCGCCAGCGTCTCCACGTTGGTCTCAGTCAATCCGGCAACATTGATGCGTCCCGTAGTAGGGAAGTGGATATGATCCTCTGAAGCCATTCGTTCCACTTGAGCAGGAGTAAGGGCGAGTAGGCTATCATCATTAGCATCCAAGTTTGACGAGGGGTAGCTAAACTCACGAAAATAGCCCGGTTTCTTCCAGGATGTGATCCCAATTTCCCGGTGTCTACAAATAATTCCGTTAGCTCAACAAAGCGGTGTCGCATGCACCAGACTCACCTTCAGCTCCTCTGTGAGCCACCAGTGCAAATTCTTCCTGTTCTTCTGCAACCGCTCCCTCATAACTCTCAGGTTGTCCAACCTGCAAATACCGTCAGCATCCTCTTCTCCCAGACTCCTGTAGTCAGCAACAACGAAGAAGTGACGACGTACCACTCATCCCAAAACTCCTCCATCACAATCTTCGCCAACGTCGCCGCATACCTCGGCGGGCTCGCCCACGTCCACCTCGCAAAGCTCCTCAGCTGATCGCCCGCCCGCCCCGCAACCTCCTTACTGCCCGCAACAACGTGCAGCACGCCCACCCTCTCCCCATACAACCCCAAATTCTTCGAGAAGCTCTGCGCCACAACAACCTGCAACCCGCGCCTCACGAACTCGCGGATCGGCCACGCGTCCTCCTCCAACCCCGCGCCGAAGCCCTGGTACGCGATGTCGAAAAACGGCAAGTGGCCCTTCGCCTCGAGCGCCTCGGCGACCTGCACCCACTGCGCGTGCGAGAGGTCGCGGCCGGTCGGGTTGTGGCAGACGGCCTGCAGCACGAAGACGGAGCGCGTCGGCGCGTCGGCGGCGGCCTGCAGCAGGCTGTCGAAGGCGACGTGTTTGGTCGCGTAGTCGTAGTGCGGGTAGAAGGTCGGCGCGAGCTGCGTGTAGGTGAAGAGCGGCTCGTAGTTGGGCCAGGCCGGCGCGCCGACGTAGGCGGACGGCGGCGGCGCGGAGGGGTCGGGCCGGAAGAAGTGAGAGCTGAAGACCGCGCCGAGGTGGCAGGCGCCCGTGCCCGCGATGGTTTGGATGCTGGCGACCTGCAGGTGGTGGTGGGGTGGATCAATTAAGTGGGTCGGGAGATTGACGGTGGCAAGGCTTAGCGGAATGGAAGATGGGGTGGAATGAAGAGTGGGATGAGAAAAGAAGACTTGGTGAAGTAACAGAACAGAGAATTCAGAAAATGGTTCAACTCCTAGAAGACTGAAAGGCCAGAGTGAAAGAGAATGATAGGAGAATACGCAGTGTTTACCTTTTCGGCCTTCAGGACTTCACTATCCTTGCCGAAAATGACTTCGGCGGCTTTCTTGAGGAACGCCGGATCACCGGTATTGAAGCCATACTTTTCACTCGTCAATTGAATAGTCCCATTTGCGGCGGCTCTGTTTACTGACATTGTGATCAACAGGTTGAGCTGCCAGAATCTTCTTTGCCTGTTGTTGAAGAATTCGTCAGCACCCCCGGATTTGTTCGACCGACATTGGATTCATTGCATGTCAAGATCCCACCTTGTGAATTACAGGCAACTCATAGTATTTGCCCTCCTCGTCTTTGTAGACACCAGCACCCAAGTCAACTTTACCGGGAGTCTTGTCCGCAGTCAGGCGTATTTTCAGGTCCCACATGATGTCCGGGGCTACATCAGCAGGGACGTTAGGGAACACCTCCGCCTTCTCACTTATTGAGCCCATTGTCAATGTATTTTTCTTTGGTATGAAATGCTGATAGACAAAGTAAAAGAGTACAGCAAAATCAAGGAGTGCGGGGAGAGAGGGGACGATAAGTTTAAGTAGACAAATGTCGCGTCTATTTTGGTGCATAATGCGTGCTTTTTTCGTCTTGACTCGGGACCTGATAGCGAAAGTGGTGGTGGAGGGGGGTGGACGCTCGGTTGCGTGCTCTCTGCGCCGGATGAGCACTCCACTCGGCAACCTATTGCAACAGCCGAGCAACTGACACCGGCTAACCTGAATAGGTAAGAGTGTATGCAATTGCAAATCAAGACCCTGACATTGCTAAGTAGTACAGCGTACATACCTTAGTGGCCCACATCTTTTCAATCGACTGGATTCGCTGTGTTCTTGCTGATGCGGGGTTGCTGTGGGGGAGAGTTCCTTTGAAATACAGCAAGCTAAAAGCACAAATTTCTGCAACATCACACGTGAACAAGGCCCGACAATTATGGCCGCGTAAAGATATTCGCCATAAGGATAGAACGTTCCAAGCCTTTTAATATTAAGCAGCATGCTGGTAGGCACTCCTTATCGATAGCCCACTACGCTACGTTTACTGCTATCTGTTGATTGCCCGATTAGGTTTAGTGTAGTTGCTGCGCTGGGCGATTGCTATAGATACCAATCGACGAAGAGCCTAGGAACGAAAACTGTTGAAAAAAGGAATTGGAACAGCGACTAGCCCGCGCTTGAATGGGGGAGTAAAGGAAAAAATAATGCGTAAGAGGACCAGTTTCATAAAGCACTCTTGAGAGAGAGCATGTATTAAAACACATTAGCCACCCTATTTGTGGCCCTTTAATCTTACATTTCAGCCATTGGTCGGCTTTTTGAGAAACGGTCTGAGAGACTCCACACCAAGATGAGCCCTGTTACCTCGTATTCTGTTGGCCGCAGCAGCTCCCCTTCCAGCACCCGGCCTCCTCCTGGCATTGAGAGACAGCGAAAAGCTTTTTTCTCCTTCGAAGCAGGAGAGCGCCGTGACTTCACTGTCGTACGTCACAATCATGACTTTGACTACGGTATTCGTGTCCGAGCCCATGAGCCTCTGCCAGCAATCCGAAAGCTCTTTCACTGCTCCTGCAAGTTGATCCTGTGCTTCCAGTAAAATGAAAAGTTGAGGGATCTCCGAAACTACGGAGACGAACAGCTTCTGCCATTGCTCCGCAGTGGTACAGTCTTGGAACATCGACTCGCTCAGCTTCGAGGCCTCTGCAAATTTGTCCGTGTTCTGACTCAGGATTTGTGAGATGAGTGACTTGAGGATATCCATGGCCGTCATCGTTGCCCTGCCATCGTCGGAATCCGCGTTGAAAATCCAAACGACTTGATGATCTTCCGACTGGGCAACTTGGATCAAATCCACCACAAAGTCTCTTGCATCGTTCTTGGCTATCACAGAGCCATTTATCAAAATGATTGACGAGTCTGGCTCCGAAGCCCATGCTTGTAATGAACTGGATTTCCAAGCCGACGAAGTCTCGCTGGAACGCCTCGATCGGCGCAGATTCCTCAGAAGAACGCCATCTTCGAGTGCTTTCTCTGGACAAGTAATGCCGGACTGGAGGTATTTTTGCACGTTCTCGAGCTTGAAAATTACTGGTGGATCTGAATTGCCAAGTGCCACCGTTTGAACTCCATACGTGCTAGCGGTGAAGTTGCCTGCCATTATGATCAGTCATCGTCTCGGATTCCACGAAAGAGGAACGTACCAATCCCCATTTGCATAGACAGTGTCAACATCTGCAGCGTTGCATCATGGATTTCCTTTGTTCTTCTGGAGTTTTCCATTATTTCGAGGTGCATGTCTCGCATCTCCATGTGCATGTGACGTGTTTCCGTGAGCATAGCGAGGCTTGACAAGTTCCGCAAAGCTTCCACGTGCTTCCTGATGCTGCTGATCACATCTTCAAATTCAAGTTCCCACGGGGTTGCGATTGCACGCAACATATTTGCTAGTTTGCGACGCTTGTACCAGCGTGTTGCTTTGATACAAAACGCCAATATCTGGGCGTACAGGCTAGCAATCTCTTCTTGAGTCTGCTTGTTGGGGTGAATTGTTGCTCGAACCTCGATCTCAGAGAGTAACGAGCCAATTTCGGAGAAGGCGTGAGCGATATTGGCTGATAATTCCTTGTAGTTCAGCGTAACCTATATGTTCAACAGAATTCTTAGCAAGCCACTTTCACACTCACATCAAAAGAATGTGACTCACGACAAAAACAAATTTGAGGGCGCCCCAAGCGAGAGACACATATTCCGGGTGGTGTTGGACAAGAACGTCCAATATATTGCTGTAATACACGATCCGCGTTGACGCCACACTCCAGATGTTGTTTGCTTTGGACATCCAGCCCCCGTCAACCTTTTGTGCAGGCTCGTATTTGCGCTTGGCTTCCATGACAGAATCCAAGACATCCTTTGCCGAAGACTTGCCCTGGAGCCAAAGAGGAATTTCCTTTTGATCATTTTTGAGTTCTTTGTCGCAGAATTCTTTTGCTTCATTGAATGCTTGTGCGATGATGGAACGACTTCTGCACGGATTTAGGTCTAGTAAGCATGATGTGATTGGAGGAAGCTTACTCATCGGCAGAATTTCCGGCTCCGTATAGCTTTGCAAGGCTCTCATCGATTGTCGGGATAGACTGATTATGGAAATTTGTCTTGACGGCGTAGGCCGTTGTTTGCCTTGGTAGCAAGGCTGCTGAGGCCGAGGCAGCAGCTGCTGCCATGTTATCCGGGAATAGGCTGAGCTGATCCCTGCGTTTGAGAATACAAAGCTGATTGGTTACGTAAAAACCACAGAATGTGGTGCGCAATGAGGCAAAATAACATTGAGAATTCAATTACATGGGAAAGGTGGAGATTTTTGAGCACATTTGGATTGGGGCGCAGCTGGTGGTGTTGCGGGGCAATGTAGAGTGCCAGCCTCGTCGTAGCAGAGCACAAGCGTACTTCTGCGAAAGTGTGGTCGCACAAAGATCTGATACGTTGGCTTCCCTGCTCCATAAGCCTCGTATATGCTTTGTCGTCAAGACCGCCGCCGATCTCTTCAGCTGCCAACGTGGCGCATACTGTGAGGATGTTGTTAAGCGAGCCGATTTCGTTCCCTAATACTGGAACGCACCTCGCGAATGAACCCGCGTAGCTCCGGTGAAGTTTTGGCTCTCAATCACTCGATTCAAGATGCAGCTGAACACGAGAAATATATAGTCAGCCTTGAGCACCCTTTCATTTCAAGAAAGCCTACCATACTTCTTTGTTTTGTCCATGGATTTGAGCGAAGATGGTCCAAAGCCCTTGAGCTTTCCCCGACCCTCTGATTTCACTCAACATGATTCGAGGTCCTTCATGAATGTGACAACGACCATATCGCAAGACTGGTCGGAGGAATTCGATTTGGTGGCCGGAGTGAAGACAGCAGAAGGTGAGTCGTACAGGTACGGCGGCATTATACAGCACTAACACTTAACAGATGACGAACAGGGTACTGCAAAGACCCTTCGAACCACTACCGTAGCTCCTGAAGATCATATCGATCCCATAAAAGGTTGTTAGCCCTTTCTCACATCTGCGAAAGTGCACCTTAATCATTACTGTAATATTTTAGGGGCAGAATTGGGCCAAGAAAATTTAGATGCTGAAGAAACAAACGAGGTGGGCTCGGACTCGGGGGGAAAAGCTCCTGCGGATAGCAACTCTGCGATCAAGGAGACCGTTACACTGGTAGAGGATGCTGTTCCAGGCTTGCCAACCAATGGAGAGAGAAAGGCGTCATCAACCTTGAACACCAGGGAGATTACCGCAGCTTTGGGAGCGGAGCTGTACGGTAATGGTCCCCATTCTCACCTCTTCCAATATTTGCTCACGACCATCTCCAAATTGGAACTGGAGAGACGAGCTTTGGAACAGCAGTTGTTAAGAATCTCGGAACCGAAACCTGCCGCTACTATCGCTGAGGACTCCCACGATACTCTCGAGAAACCACGGGAAGCCGCTGAGGACCCTCAAGATATTTTTGAGAAATCACAGGAAGCTACAGATGCTCCAACTACTTATATTTGGGAAGTATTCCATCGTGTGGCCTATGGTCAGAGCGACGCTTTTTTCAGGGACATACCCAGAAAGTTCAAAGGAGACACAGACAGTGACTCTCTTCGAGGTCGAGATGAAACCGAAAACATGTTGGAATACATGAAGCGTCACCCTTCAACCGCCTTCGCCGTCATCTATCACTACTCAACTAGGGATTACACTGGAAGAAAAGCAGGCGTGGTCTCTGGAAGGATGATCCAAGATGGCCCGCCTGCAAAGAGCCACGGTCAATACATTCAGCTTGCAGAGCAGACAAAAGACGCCATCAAAGCCATTATTACTGAGCATCCCGAAGAATTCAAAGGCTTTACTTCGGAGAACGACTTTCCGCTCCCGATCACCCAACCATACTGGATATTCTATCTCTACAACCAGGCTTTCCTCAGGCTTCGCAGTTGTTCTGGATTAGAAGAGAACGACCAAAACCGGATGAAGCTTCTCTGTGATTGGTTTGAGGAGAATTGGAGATCGGATTGGGATGAAGCAAACGCTCTTCTTGGCAGGGGGAAAATCAACAGAAAACACTACAGCAAGCTTTTCAGACCAGGTGATATTTGGATCAGCAAAGATGACGACGGATCAATCAAAGCCGAAAAGTTGGAACCGTTCCCCTGGTCAGATGTCCGAGGGCAGAAAGCAGATGCTATTGGATGGTGTTTCAACGGATCATTTGTCAAAGAGCAGTGGGATTATTGGACACATGACGAGATCTACATCATCCCAACAGGCAAAGAAGAAGTAGATATCACCTCTCTTTCAGGATACCCCATACGTTTCGCAGAGAGCGGGACATACGAAAAACTTGTCTCCCGAGGCGAGAAGTTCTGGCAATGTCGAAAGAAGAAGTTGATCTCGTTCCAAGAGGAAGGGGATCCTATCGACGTAAGTATGCTGGGTAACATGATATGGCAAATGAGTTTTAACATAATAACTTTTTAAACAGGACGAGGTTCGCTACATGGTGGACTATCAAATGCTGAAACGCATGCATCCAAAGAAAGCCATTTTCCAGTATAAGGGGGATGACTTAGGAGAAGAGGCCATGAACGCAAAAAATCCTCCAGATGATGACTTTCTTGCCCTCCTCCCATCTCACATTCATGCATTCAGCTTGCAGAGGAAGCACTGGTGTAAGTCCTCCGCTTTCCTTTTCGACCCTTCAATAAGCTTTTATTAATAGTATTTGACTAGTGAGACTTCCTGTTGAGCGTATCACGAATGTTACGTGGAACAAAGATGCTTTTGAGAGGTTGGAAGCCCCGCAAAAAACGAAGGAAATGATCCAAGCCATGGTCGCCGCGCAGACAAGCGATACGAAGACAAACACAGACCTGATTGCTGGGAAAGGAAACGGTCTGCTAATCTTGCTCCACGGACCACCGGGAACAGGGAAAACACTTACGGCTGAGAGCATAGCAGACATGGAAGAGAAGCCTCTGTATAGGGTGACGTGTGCGGATATAGGAATGGAACCCGAAAGCGTGGAGAGTGTAAGGTTGTCCATCACTTCTTCAGAGACTTACCATGACTGACTTGAAAGTACCTTCAAACGATTTTTGAGATCGGGACTGCTTGGGGATGTGGTATATTTTGATCTCTTCACCCACGAAATTGAGCCATGCTGACTTGAATATAGTTATACTCATCGATGAGGCCGATGTGTTCATCGAAGAGAGGAATTTTGCTGACATGAAGAGAAACGCCCTCATCTCAGGTCTCATCCTCTCATGAAACCACGGAGCTACAGCACTTTACTGACATAATTGTAGTGTTCCTACGTGCCATGGAGTATTTTAACGGGATCCTCATATTGACGACTAACCGCGTCGGTACGTTTGACGCGGCCTTCAAGTCTCGCATCCAGCTGGCACTCCGTTATCGGCCCTTGGATCAAGACCAGCGCAGGCGAGTATGGAGCAATTTCTTCCGAATGCTGCGGAACACTAAGGAGCGCGTTGACCTGGATGACTTGGAGATGAATGTTGAAAAGTTGGCCCGGATCGACATGAACGGCAGGCAAATTCGGAACGCCGTCACCACGGCGCGGCATCTTGCAAAGTTCCGGAAAGAAAGGCTAGTTTATGGGCATATTCAGGACGCTGTCGAAACTGTGACGGATTTTGATAAGTATCTGGATACGGTCAGGGGTGTACTTGAAGAGAGATGGGCACGCGAAGACAGATTGAGATAGTAAGGAAAATTGGTTAACTTTTCCTTTTACACAGCAAGCGTTTTCGGATTAAGGCTTTACCGTAGAACAAGACTTCTCATGTTCGTAATGACAACTTATACCTTCCCAGCCAATCTATCATGCAAGAGGACGTGATCCAAAGGGATTAATTGACACTCTTTTTCTTGAGATATTATTGACTAAATGTGGTCCAGGTACGGAATAGACCTCGTTTCAATCATCCTCGCTTTCATTTAGGTAATAAATCTTGCGCCGCGAACCAGGATTGCAGCCCCTTGTGAAAGGCCTCGGAACCCTGCTGATGCAGCCAATGCCCTTCCGCAATAAGCTCCACCCGATCCGTAGCCTCATCAACACCAATCTCATGCTCCAAATCCACCTTAACCTGATCCGCACACGCCACGAACCTCGGCGCCTTCCTTCCCTTCATATAACCCACCGCATTCTCCCTCCTCCCGATACTGCCCTCTTTCCCGTACAGCTCCTTAATCACCGCGCTAACAACATGGGGTTTGTTTCCCCAGGTCCGGTGCCGATGCCACGCCTTCAGCCACGCAGGCGTGGCATCGGTGTAAAAGTTCTGCTCGAAGAAGCCCGCGGCCAGGGCGGGCGAGTCCGGAGATTCCATCTGCGCGGCGAAGGGGTCCAGCGCCGCGCCGGGCAGGTAATAGACGGGGTCGACGAGGACGAGGGCGCGGACGAGGTGCGGGTGGCGCACGGCCAGCGCGGACGCGATGACGGTGCCCAGGCTGTGGCCCATGACGACGGCGCCATCGACGCCGAGGTGCGCGAGCAGCGCGGCCGCGTCGTCGGCGAGGGCCTCTGGACTGTAGGAGGAGGTGTCGTTTGCGGGTGGGGGGACCGCGGAACGCCCGTGGCCGCGGTGATCAATGGCGATGGTCTGGAATCCGAGCCCTTGCAGGAACGGCTGCTGCCAGCTCCAGTCCAGGTGGTCGCAGGTCCAGCCGTGGAGGAGGAGGATCGGCGCCCCCGTGCCTTCGACGACGTAGAAGAGGTCCGACCCACCGTGGGTGAAGTATGCTGCTGTCGTCATCGTGCTGATAGGGGAAAAGGGAGGCGGAGGGGAGCACGACGGCAGCGGAGGTGCAGCATGTTGAAGATGTTACCGTTTTCCGGGTTGGCGTGAGCCGCGTGGAATGTGGAGCCGGCTAGTCAGTCCGTATAGCCGTTGCCAAGCAATGAGTGGAGCCTGGGTGCGTCTGGAGACCGGCCCGGGCATGCTGCTCTGGCTTTGGGGACCGAGTTTCGGCTTCCCACAGATGAAAGCGGCTGCTATTGCTGAATATAAGCATCCAAAACTGCCAATGTCCATACTTTATGACGATTCTGATATTGGCTAGAGATGGTGAGGAAGGCGTGGTGGGGAGACCAACCTTAGCTACCTGACTCGTGATTTCATGCTCGGCCGACAGAGCAAAAAAAGAAGATTAAACCCGCACACTCGGAGACATCACCGGCGTTGTGAAGAGGGGGAATCCTTCCAGTGTGAAAAACCAGGGGGATGGCCTAAAGATCGCGGGATGAGGCAAATGATATCGTAATGTCTGCCGAGTGAACAGATGAGGCCCTCTTTCGGGAATTCCCCTATTGGTTGCACATTATTCGTACACCGATACCATGTCATGTCTTGACCCTGATCTCTGCCGACGTACCAGCGGAGGCTAACCGTTCCCGAATATGGCGCGAAAGTTAGTGGCACCACGGACGCTTTCCGTGAAGACTTGCCCAGCCGACTACTGTCTGGGGAGCCGAGAACGTGGTCTGCAGATTGCCGTTGAGATTTACATAGCGGCCCTCCTCGCATTTAGTGCCCATGATCTTCAATTTGGCTTTTCATTCCCTTGTAAAACAGCGCCGCTTGTCTTGTCCCGCCGAACGGGATAGCATCTTGGACCGGCGCCCAGAAACATTTCCCTATACAGGGATACAGGGTCGCCATGAAAATGGTCTGGGCTCTGCCCATCGCCATTGCCGTTCTTTCCCCACATGCGTATGCTACCGAGTCTCTGACTGACTTGGAACTTCCTACGTGTGCCGTAAGTATCTATACCCCCGGACCGTTTCTCCGCTTACTGGTTAAGAGCCCAGTCGCGTTGCCTTGACGATGCTCTCAACCTATCTTCATGCGCAGACGAGGATGACTCGTGTCTTTGCAATAGCAAGGCATTCGACCGACAATTCGACGCATGCCTGGATGCCAACTGTTTGGCGCGAGATTACTTCGGTGCGATCAACGAACATCTTGAACCCAAAGGTCCAGCTGACAGATTGATAGCCGCAAAGAATCTGACCGATACTGCATGTGGATTCGAGGTTAGAGACAAGAGATCCGTTGTCATCTGGGTTGCTGGTGTCGGTGCAGCATTGGCTTATGCAGCTATTGCAATACGGCTCTACACTCGATACTTTATCAACCTGGGCGGGCTCAACTGGGACGATTGGTCCACCGTTGTCACCGCGGCATTCTTGGCCCCTTTGACAGCCGGTGCTATTCTTCGTAAGTCTTCGGCCATACTCAAAAATGACACTTACCCTGACTGCCATCATTCAGTTGCCAAGAACGGCCTCGGAAAAGATACATGGACTTTGCCTCTCAAAAGCATCACGGAGACGCTCTGGGTATGCCCGTCTATAGCTAGCACAGCAGCCGCTGACCGGTACTTCAGATCTTCTACGTCCAGGAACACCTCTACATCATTTGCACCGTCCTCGTGAAACTCTCCCTCCTTCTATTTTACCTACGCATCTTTCCTGATGCTACTTTCCGCAAGATCGTATGGGCGACACTCGTCTTCGCCCTCTGCTTCGGTTTCAGCGCACTTTTCGCTTTCGCATTCCAATGCACTCCCGTCAAACACGCATGGCATGTTTGGGACGAGGAGCATCCGGGATCATGCGTAAATATCAACGCGCTTGTATTGACGGCCGCGGCGCTGAACACGTGTGCTGACTTCTGGATCATCGTGCTTCCCATTCCGGGCGTCGTGAAGTTACAGTCGTCCCTCCGCATGAAGTTACAGGTTATCCCCATGTTTTGCACGGGCTTTTTGTGAGTTTGAACTTCATGATACTACTTTTGAGAAACCGATCTGACCGTAGAAGCATTACTGGTGTCAGCATTTACCGTGCGGTGATGCTTACGGAATTTGCCAAAACGAGAAACCCCACATGTACGTCTACTCCGTCCTCCTCCATCCATCTATCTCCAGCCACCTCCTGACGCAAAACATAGGGGACTACTGCGACGGTGGCTACTGGTCGATCATTGAGGTGGACGTCGGCATCATCTGCACATGCATGCCCGCCATCCGTAAGCTCCTCGGCCAGGTTATCCCAAAAGTGTTTGGGTCCACTCACAAAGCCACCGCGGAGGACCCCTCGAAGACTGCCGGCCACAGCTCACGAACGGCGAGGGACTTGCGATCTTTTAAGGGGTCAGGGGCGTCGGAAGGGGAGAGTTTCGTCCAGCTGATTGATATCGAATCGAGGTCAGCCGTGAGCCACCACGAGCCAGATGGTGACGTTGGACATAGTTGATGTGCCTGTCAGTAAGCTTGATACAGTTGAGGAGCAGTGGCATAGCATCGCAGTAGCCAGAAGGCAAAATTGACATTCTGAATTCCAAAATCTTCTTGTGAAATGCTATTACCCTGCACTTAAGTGATTTACGGCCTTGTTTACCCACCAAGTGCCTCAAATTATCATACTGTTCTCATCCTCTCTTTTCCAAATCTCTGGGTTCCCATCCAAGCCCGGTTGTTTGCTCAGCTTCTGCCTGTTGCCGGAGTACCACCAGTACATGTTGAAAACTTCAACCCCAAGTTGGCTTTCGATATCAAACCCCCATCGTCAAGCAGCACCGAAACCTCGTTGCTTTTTCTTTTTTCCATCTTTTTCTACTCTCCTTGGTCCATCATCCTGTACCATCGCATTCCCGGTATTAATGAACGACAGGCTCTGATAGAAATCTTTCACCTTTTGATGTGTGCGCACCTTTCCAGGGTCAAAATTGAGTACCTGTAATCCATCCATGCTCGTTGCGCGAGACAGAGCCACATACGCCTGGCCTCTTTCGAAGACCCGACCAAGGTCCACTCTCACAAAATCCAGACTTTGACCTTGTGACTTGTGAATGCTGAGTGCCCACGCTAGTATCAGAGGAACCTGTGTACGGCTGGCCAAAACCTTAGTCTCTGGCTCTTCGTCAGGCTCGCTACGAACGTGCTCCTCGATAGTCCATACTTCGGGACTACAAAGTCTGTCATGTGTCGAACCGTCCACACATGTGAAGCGTACGACTGGATATTGCGTCTCATCCTTGTCAATGGCATCAGGACCGCAAGGGTGTCCACTGTAACACCAGTCTCCCTGAACCCAAGGCTGCATACTCCTGAAGGAAGCTTTTCCAGTGAATCCAACTATTTTACCCAATGTTCCATTCACGAGTGTTGTGCTAAGATTCTTGGTCAACATGACCTGAGCCCCTTTCTTCAACCTCAGTGATTTAGGTGTAACGCAGCCAGAAAGAAGCTGGTCCCGAGTCTTTTGATCTGCAAGCCCCCAATCCTTACTTTCGAATGTGCGAATATCGCCAGGGAGTCTGTCCAGCTTCGCATTATTTTCTCTGTCCACTTCGCTTCTCAAAGGGAACAATTTGCTTGGCTCGAGCCCGCCATTGAGATTCAATGGTCTGTCCAAACTTCTGAATCGCTGAATTGAGTCAAAGGAAAGGCACGCCTCTCTCAGCTCATTCAGCATCCCCGTAAAGATGGGGTCCTTTTGCCTGAAGACGTGAGTTAGGCAAATCGTGTAGTCGATGGTCGACCTCCAGGATTCAGACTCGAAGGCAAACGTTGAGCTGAGAGTCTTCGATACGGGAGGCAACTGGTAGAAATCGCCGGTTACCACAAGTTGGACCCCTCCAAAAGGCAATCGGTTTCCTCGTACTCCACGTGCGATTTGATCTAGCTTGTCGAAGAACTCTCCATCGATCATGGATATCTCATCGATAATGAGAACCTTGACTGTCTTCCAGAGCTTCCGTTTTTTCTTGTCCTTCACGATCTTTGTGAGAAGCTCCTCCGCTGTTCCTGTGCCGAGGCCAACGCCAGCGAAGCTATGCAATGTCTGTCCTCCTATATTGGTAGCAGCAATCCCCGTTGAGGCTGTTACAGTGACTTTTTCAGGCTTGGAAATATACTTCACTCTCAACGCAGCGATGATCTTGCGCAGTAGAAAAGATTTTCCGGTACCGGCAGGACCAGTGAAGAAGACGCTCTTGCCTTGATGCAGCACGAAGTCTAGAACAATATTTTGCTCCGTGGTAAGTGACTCGCCTTCCAAGACAGCTTCCTCGGAAGGGGATGGCGTGTTGTTCAATGACTGGTCCTTGGTTGACTTGTGCCTGGTGGACTTGTTTCTTGTTGACTTGTGATTGGATTGCATGTGGCTGGCTGGGGTAGGGTCGACTACAGAAGAATCGGTTGCGGTGGTATTGGCTGCGGTAGAATTGGCTGCGGTAGAATTGGCTGTGGTGGAATCGGCGGCGGTGGAGTTGGCTGGCATGTGATTGGATGGCGTGTGGTTGAATGGGTGGGATTCATCTGCTTCGTATTTCGTGTGCGGGTTGCTACTGTGGTCTGCTCTCTTTCCGGGTCTGAATCGGAAAGTCCAACTTATCCTCAAAGTCTTCATTATCCACCCGAACCAAATCCCTCTCTGCTGAGTCATTCCACCGCCGCGTAGACCAGTCCGTAGTGAGAAGGCAGTTTGTGCGCTGATGACATTGCGTGTAATGGTCCTCCCTGCCCTCCATACTGGACGCGCTGGATTTGAAGTCTTGATAGACAATCCCCTACCGCATTGTTGTTGTAAAGGCCCAATATAGAGCATTTGGCGTTGCAAAGTATTGGCGAAGTGACTCGTGGGACCAAGTTTGGCCAGGCCAGCACGCTTGGACACACCAGCCACCCCACCATGAACACCGTTTGAGAACATCGTCCGTCTGTCCTCGAGACAACCGTGGGAGAATACTGTTATCGTAGCGAAGGCTTTGCGAAAGTGGTCGCAAGAAAACAAATTTGCCAATATACTGGGTTGGAAGACAAATTTGCAGTGGAAGCGAGTGGTTTGAAAGGGATGGTGTTGAAGGACACGGCGGGCGAAAGGGTTTAGAAGCCCATGTAGCTAAGAGTCTGGCGTGCTCAGTCAAACGGGGTGGCGTCCTATGCAGCGTTGCGTCTGCAAGCTGCTTGTTAGCAAACGGCAAAGTCAGAGTGCAAACAGGGTTTACGCACTCAACGACAACTACGCCCTCATGTGCGGCTTAGCGGAGCAGCCGATTAGAATGAGAAGCAAAAGTTTAGTTCTTGTGAGGAGGTTGAACTAAGAAAATTCATCGTTTGTGAAACAAAAAGAAGGACGTACAAGAACGGTGAGTGATACAGCTGGGAAACAAAAGGCGTGAAACTCCACGCGACTCTCTTCCCTACACGTGATAAGTGCTCACTCCTTGCCAACGCTTTGCGGTTGTATTCTCATATGAGCCAATCAGAGCCCCTGAGAATGACAGGGTTTGCAACGCTCAAGGTTTAAATCTTTCCAACAGAGTCCATCTGTGACCAGAAGTATGCGGTAAAGGCGCCAGAGTTGAGGCAATGATTTCCCATGGAAAGGAAGCCCCATGCATTGGTGCTGTCACACAATACAAAATTCATAACAATCCAATGGGATTGGAAGCCGCCTTATCAACGTCGAATATGCGGAACGTCACACAGCGCTTATGAGGCGCGAAGCTGCATCTATGGAATTGATTTGACATGACACATCGCAGATTGACCCCCGATGGAAAGTTTCAGCGCATTGCTACTGAAGCGTGAGTTTTCTGTAAGATTGTGTCGGACTTTAGACAAGAGAGAGCTTGCACCCAAGCCGGCATGTCCACAAATGGAGGAACTACATTTCCATTCATTTGTTAGCTATTTTTGACCAGTGTATGGTTGACCCAGCAAGTTTGTTTCCCGCCGGACGTTCTGCTGTGCAACCATGAAGGCAGGGATTCCCAAACCTTGACATTTCTATGGAGATCAACTAAGACTGGTATTTCCTGCCATAGTGCCTCCTTCAAGATAACGTAACTAAATTCTTTGAGCTCAAGAAGGCAATCAAGCATTGAGCCTGGATATTTAGTACAAAGCCACTGGGACTGTGGAAAATCGGAATTGGGGCTGCTCGGGGGATAGCAATGCGAGTTACAAGCACCTGCATTAGTGTCGTTTCAAACATGCGATCAATCCTGTATTTTAACGTTTTAGTACACTTTGCCATTTAGATGGATCTCAGCAGCGATATACGTTATTTCGTGCAAGAATTGTCCTGTCATTGTCAGAGCACTTCAATTTGTTTTATGCTGGTGCTTACTTATCGTCGTGATGAGTTCCCTGAACGTGGTACGCATTTTCGCACAATGCATAAGGGATATATTCATTCCAGCTTGTCTACACGGCCTCAAAAAGGGATCATAAGCGTTACGAAAGTCATGTGCTATTCACCTCTGGATATACTTGGTGTGTATCGATGAAGATGTCCTATCGCTACGAATCACTCAAGTAAGACGACTGTGCGACTTCAACCAGAGCAGCAAACCAAGAAGGACTCCATATTTCAATGCGTACATTCAACGCATCGGCATGCCGAAAAATCAAATTTGTATTTCCTGCTTAAAAGTTGCAAGATTCCTACAGTGCGTAAGACACGCTACCCAAGCCTCGCTTCTTTCTTCAGAGCAACATTTCATCAGAACACGTAATTCTCATGTAACAAAAGCCGAAATTTCATTCAATATAAGAGCAGCCACGGCCGCTATTATTTATCCACTCACTCTCACGGCCTCTTGCCCTCAACGACCTCCTTCACAGTCTGGTCCAAATCGACCTTGGGCAGCCCCAGCACATCGTTCCAATACTCAGGGAACTGGCCGAGCTGCTTCTCCTTCCCGAAAGTCGCCGCGAGGATCAGGTCCGTGGCGGTGCTGAAGTCGCCCTTGGCCAGCTTCTCATTCGTCGCCTTGACGCGCTCCGCAACAGAGATGTCACCCGCGATGTCCCACTTGGCGCCGGTCGCCTTCTCCAAGCTGGCCAGGACCTCCTTCTGCGAGACGACGTGGCCAGCAACGTAAACGTACTTGTTCTTGCTCTTCTCGAACGCCTTGGCGTCGCTCAGCAGCGCGACGAGGCCCTTGCCGATGAAATCGAGGTTCGACACGGCGAAGCGCGCCTCGCCGCCGTCCCACAGCGTCGCCTTCTTGCCGGCCAAATCAAAGCCGAGGAAGCCGACCTTGAGGCCCCAGTCGAAGAAAGGCCCCGTGATGAAGCCAGACCATTCGATGCCGCTTTCCTTGCTCTGCAGGTACTCGACGACCTTGCGCTTGCCGCCGAGGAAGGGGACGAGGGAAACGACTTCGGCGGAGCTGGTGTCGGAGCCGAACTCGGACGGGATGAAGCGCTTGACGCCCGCGGCGATGGCGGCGTCGATGATGGTCTGCTGCGCGCCAAAGGCCGGCGTGCCGACGAGCGAGACGACGGCGTCTTGGTTGGTGAAGGCGGATTTCAGGGAGTCCGGGGTGTAGTCGGACTTGACGACTTTGACGCCGGCACTGGTGTGGTGTGTTAGTCTTGAGATGTCTTTGGGGGAAGGGAGGATACGTGGGATGTTGCTGTGTGGTGACTTACGGGAACGTGGACTTCGACTCCGGACGGCTGAGGATGGTGACGTTAAGAGAGGAGGCAAGGAACTGCTTCAGGACCGAGGGGCCCAGGTTGCCTCCGGCCTGATAGAAAAACGTTGTCAGTCTGGTTTACAACTGTAGCTGTGGTGGAATACGTACTCCAATGAGGACAACGTTCTTAATCGGCGAGGCCATCTTTTAGATATGTATTGTAGATGTAATGAACTTTTTGAGAGACAAACAAGGCTTCGAAGGTTGCTTGCAGAAGATAGACTGTTGAGGACTGTGATGCAGAACAAAAAAAAAGCCATCCATCAACCTTCTCCTCAGCTCCCTATATACCCCATCACGCACTCCCCGGCTTCGAAACCATGCCCCTCTTGGCACAGCACAGCAACTAGTCAGTGGCATCATCATTGTGTGCTCTGTGTTGCCCCGCGTCCTCATCCAGCCCGCAGAATCGCGTCACCCTCCCATCGGGGACACGCAATCCGCACCGTTCCGCACCGTCTTACGATATCGAGGCTGCCCCACGACTCAGCGGCGAAGGCAACCTTAACTGGTCGGATCAGGCTGTCTGCCGAGTGCCGAGCACGGCACTTTGTTGCACAGAACAGAACGACTGATGCTTGGCGCGAGGTTTGGAGGTTTGCTAAGCAGCGGAATGGAGCGCGGAAAGCCAGCTCTCGCTTATGTGTCCTTGTTGGTCAGGCTCGGCCAGGCTCGGCGACAAACCTTGACTGAATCTCGCAATACAGCTAAACCATAATGCGAGCGCGGCATTATCTTTGTCATGGTGCGGAAAATGTGCGAAGCGGGGTGGTGAACGCAATAGAGTAATCACGACGGCAGTCATGCCGCGTTGCGCCATAGCTACCGTCCCCTGCATAAGCACCCGATGGCATGCGAGCCCCGTCCCCCCGGCAGTTGGCCCGCCGGAGCGAATCAACGAATCAACAGCTAAATCATCCGGCAAGTGCAGGTTGTCGACGGTACTCAATCAGGAAAAAAGTAGCTCATTAAGCGCTCGTTACATATGGTCCCATGGAATACATAAACCCCTAAAATCCCAGAATTGCTTCAATTCAACCCAATTTTCGTCCCAACTCCCCGAAATTACAGCTTCGAAGCAGGCGTCGCCGAGCCAGCCGACGTGATCTCGTTATACAACAAGCTGGTCAGGAACTCTGCGTAGTCCTCGCCCGTCACCTGCGTGGCGAAGTACTTGGCAGCGAGCTGGTACTTGTTGCCCTTGGGCGCCTTGCTCTCCAGCTCCTTGGCCTGTTCTTGCAGCAGGCGTAGCGAGTAGTCCTTGTCGAGCTTCTTGCCCTCCTTGGTCGACACGCCATGGCGCACCCACTGCCACAGCTGCGAGCGTGACACCTCGGCCGTCGCCGCGTCCTCCATCAGGTAGTTGATGGGCACGCAGCCGACACCGCGCAGCCAGCCCTCCATGTAGCCGAGGCCAATGTTGAGGTTCTTGCGGATGCCCTCCTCGGTGATGGAGCCGGGCACGTTCATGTTCAGCAGGTCGTTGCGACCGATGCTGACGTCCTCGCGCCGGATGTGCATCTGGTTGGGCGTCGGCATGTGCTCGTTGAAGATCTCCGACGCAATCGAGGCGAGGGCAGGGTGCGCCACCCAGGTGCCGTCGTGGCCGGCCCGCACCTCGCGGAGCTTGTCGGCGCGGACGGATGCCATGGCAACCTCGTTGGCCTTGGGGTCGTTCTTGATGGGGATCTGTGCAGCCATGCCACCCTACGTCTTGTTAGCGAGGAGCTGCGGTGTGGAAACGATGGTACTCACCATGGCGTGGACGCCTCTCCTGTGGCAGGTCTTGATGAGCAGCTTGACGTATGCGTCCATGAAGGGCGACGTCATTGTCACGGCGGACCGGTCGGGCAGCACGAAGTTGGAGTTCTGGCGGAAGCGCTTGATGACGCTGAAGATGTAATCCCAACGGCCGCAGTTAAGGCCGGAGCTGTGGTCGCGGAGCTCGTAGATGATCTGCCATGCTGCGTCAGTATACTGCCAGTCCACTTTCACATGTCAGAACTAACCTCGTCCATCTCAAAGGCGGCCATGATGGTCTCAATCAGGACGGTGCCTCTGATGGTCCCCCGCGGCATGCCAATGTAGTCCTGAGCGAGGTTGAAGACGTCGTTCCAGAGACGGGCCTCGAGGTGGCTCTCCATCTTGGGCAGGTAGAAGTAAGGGCCGGCGCCGCGCTTGACGAGCTCCCAGGCATTGTTGAAGAAGTACAGACCGAAGTCGAACAGACCGCCGGAGATGGGCTCGCCATCGACGGTGAAGTGCTTCTCCTCCAAGTGCCAGCCACGAGCGCGGGCAATCAGTGTGGGTAGTGCCCGGTCGGTGCGCAGCTTGTATTCCTTCTCGCCCTGCTTGAAGTCGACCTGGCGGCGGATGGCGTCGTACAGGTTCAACTGGCCGTTGACCATGTTGTCCCAGGTAGGGGCGCTCGAGTCTATTTGCGACAAACTATCAGCTCTCATCCTACATCACCCGCGAGCTCGGGTAGACTTACCCTCGAAGTCGGCCATGTACGTCCACACGTCCGAGTTCAGGGCGTTCACGACCATCTTGCGGTCGGTCGGGCCAGTGATCTCGACGCGCCTGTCGACCAGGCCCGGGGCCGGGGGAGCGCCCTTCCATGCGTCATTCTCACGGATGTGCCTGGTCTCGGGCAGGAAGTCGGGCAGGTTGCCCTTGTCAAGCTCGGCCTGGCGGATCTGGCGGCGCTCGAGCAGCTGCTTGCGGCGGGCATTGAAGGCGCGGTGCAGGACGGCGAGGAAGACAATGGCATCCTTGTTCAGGATCTTACGGGTCTGGTCGTTGAGCGGGCCCAGGATGTTGACGTCCTTGAGGACGGCGGCCGGGTTGGGCGCCGGGTTCGTCTTGGCCTGGGTGCCGAATTGGACCTGAGCAGCCATGATGTATGGTGTGTCTGACTTCCGGAGAGCTCTCTGAGTGGTGGACAAAGAGGGGCTGAGGCCTAGGGAAGGGTGACGGGAAAAGTCGCGATGCAAGCTCTGGGGGAGCGAGGAGTAATAAAGCTGGTTCGGCGGCGGCGCGACGTCACAGTTGACCTCGGGTGAGGAGAGGACGCCATGACTGGTCTCGGCCGCTCCCCGCGATGATGTGGTGGTTGGCCGGGGCGGGCAAGCTTCCCTCGGGCGGAGGGGTCGAGGGCGCGCGATCGGCTTGTGATTGCGCTGCACTGATTGTGGGGAAGCCCTAACTGCTGACTCATCGCCCCGGCCCCCAGACTATCTCCCCAGGCCCGGCCACCGAATGCTGCGCCCGCCCGGCACACTGCAGAAAGTCGTGGCTGCTGCAGCTCGCTCTCCACCCGCAAAATACCTGCTCCCACACCTGCTGCCACCTCGGACACGCAGCCGTCATTGCCCTCGGCCGCGCAGCCGTTAACTCGGATAGGCAGCCGTTGTTGCAGCGACAGGGAGCCGGTACGCGCCGAGCTGATTGCCTCGGACGGCCAAGTCCGACAATACCCGGTGCCCCTCGGCCGCCCTTCCGTCCAAGCGATAAGTCCAACCCTCTGGACCGATACGTCACTGGATTATCACCCCGAATGCAGTATCGTAGTCCAAACGGTACTAGATGCCCTTTTGAGCTCCATTTTCCCACTACGACTCCACCGCGCACAAACTTTATAACCCTCTCGCCGCCCCAGCTCACTGTCGCCGAAGGCTTGTTACTCGATGCGAAATCGTTAGGTCACCTAGCACTAGTCGTGTATCGTTGTCCAACACCAATTTTTACTCGATGCTATCGAGTCACCCAAGAAATTTCTTCCCGCCAAGCGTCATCCCCGCCAGTATCCTTCGAGAATTCGCACCTATCTGTGAACGGCGCCGCCGCCGTACGGTTCGGTGCGGCCCTGACCGGCCCGTGGAAATCCTTTCCACTCGGTTTTCACAATGCCGTGACAGATGGAATCATGATAGTGGTGGTGGAGCTCCACATTCCCAACATCTCGTTTAAGCTCAACCGTTGTGTTTGAGCAATTCGCGGCAGTCCGGTATCGGTCTCGATTGTGTGATTTTCCCCTCCGATCTCGTCGTACCGCCGTGTTCGCAGTGTTTTTGGCGAGAATTACTGCCGGGTTGAAAAAGTAGCTGCCGCACTTCTAAAGCCGCCTATATCCGGGCAAGCTACTATGATGTCTCTATAACGACAGCCACAACGCCGAAATTGGCAACTCATGTCCTCATCACCGCAGATCTCTCACTCCACATTTTAGTGTTTGCTAGCCGAGTGCCGGTCTACCTTCCGTCCGAGCCGCATGCTCCGCAATCCCTGCGGCAAACGTCACCATGAAGACGACAGCGGCGAAACAGATCCGGGCGTGGCAGTCGGCCATGATGTCTTTAATGGCATGGGCATTATCGTGTTTCGAGGCCTGCTGAAGTAGCCGTCGCTAATCCCTACGGCAAGTGTATCTGAAACCAATGGATTGGCCATCTAAAAGGCATGCGACTGGCAGAGACTATGTATACTCAGAGGTGTGACTAAGCCCAAAACAGGCCTTCCATCCCGGGTAAATCTATGTACGGCTCTTCGTACTTTAACAGTATCTTCTGGATGTCTGATTTCCTCCGGTTATACACTGGAAATTTCAGCACTCATTACTCGATGGGCAAGACCTGCCAAATATTGAAACAATAACAGTTCCAACGAAGACATTGTGCGGCTTCGGAAAGACCACCTACAAGCACCAAAACTTGATATTTCGAACGGAAAGCCGGAGACATGCTTATATCAATCCCGGTTTCGCCTCTCAGGCAGAACAACAGCAAACACTTGAAAAACTCCCACGTGTAGTCAGACAACCCCATTTATGGCCACATGGAGGAGATGACCCCTGATGGTGGTGGTTCGAAGAAGAACTGCGTTATCAGTTTCTTCTAGACTGTCGCCATTACCCGAAAAACAGTGGAGCACATCCGTTCCCGTAGCCAAACTTGGTTGGTTCCAACGGCAGGCGAGAAGGGACGGCCCTCTTCCCGGTCACACGGCAGCCGGAGGGGCCGGAAGGCCTCCGATTCGGTGTATATTGATCAAGACGTCGATCGCCCGCTTCTCTGCGTTTCTTCATCTCGGCGTCGGCGCTGGTCATTTTGGTGTCAATAACGCGCTAATGATTGGTCTATATTCAGATGTGAGTGCGCGTGTAAGCGCGACGGCAGTCAACGGCTTCATTCCGGCGCTGGGTGTTGCGGAGGTTGAAACATTGGTGACGTCTTGAAACCGTATGGATTTTCCATCATATTAATCCGGCGGTGCTATAGTGTCGAGTCCGCCGTTGGTCATCGAGACGAGGCAGGGAAGTAGTGAAGAGATCAGCGATTGGTTGAGGAGGTATGTGACGAACGCCTAAATATATGCAGAACGATCAAAGAGGGCAACACGCTTATTGCATCTCACCTAAACACAGACTATAGAGCTTATCCAAAGAGCTCTTCTGAAAAGCCGAAGTGGCTTCGAAACAATTTTGTGGCGGAGCGTCGCGGGCAGGCACCTACATATCCGACTTCCAGGATTCAGTGGCTGCAAGTGCGTGACGCATGCTGCACACGCGGCTAAATCCGTGTCGCCTATTCATAGCGAGGCTCCAATCAGTTTTTGTGGGTGTTAACGAAAGAGCAGCTTATCAGCATGAAGCCCCAGGCCCCCACCGCAGCCCCGGCCGTCTCCCCGCTTATTGGAGGCCCTACCTGGCCACGATGGGCTGTGCCACGCAGCGCAGCTGCCTTCTTTGCCGTGCTTGCAGCTGATTAACCCACGGTAGTTTCCAACTCCGACTCTTCCTGCAACGTTGTCTTGCTTCCTTGTGTCTGCAATCATAACTAACCAGTACCTTCCGTTTCGACCGGTCGGAAAACAGCCCTGTCCTTGCAACGTTGCGACGAGGACGACTGCGATCCTTCAGCCTCATTTGCTCTGCCCCGCTCCGCAGTCGTTACCGTTTTTCGAAGCTCGAGGAACTGCTGCACGAATCGATTCACGCTTTTTGCGATGTCCATCGCGGAAGAGCAGGCCTCACGCAAGCGAGCCAAACGCAGCATTTTCTTCAAATGTCAGCGCTTGGTCACTCCAACCTCAAACTCGGCAGACGGTTGCTACAGAAACTGGACCCTCGTCGCAAAAGGGAGGACTTCATGAGTCTGTGTCATGAGATCCACAAAGCCCTCCGAGAGTCGATATGCCCTCCCAATGATGATTGTGAGCGGCAATTCATCCCGGAGGAAGCGCTAAAAGAAGTGTGGCTCTCACGCGAGGGAAAAGTCGAGAGTCGACTGGATCTTTTCCACAATCGGCTCACGGCGTTAGAGCGGGACCCAGGAATTAATGAGAACTACCTAAAACTGCTCTCCACTCTTCTCTGGATTTCGTTTCCTTACGAGGGATGGCGGGATTTCGCAAGGGCATTCCAGGAATTCAGTATCAGTGATCGGCAAGGCTGGCAGGACGACAGGTTCCCTTTACTGGATGCGAAGCCGTTGCATTCGCTCCTTGAGAGCCAAATTGATTTCGATAACCATGCGCAAAGCTTCTTGAGAGACCAATACCTGTTCTCGCCAGCAAAGATCCATGAAATGAGGGTAGCCGACTGCGACGATGAGATAAAGCCCCTTCCCGATGCGATGCGCCTGCCCTTTCCGGACGTGGAAAGGATTCTACATCATGGAACCCACAGGGTCACGAGGCGCAAAGTGGCCAGAGGAGGAATTGAAACGTTGAGCGGGGATGCCATGGACGTGGTCGTGGTGAAGACGTTCTCCCCGGACCAGAGGCTGCAATTCGTCACCGAATTGAGGAACCTGAAACAACTGAAGAAAGCATTCTTAATTCATCCGAACATCCAGTCCTGCTTTTCGGCCATCCAGATCGGCCTCACAGGCCACCTCATCTTCGAAGCGGCAGAGTGTAACCTTTCCCAAATCCTCCACTGGCAAGAGCAGACGTTTTCTACAGACTTCTGTGCCAACATCCAACGAGATTTGCGGCCGAGCTTCCTGCTATGGGAGGCCAAAGACCTCAGTTATGCTCTCCACTGGCTGCACAGCGGCTTTAGTCCCAAAAACTCCCCCGACAGGTTCAAGTGCTACCACCTCGATCTGAAACCAGACAACATCCTCGTCTTTCCATCGACCAGTTCAGAACTGCCGGGCGACATATGGATGTGGAAGATTGCTGATTTCGGCGGGTCCGTAATTGAACACATGGGCGACATCTCGAGTAGTGGCTCTGGAATGATCCTCAACGGACGCCGTCTCCGGACCGGCGGCTATCAAGCACCGGAAATTGAATCCAACAAGTATGAGCTCGGGACCGCTGCCGATATGTGGTCATTTGGCTGTATCTTGCTGGAAATCCTGGCTTTCGCGCAGGGGGGGCCGAGCAGCGTCAAGGCCCTTGAAAGAGTTCGTAACAGCAACGTTAAGCCTCACTTTTACGATTCAACATTCGACCTGAGGGAGGATATTCGTGACTGGATCAACAGACTGGACATCTTGGAAGAGGGATTGCGGGAATTTCGGGATCAGATCTATCTACTTCTCCAAAGAAATCCCGGAGACCGCCCAAAGGCTCAAGATCTCATACAGCCGCTTGACCTTGCCTGGGATCGGGTCAGGAAATTGGGGTCCAATGATGTCATTTTTCCCACCCCATCCGAAGCCCCGACCTCTGAACAGGCTACTGACATTGAGATTCCAACCAATGATCCGCCCCTGATTCGCATCAGGAATAGTCCGCAGGACATTTGCCGACCACTTACCAAGCTGCTTCAAAATCCGCCCTTGAAATGCCGAGTATCCTCCAACGGCAACTGTGCTATTGTGCAAACGAAACCGGGGCGTAATTATTCTCCTGTTTGCATATACCCCGGGTGGCATGAATCCCCTACGACAGAGCCACGTAGTCTATTATCGGAAGAAGAGTCGCAAAAATACAGCGCCGAAAAGATTGCTGCTGAAGGCACATTCTGTGGAGCATTACTTCGCACTGCGGGAAATGAGAATGTCCAGGTCTGTAACCCAAACCAGTCTCCCACTCCAAGCTGACGAGATAACCCAGCTACTACTCCATGGTCAGGATAAGCGGACATTGCGCAGGTCAAGTTCAGGCATCGATCTGTCAATATCCGCAGATGGGGATTGCATTGTTCATGGTGAGAGCAGACTGAGAATCTTCTTGAGAAACTCAACTCGCGCCAGAGAATTGTCTCTTCGAGGAGCCCTGAAGAGATCATGCTTTAGTCGCAACGGGAAATGGATCTACGTCTGGTCGCGGACTCATCAAATTGCAATGGACCACTGGCAAGTATTCCAAGTTGCATCTAACGACCAGACGCCTTTCTTACATTCCCATCATTCGTTTGTAAGCTCACTTCCAGGTCAGCATGTGCATAAAGGCTGACACATTCGTTCCAGACCCCATCCCTTGCAGCTCGCTCGAGTCGAGATCTCCTGATTGCATTGAGGGACCCATCAGATGAGAGCAGCATTCGGCCACTATTCCTCACCATTGACAAACATGGCAATGCGAATGTTCTCATCAGTGATGGGCATAATTTTTATGTTCATTCTATTCGAGGCGAGTTCAGTGGCTATGTTGGGGGAGCTGCCACTGAAGACGGACGGTCAATCCTACTAATTCATCAAAGCCAAGCAAACAGAACACTCAATTTACACGTTGTCGACCTCGACCCCGAGAAGCTTCGGACTACCGACCGAAGCCAACAACTGATACTCAATTATGAGGAGCATCAAGCATCATACTTGAAAGATTATGTCATTGATACTGGAGTCTCCATTACTTCAGAAGAATCGGGGGTTTATGCCCATCTTGCTGTCAAAAAGAAGAATGACATAGTTCTAAAAAGAGTCCTTTTAGAAGAAAGCTGAATGAAGGAATCTAATAGTAGCAAGGCCGGTCAAACATCCGGAGTTGGTCTTCTCGATGCCCGTTTCATTCTCTGTTTACGTGCTGCGTGCCACCACGCCAATCCCGTCACAGCCGTCAAAGGGATAGTCACCAGGAGATATATCCACGCGTCTTTTGACATACTCATCCGCTTCGAACGCTCGTCGAAACCAAAGAAGTTCATGCCGAAGAGCGTCTGCAAAGTCCACGATCAGCTTCGGTACACCGACCTCGGTCAAAATTCTCGCACACTTACCGCCACAAAGCTCGCCGGCAAGTAAATCAGCGTCGCCAAGGTCACGATTCTGGCAATCGTGCTATCATCAACACTATCCATTGCGAGGGCATATACGCCTTTGCTGATCTCCGTGTTGACCGCCTGGTTGTCAGCTGCGAACTTCTGAACTTTTGCCGCAGCGTTCTGGTTCTTCACGTTCAAAGCATCCGTCACCTATGCCAACAATCAGCCCACGCTTCGGTCTCTGTTTACCTGAAGTCTCTACTTACAAGTCTCAAAATCCCCTGGACGCGACGTTCAAGGGCTTCTGCAGATGTCTGATACCCTTCCAACCGAACCGTGATGTTCTCGAGGGCATTGCTTATGATCCTGAATTCTGCTTGGCCGTACATATGACTTGGGAGCAAACTCATATTGCCGTTCAAATCTCGCATCGCCTGAACAAGCCTCTCGGTCTGTCTCAGGCTGACTTGAACAGTTTGGACTCTCTCTTCCAGCCCCCGGAGGGACCGCATGGCCTTGAAGCTCAGGGCCTCGGCGAGTTCCACCTCGTACTCGACATCAGCCGTCCACACCGGCTTTTTCTGCATCGAGTCAGCTTTTGCTCGTGATGCAGGCGAAGCTTGCGGCCTACCAGCTCGGAGTACTGCTTGCCGATATCTTCCAGAAAGTCTCTCCAGTTATCGATGTACGTCGACAGAATGGCAATATGCAGCCGCAGCGGGTTGGCCTTCAGTGCAGCCCATTTACCAGGATCTTGCGCCTTATCAGCGAGCCTTTTGCTTAACTCCGAGTCTTCTTTCGGGTTAAATATCAGCCACGTGGACTTGATGGTTTCGCCTGAAGTCTCAATGCGATTGAAAATCTCTGTCCGTCTAATGGACCAGGGAAAGGCGCGGGATCGGTTGTTGGCTTCAGCATATTTGAACTGGTAGGAGAGCTCTGGAAACGGCGTCAAAAAAAAATCGGTTACGGCGCGGAAGTCTCGAGATCCGACGTACCGTAACAAGGCGACGGTTGGGTTGACGTTTGCAAGAAAACATTCCCGTAGCTCTCCTCCGAGATGCATGTTTCAGTATGGACTGCGAACAAGACATCCAGGAAAGCCAGGGGTGTCTTGTTCGAATCCAAAAGCTCCCATAGCAGAGGGGCTGTAATCAAGAACGGCCTCAGTGAATCCTTCTGGATAAACGAACTGTGCTGCATTAGCGCATGTCAAGCAAGAAGGGAAGGCTGCAAACAATATCCTGCAGTCGAATCCTTCAGAGCGGGGCTCAAAGATGGCTTGACGTGCGCTTTGCTGATCCTCGATGGTATGCTGGCTTGGTAACTGGCCGTCCGCTTCCGATTCAAAGAGCTGGAATTTCACAGTTCTCTTCGCAGAAATCGACCGTATGTGCTTGCAGAGCCGCTCTTGGTATCGAACCCGGTCCACGCCCAGCGCAACGTCGTCCGGTAGGTTGAGCGGATAGTCGGTGAAAGGCAGCAATTCGTTTTTCTCCGAAGCATCAGCCATTTGGCTTTCCGATCAAGCTAAACACACACACACACACAGAGGTCCAAACGGAGATTTTGGTTGCTAAAAAGGGATATACGCCAGGGAAAACAGACCAGCTTAATACTGCCCCCACCCGTTCTGCAATGCGCCTCGGGCGGCGCAGCCGCACGCCACGGCTTATCTTGTGCTTCAAAAGAACCCCCCAGTCCGCAAATACGGGCTCCGGCATCCCCGAAAATCGGAGAGTGGCGACCCCGCTTTCTGCCTTGCCGGCGCCTGTGTGCCGCACAGCGCCTCTTCCTTCAGCCTACTACTCGTCCACACCTCTTATGATCCTGCAACTACAGTCAGTTTAAGCCCAGTCCGCTGATACGACCGACACTTGGCTTACTGTATTTCATCCTGGTGAGGGAGCATGGGTAAGCGAGAATAACAGGGGCAGTCCGGAAGTACGGCGGCTCACCTTGTTGAGGGCCCTTGGGGCTGTGTAGGACCAGTATACGTAGTTCGCCTCGTCGTTTTTCTGCCTCAGACCGTCAGCAGATGTAGTCTGAAAGAAATAGGATGGGGATGCAGATTTACAGACCTTAATATCGTAGTTTCTGTTTGCGCCAAACTGCATTTTAAGGAAGTTTTCAAGATCCTTCTCCTCTATGTAGCCGGATTCGTGCTCCTCGATGGTGTAGCGCTGCATAGCTGGTAAGGCTGTCACTCTCGCTCTAGCCTGTAGAAGGTGTTGATGTTGACCAGATCGGGTGCCTTGCTTAAGCGCGGTGTAAGCTAATCTGCTACGGTTAGGTAAGGACCAGTCTTAAATGCTTTGAGGGAGCCTTACGGAAAGGAGCACTGAGTAGGCTGAAGCGGTTTGGGGGAGGCGAAATGTGATGAAAGACGCGCCCGGCTTGCGGCGCATGTCTGGTTCCCGCTCGGTTGCCTTGCAGCGTGCAGTGCATTTGCCTGCTCGGCTAAGCAAAACCTGGCCCCCACACAATACCAGGGTATAAGCAAGAGTGGTGGAACACAGCTGCGAACGCCTCGTAGCATAGCCCCGGCTCATGCAAAAACCGTACATTATGAGCCCCGCAGGCTGGAAATCTCTTCCCACTGGTCAGCCCCGACAGGCAGACACGACATTATGCCTACCAACCTCGAAGGCGGCCTACGTAGATCTCCACATGCCACGCCTCTGAAGTAGGTACCATCACAAGATCATCAGATTCGCGCTAATCAATTTCGATGTCAGGCGTGAGCTGGGACGATGGCAGATCTTTGTGAGTCAATCGACTCGAGGCCTCTCTGGCTCTTTCTGATGCTCTACAGATGATAACGATTAGCACCATTATCGGCATTGGCTTCATCACGAGAGGCGGCGAGATTCTGGCATTCGGCGGGCCCGCAACGGTGCTGCTGTCCTTCGCATTCGTCGGTCTCGTGGCCGTGGCCGTCATGGAGGGCATTAGCGAAATGGTCGTGACCTGGCCCATCTCGAACCCCATGGTCGAATTCGTCCGCCGCTTCGTAGACCGTGACTTTGCTGTGGTGGTGTGCGTGGCGTACTGGTACACGTGGGCGATTACCTTTGCTGCTCTCATCTCCACGGCCGGCGGAATCGTAAAGTACTGGAATGACAGCAGGGTTGCAGAAACGCTTGTTTACGTTCTGTGTCCGCTTTTGGTCTTCTTCATCAACTTCAACACCGTCAGGGCAAGTGGCCTCCAACCCTCCAACCATAGGTCCATATGCTAATTTCTTTCCAGCTTTTTGGGTACATAGAGCTTTTCGGCGGAGTGTTGAAGCTTCTCATATTGTTCATGATATTCGTTATCATGCTATGTTTAAAGAGTGGCGTCAGTTGGGCTGATCCGCCATGCCACAACTGTGAGAGATTTCTCCAACAGGAAAAAGAAAACAAAAGACTAACCCAATCTTGTATCTCCAGACATCACCGATGGCTTCAAAGACACCCCTGAAGTCGGGAGCAGCAGAGGGATACTCGTCTTGTACGTCATTTCCCCGTTTTATCTGGACCGACGTTGACCACCTACAGAATCGGCATCAATTTGGCCGTATATCCGTTCCTCGGCGTAGAATCCGTAACAATGACCGCCTTCGAAGCCAAAGACACGCGCGAACTCAAACCCCCAGCCAAAAACATCAGCTTCATCGTCCTATTCGTCTACATCGTCAGCATCATCAGCATGCTCCTGAACGTCCAATCCGACGACCGCTACCTCATGGTCTACTACAAGCAATGGAACCAAACCGGCGACAACACATTTTGCAGTTCAACAACCTCCGCCTCCCCGAGCCCGACCCTCAACTTCCTCCTCCGCCCCCGCGCCGAAAACGCCGTCAACAACGCCACCCGCCTCATGCCCGTCATCGCAACCGACAACTTCCACGTCCCGCACCTCGGCGGCGCGGTGAACGCATGCCTGCTCTACTCCGCCTTCAGCGCCGCCAACTCGGCGCTCTTCGTCGCCTCCCGCACGCTCTACGGCCTGGGGTCCAGCATCCAGCGGGACGAGCCGTCGCGCGTGCTGCGGTTCCTGGCGACGTTCGGGCGGGTCGACGGGAACGGCGTCCCCGCGCGCGCCATCATCGGGTCCATGTTCTTCGCGTGGGTGCCGTTCGTGTCGCTGGGCGACGCGGATACCAGCACGGGGACGGATAATATGCAGGATATATTGCAGAGTGTGGGGACGACGAGTTGTATACTCGTGTGGGCGTCGCAGGCGTTGGCGTTTTTGCGGTATCATTGGTGGTTGAGGCGGCATCATACGGAGCTGAAGGGGCAGTATCGGAAGTTTGATCGGTGGGTGGCGGAGGGAGGGGGTGGGGGGAGGGGGTTGAGTTGGTTGGAGTTTGCGCAGCCGTGGTTGGCGTGGTTCGCGCTGGTGGCGAGCTTGGTGATTTTGTTCGTGTTTGCGAGCGCTGGGTTGTGGTCCGAGAACGAGAGGGCGAGGGAGGAGTTGGTGGTTAAGACGTTGGATCAGTACCTCGGGCCGGGGTTGTTGTTGGTGATGTTTGTGGGGTTGAAGGTTGTGAAGAGGAGGTGGTGGGTGAGGTTGGGGGATTGGGATGAGTTGAGGGAGACGCTGAATGATCTGAATGAGCTGGTCATGCCGAGCAGTGCGCCTACAGAGGAGGTAAGGCACAATGGTTCGCTTGGACAACATAGCGGCTCAGATGGTGGGGAGATGTTCGAAAGGGCGAATGGTGAGGCAACAAGAACGTGAGAAACACTCAGTTGCTTCAATGGCTCAAAATCTTGACACTCCATCTACAACGTCTGGCATTTTCGTCCTGGGAAGAAATTAGTGGCATCATCAAAGAGTATCCATACCCTGAACTTCAGTTCTTACCGGCCAACGTCCAGCGCTCCTCCCACCCAATACAAACTTGGCCTCTTTGCAGAAAACGTCCTCCAGAGAATCAGGGATCAACTCAATTCAGCAGAAGACCTTGTGCCAGAACTGAGAACACCATGTAAAAGGTATTATCATGGATTAATATTGCCACTCCCGCCTCAAAGGGTATATACAAACATGAACAATAGTTTTGTCGACCATATATCAACCGGGACCACATGGAGCCCATTATTCTGTCTCTCAGTCTCTTTTACCATCTCTTTATGTTCTCATCACACGTAAACAGAAGAAGAAGAAAACAAGTTACCCCCATCAATTCTGCCACGAAAACCGCTGATCTTTCGGATCGTTCGCAGCACGGCGGTTGTTGTTGGGGCTACTGGCAGCCATCTCGTACACGACGGGCGGGCTAGGCAACTCGTGGGCGCTGTTCTGGCCCGAGTCCAGCTCCTGCATGCGGCGCTGCTTGTGCGGGTCGTCGATCTTGGTGCCCTGCATCTCCCAGATCTCCCTGTTGTCGCTCTCGACGGGCGTGCCGTGCCACGCATCGTACGGCTTGCCTTCTTGGCCTTGCAGCTCGAAGTGTTGGCCGTACTGCTGTTGGTGCAGCTGCTGTTGCTGCTGTTGCCACGCGGCGGCGGCCTGGGCGTCCTTCCGCCGCTTGCTCCGGCGGCGCCAGCAGAAGATGATGGCGACGATCAGGAAGACGCCGACGACGGACGCGGCGACGGCGATGCCGGCCGTGGCGCCGGTGCTGAGCCCGGTCGCCTCGCCGAACGTGTCGTCGCCGTCGTCGCCGGGTGAGTGGATCGTCACGATGTCGGGATCCGGGGACGTCTCGGGGAAGTTTACCTGGGTTACGGTGAAGTTTCGCCGCTCGTGGTCGACGATCAGGTAGGCTTCCTGGAGGAGGGTCCGGCCGAGGCGGTACTGCGAGTCGTTTGCGGCGCGGCGGATGGGGAAGTATCTGGTGTTGTTCGGATAGATGGGATATCCGATTTCGAGGTCGAAGGCGGCGTAGGGGAGCACGATGTTTGTGCTGTTGGTGTCGCTGGTGTAGATTTGGTTGCCGAGCTTGATGGTGAATTCGGGGTTGAGGTCGGTTAGCTTTTGATGGATGGTGTCGTTCACGAGATAGCGCTCGGTGACGTTGTCGAAGGTCAGGCCGAAGTTTTGGGCAAAGGTTTCACACACGTCCTCAGGCAGCCAGAGCTCAGAAACTGTTGAGTCGATGAGGGACAAATGGCCAGCATGGGTCATGGCAGCAACGCCGATGAGACTGTTAGATGCGGTGATGGACTGGACGCCAACCATCAGGTTGCTGGTGTCGCCATCGGCAAAAGTGAAATTGAACTGTGGGGGCGATTTGAAGCGAGCTTGGTCGTAGCCGCCCAGTATTAGGCTTCCAGGGACCTTCTTATTTCCTGTATTCAGGTGTCAGTGCATGTCAGTACTCCGTAGAGGGCGGGAGACGGACGGTAGCGAGCTCCGGCCGTGTAAGCATATGACCGGCTCGGGATGGAATTATTTGTCTTCAGGTTGTTGAAAAAGCTGGTGACAGAAGAGCTTGTGGTATCAAAAGTGGACGAGATGGGGCTTAAGCCGATGAGCCCCATGTAAAAGTTTTTGTTGGCTACTCCGGCAAGTATTTGATGGCTTAATTGCAAGGCGCTGTTGTCTGAGCTGCCGCCAAGACGCAGCGTGTCGTAGCCATACAGGCCATTGGCACTCACGCCGAGGTCGTCTTCGAGGCCCAGGTTGTAAATGGCCATCTCCTCCCATGTTGACGACTTATTCGTCTGGAAGCCCGTATTCTGGGAGCTGCCAAAAATCTCGGCGCCGCGCGAAGAGGCACAGTTGGAGGGATCGTCTGCAGTGCAGCCCTCAGGCAAGGGCACAAACGTCTCGTGACCGCGCGTCGATACGAGGACCCGGAATTCCTGCGGCGGCGTACCAACGCTCAGGCGAAAAGTGGACCAGGAGCCGTCGTTGCCATCCCATTTGCCCGTGTTTGGCACGGTATATGCAGTGGGCGCTGAGTCCTCGCGGCGGCGGAGAGGCATTGCAAGCACGTCGGAAACGCGCGCCGGGGTGTGGGCGGAGCGCGAGTCAGCGGAAATCAGGCCTGCCAGGCACGCGCATGTCGTTGCCTGAGGAAGACCTGTGGAGACTGTACACGGTGTGGCCGGTGGAGCAGACAGGAGACGGTCGAGGGAAGCGACAGAAAGGAAGGTGTTTAAGGCAGCTGCGAGGAGAGGGTCGGCGGCTAAAGAGGCTACTGCGTGGGGGCCAGCCGAGAAACGTACTTATTCTCAAGCGCTTGGCCTTTCTCCTCCATCCTCTTGTTCCAGAGCCACGCGCACCTCGCTGGCCTGATTCCGCCCGCCTTTGATTGGCACTCGAGCTGCCCAGACTTGCGCTGGTGCGACTTACTGCTCCACCCCCTTCCTTTGCGCCCGGGCTGACTGCCGCTCAGCCTCGTCCTACTACTCATTGGCCAATTGCGGCTCAGCAAAGGCTTGGCCCCCATCAGCCAACACACCGGGAAACCCCTCTGTCGCGGCGCCCAGCAGTATAAAGTTCGCACGCGGGCCAAGGCCTATACCGTTATTAATTCACGTGCTGAGAATGCCTTATCGCAACAAGGCCCCAGCTTTTTAGAATTCCTCCACCGTCTCCTATGTGAGCACTACATATATTTTGCAGTCACAGCTTGCAGCAACCTTCCTCTTCCCCGCGCAAAGTGCGTTTGTACTTGCAGTGGTGAAAGCCTGTTTATGTTGCCCGTGCGACGTGCATCTGCAGTACGCGCTGAAAGCAGACCTTGCTACTCCTCAAGTTCCAAGCCTCACTTGCATACTCGTCTTCTTGTCGCCATCTCTGGAGCTCTCCATCCATTTCTGGAGACTAGCAGTCAATCTATCATCCACAGCATTCCGATTCAGGATAATGAGGCCCTCCAGATCCATCTTATCGATGCACCCCTAAAAATAATCAGATGTTCCTTGCTAGTACTACCGACGACGCTTGGACCCCCGCAAACGATCGTTGCCTTTGCTGGTGATTCCCAAGACACAACATTCCACGTGTGACATTCAAAACTTGGAGGCTTCGACGTCTTGGAATCCTCAGTCGGCTCCGGGACTCCCCGCGACCCCAGTTTCTCAGTACCATTGCCGTTCGACAAAACGGTTCTGACCTGTTCAACGCTCGCATGTCAAGAAAACCTTGCATCATAGAGCACATGTTAGCGGCAGCTCAAGATTTTGCCATGTGCAAGGGATCCGCATTTCCACGCCTGCACCCAGCTCCATGCACAATTCCGCCCAAAGGTCGTCTGTCCATCTCATGACCACCAAAGGCGAGGGGCATCGGATTCGGCTTTTTCCAACCGTGAAATCAGGCCTCACATGCTGTGTCGCTTCATCAGCCTCCAGGCAGCATTCACTCAGCCGTGTCGCATCGCCCATGGCAGGCTCCTTGCCTTCTTTTACCCCGCTTCCTATCGCAGTCACACGCATTCCCGTCGTGGGCACACTTTCCGCCACATTACAGCCAGTAAATTTCTCCCGTCAATGGCGCCACTTTGAGTCTTGGCCCAACGAACAACAAAACACATATCGAAATGTTACCCAGGGCAGGATCCACACCGCTGCTATCCACCTGAGCTCTCAAATCCAATGCAACAGCTCTAAAGCTGACCCAACTATCAATTTCTGACTCTGCAACGGCGCTATACTTGAAACTTCTTGTACAATTGAAGCCACTGATACAGTCCTTATTAAAGTCCGGAACGAAGCACGTAGTACTCTTTCTGGATGAGGTAACGTTTTGTCCTCCAGACAACGGGTAGTATCCTCGCATGGGGCTCTGTGCTCGATGCGTTTGCAATCCTGTCAAACCTCGGCTCTCCCGTTTCCGCCGGCTGCCTGCTCATCCATTGGGTAACGTATCACGCTCTAAGGTGCTATCCATTACCCCTGAACCCCGCCAAGGATTCTGCAATTGACTGTAGGCTCAAAAGGTTGCAGAATCAACCGGAAATCAAGGAGCATTGATGCGCAATGCCTTTTCTGATTGCACAGGCCTGGAAAGTCGTGATGCTTGCAAAATTTTGATTGATGAGACCAGTCCAGCTCTACAAGATATTGCGTGTCAATTCCTTATGGTTGAGCCGCCTGGTCTGGTCCTGACACTCCCAGCCTCCAGCCACAATGAAGGTCTTGGAGCGCCACCTCGGTTCTTGCCGCACCTCGTATGCAAAAGGAGCAACTTCGAACCAAGTCCACAGCCAACCGGTTCAATTCACACTCTGGCATAGTCAAAAACGTGCGCGTCACGATCGCAAGGGGTACGGATAGCATCGGTACCTTGCCGTCTGCAAGCCTGAGCTGCGGCTCTTTCAGATTGCTTCCTCAGCGCCTCAGTAGTCATCCAATCATTCGCGAGGTAGCAGACGCGTTCGCATACAGAGCTGTGGCACCTGCAATCTCATGTATGCAAGTTTGATACACTGCGGCTACGCACATTCACAGCTGACTGCCGATCGGCTCACCGGCATCTCAAAGCTCCTGCCTCATCACGCCTCAATGCGATTGACGAAGTCTTCGACACCCTTGCCGAGCATGTATATGAGCCACGTTGAGTACAAGGTTAATGTACATCCTCTAACAGCCAATTCCTTCCCCCTGCAAGAGCTCGACTCTGATCTTTGCTTGGGTATATCCAAATCTTCAGGCACGCTAAAGACGACTCTCCTCACATCACTTTTCAAGTCAGCAGCATGCCGGCTCTCAGGAACATTTTCCCGCTTCTTTGCCTTGTTATACATGGTATTCTTGCGGTTCCGCAGCCACAGCCCGCACTACCGCTGAACACAGTCCCTGACGTCGGGCATCAGCATGCGATACGTGATATCGCAGAGACAACATATTCGCCTTCTTCGACCTGTCCCAGCTACGCCACCATCACGGAGGGACCTGCATGTGCTGGATGCATCCTTGAGGCAATTGAGCCAAAGCAACTCAGCTTCCCGGGCACTGTTATCCACCTTACGCCGACGGTCACTGAGTATGCCATTATCAACCCCGACGGCTGTACGAGTTACTCGACAACAACAAAGACACCCATCTGCACTGAATGCGAAACCATCTTTACGGCAGCGTCTGATATCACCTGGACATGGAAGCAGGCTACCCTGTAAGCTGACACGACTTCGCTGGTATACAAATGCTAACTCGCAACCCCCCGCAGGACATATCCCACAACTTACCTCGGGTACGATTGCTGGCAGCTTGCAACATGGCGCAAAGATTCAGGCTATGACAACGAGTGCACGTTTGATCCTACCACCAGCATGCATCCTTTCGTATACCCGTCGACCGCTATCCCCGAGATGTACATGCCCGCCCCTCCTTCGGTCATCGATTTCCTGAAGCATGATTCAAATCTCAATCTATCTTTCGACATCTCTACCTGCACAGCAAGGAAGCCAAGCGCAGGCAAATGCCAAGGCTACCTCTCAGGCACAAGCCTTGACTTTTCTACAGCCCCTCGACTGGCTGGAACTGTGGCCACGACTTCATCCTCCAGTTTCACGACCGGAGACTCGACACACGTGGAGAAACTGGGACTTCTTGATGGAACGCCGACGACCTTCCGCGCGACAATGACAGGGATGTCTTCAAATTCGGCTTCAAGTACTCTCGAGGATTCAACAACAACACAGATGTCAAGCAGCCGGTCCAGCGGTCAGCCAAAAGTAACGTCTACCGCAACAACCATAATAACTACCAAAATAACTACTTTGACTCGTACTACCGCTGTGCAGTCATCAGTATAAGCCACCCTTGGACCAGGACTGGCTCCGGCAGAGCTCCTGTCGACCGTATTCAACCCACTCGAAGCTTATGCTTGCTTTTCTACTTTTCTCAAAACTCAACCATCCTTCGCCTTCTTCCAAATTCTGGTTTCTGTGCTACGTTTCAGGCAAATCCCCCTTGGATATCTTCGATAGATCAGAGAAATGAAATTCCACAATGATGAAGGAAGATTCGAACCCACTTGAATACAGATTCCTGTTCTGAAATTGACTGCGTGACTGTTGTTCTCTGCTTTTCAATGCTATTTGTCTGATAACACTTTGCTATTTGCCATGGTGGTGAGTTGAGCTTACAAATATGCAGACCAACCACACCCCTATCCGAATACTTATCCAATCAAGCACTCGTAACCAGTACTTTTAGTAATCTCGGAAAAGCAGATATCGATAAAGTATAGACTGGTTCAGACGAACTATAAAACTAGTTCTTGAGAAGTAAAAACGGGGGATTCATCGCCTTTTACCAACTCTCACTACAAAAGGAACGTACACTATTCCTCTATAGATCTCATGGATTTTCACAAGGAGCGTTTTGAAGTCAGAGGGGCCAGGGAAGGAGAAGGAAAGGAGAAGACGTCCCAAGACATGCCATATTGCTCTGAATTGCCGGAGAGAGCTGAACAAATGCAACGCAGGTGATCCATGTAACTCGAAATGCTACAATTAGCGGAAACATGTGGTTCGGCCGAGTTGGACATGTGCTGTGCCTTGGATTGCTCGAACGTGGTCAAACTTCTTGTGGTCATCCTTCGATTTCTGGTCCTTGCTTGTGTAAGCTCGGGTGCCGACAGCATCGCGGCTGAACCTGGAACAGGCCCGGTTTAAGACATTTTGCGCCACGAAATCCAGAGGGTCTACAGTACCAGCGTAAGACATCACACAGCTGACTTTGATGGATGCAAGGTACAATTCGACGTATAAAACCTGCCATGCCATTTTGCGGAGGTATACGACAGCCCCGGGAAGTCTGATCATTCCGGTAGAACCGCATCTTACCGCTCCTGATTATCGTAGCTCAAAAGGCAATCTGCAATCAAACAACCTGTATACATCCCTTTCTTCTACATAAGCTTCATCACGTGCTAACAAGGAAGGCCTAACGCTGTGAGAAGTGCGCGGATATATCAGTGTGCCATGGAATGAATGACCTCTTCGCCTGGCAGTGGAGTTCCTTCGTTAATT